AAAGACCCTGTACGGGCCTTTTAGAATCCTGGTGTCCGTTTTTTGTCAGCCCTTTAGTGAGAGCCTGTCAGAAATGGTTAGCCTCTCCAGTGAAACTACTTCTTTGCATCTTAGCTCCTGGTCTTGCCCTATGTCTGCACAATTTCTTTCTATCCTCTTGTTTCTCTCCTTTTGTTTAGATAAAGCGAGGGATTAGGAAAGATTTGCCCCCATAAAGTAGTGGTTTGATGGGCTTTTATCCCACCATGTTGCTAAAGCTGTGTAGCCCCTGGATTAGGCCTTAACAATAGGAACCCTTGTGTTGGGCCGCAGCCTGAGGGGCACAACCAAAGAGCGGCTCTGAGAATGAGGGAGGAAACAAACCTGCCAACCTCGATATGTCAAGACTGCCAGAGAAAGCGTTTAGAAGAGCACTGGAGCTGCACCGGGCTTCATCTGTGGGATCAGAGAACAAGAAACAATAGTTAGAGCACAGACTGCAGCCACGGTCCCAAACAGTTTAACTATACAACACAGGTTTGATAGTGGGGCAAAGAATGGTAGCATTTAATGTACAGTGTGAAAGAGAAAAAGTAATCCACTTAAAACATTGTGGCTTTTCACAAAGGATCACCAAGGCAACAGAATTTACAGTAAACGTTTATATTTTTAAATTGTGCAATATATGTTAACAATAATCATTTAATGTAACAAGAATTCATCCGATATCGGTTCAAGGAAAAGATGATTGTTGTGACAGTAGACACTACATTATTACAGTACATTATTGTAGAAGTACTGAAAAAGTACTTAAGGTCTACTCTGTGTTTGGACACTGCCTCAAGATTGCTAATGGCAAGTTGCTTTGTTACTCCAGTCACACAAGTCCCAGGAAAGCAGTCAACTCTAAACCATACATCAAAATGATTAATTTCACCCAAATGAGCACAAGCTAACCTTGACTAAGAGCATGCACAGGCTAGAGCAGCACGAATGAAATGTAATATATTCATGAAGTTAACACAAACCTAATGATAAAGTTAATGGGCTCTGAAGGCTGAAGGCATCAACTTTCTACTTGAGTTGATGTAAAATACCAATTGTAAACACAGAGAGCCACTCAAGTGGTAAAATTACAAACATCCATGCGTAATAAACCTGATTAAAAACGGAACATGATTCATAAATCTCTAGCTTGAGAGCTGAGCGTCGAATTGGCTGCCAAAGTCCTGATACAGGGATAAAGTTTGAGGCTCCAAAAGCGGACGGGAGGATGATTGAGAGCAAAGACGATAACTCACATCTGAGAGCGATGAGAGGGTTTTCCATAATAAAGCTGAATGCAGTCTCAAAGAACAATGAGACTCCACAGGAAATCCAGGGAAATCTCAGATCAATTTGAGGATGAGAAAGTTTCAAGTTTGATAACTGGAGGCAGTATGCCTTAGATGATAATCATAAACAAGTATAGAAAATACAGCAACAGTTTCTAATGCTTCCATTATTGAATGTGACGCACGTGCATATCATTTTGCATCATGTGTTTGTACGAATATAACACTAATATTAATCAGTCATTGCACTACCTGGAATGTTCCACAGTGTAGCATTAATCCAAGCAAGCAGGTCGTGCCACCAGGCCAAGTTACAGGTCAGATATATGAAGAGAAAAGCCTGCTCACAATTAGAATGCAAGTTTTTCAAGATATTACAAACTATTAAAATATTTAATTGAATGATTGCAAAAATAGAAACAAAACTTACTGCAATACAGTGGAACATTCCATTCCCAGTAATTGTGCAGAAAGCTTATAGTGCACTGTTACGTTGACCTAAATTGTGTGGACTTGTTCAATGGTAGTAATGAGTAATTTAATAATGACTAAGGTTTTGTATATTTCAAAGCCTGTTGCACCTTGACCATTGCCAAAGGTCTGATTTAGGTCCCTCTTCACGGTCAGGAGACGCTGCTGCCCGAGCGTAATATTGCTCTAATAGCAGCCCCTTGACACTTGCATTGAAGCCCTGAGCCTCGCTGGACATTAGCCCGCATTAGGCCCGTAAAAAGCAGATTTGACGAAGAACAGCTGAGAGGAATTCCTTCTCGCTTTAATTGCTTTAGAAACGGTTCCCACAAAGAGACACTGGCCAGCTTTACATCCAGTTTAAGTTCTTATTTCCATCGGTTCACAAGTTAATCCGATTTTTCTTCTCTGGGCCCAAATGCAGCAGCAAAAAGAGCATTTGGACAAACAAAAAACTCTAGCTTCTTTTAGACATTTCTTATAGATCAAATAACTAATAAAAAGTAGGCTATAAACTTGTCTCGTTTAATAAAAATACATTATGACAAGAGGACCACGTGAGTAACAAATTATGCATCCCATTACCTAGGTTTTGTTTCCGTACACAATCAGGTGCAAGTGAATGTGACTAGAATGTGACTTGCTGTCTAAAAGAGAATTCAACAAAATATGCAAGCTTTACATTAAAAGGCTACTTTTCGCTGCCCTTAATTCCAGTCTAAACGGTTTTTCCTCGGTAGAAGAAATCTTTTCAAAAAACCTTGAAGAAGAGAGGGGCATTATTGTTTTAATCCTCTTACCAGCAGTCATTTTAAGACATTTTTGGAGGGTGAAATGCCGTCTTGTCTTCCCAATCCTAACCTAAATCCCTCGGGGCCAGGAGCTCCTGGAGGCTGTGGCCCGGCATGCACCTCGCTCCCTCCATCAGATGCAGAGTTCCCGCCAAACTCACGGAGCCACCGACAAATACAATTAAAAAGGAGAATTAACCTAGAGTCACACTAAATGCCACAATCTTTAATTAAAGCTTTCTTTCACATCCTGGTGGGGTCAAACAGTGTGAATGTTAAAAATGTGATTGGATTTATTATGGTAAATAATAATATAGATTTTTAATGAATAAATGTATATGCATTTACAATTTCACCGCGTTCGTATAACAAGTTGTAATAATCGTACATTGCAAATACATACTGTCTTGTTATTGTAAAAGATTAATTTAAAAGCCAAATACCCTACATGTCTTGATAATCACCCCCAGTAGAATATTACAGTAAATCCTGCAGTGGTCACTAAAGTCCATTTTGTGGATAGGACCGGTGATGGGACGGGACCCCATGGATGGGACTCCATTGATGAGACCCGCGGAGGGCGTGGGGCAGCTGCGGAGGACAGCGCTCTGATTGGTCCAGAGCCAGAGCGCGTGCGTCTCCCCACGCGCCGTTTAAAGGCCGAGAGAAGCAGCGCAGCATCCTCATCCTCCGCACGTGAGCCCGACAAACCGAGCCCCGCCGCACCGGGACATGAGCCACACACACCGGGCCTGCTCAGGACCAGACACCCCCGGACATGACCAGCAACGAGCGGATTTTTCATTACGTTTAAAAGATCCGGAGGGAATACTGTGAAAGCCCCGGAAATATTTAGCCTAGGAAAACTGAACAGGTAAGTTTGTTCAACTGTCAAACTCCAAAAGTAGTTTTAGGATTTTACCATTTACCTTTTTCTGAATCTATTAAAACAATATTGTTCTTGCCATGTAGTTTTAAAACCTTTTGAATATAGGTTAGCTAATTTGTTATCGAAGATAACGTTAACTTTTTAAAATGTTTGTGGACTCTACAATACTTCCTAAATTCAGACAACTTTAAATAAAATACATACAATAATTTTTGTTATATTTTATTATACAAGCACAATTTAAAAAAACAAACAAACAAACTGTTGTATCCTGCAGCTAAACATAGTGCCGTTTCCAGGATCAGCCTCGAGATTAAATGTCCATTTAAGTGAAGTATGCTCTGCTTTGTAGAAGCTACAGAAAAGCCAAACCCTTCGGCCCCAAGGCAGTCTTTAGTAAATGCTGTAACTCATAAATCCACGGCAATTAGCATAATTAGGCTTAACGCGGAGCCCGAGGCTAGTGACATTGTCCAGAGAGAAGAGCATTATAGTGCATTTTAAGCCGAAGATTTACAAATCGCCCATATTACATAAATTCTGCCAGAGGCTCCTTTAAAATAATACAGGAAAGTTCTAGGAAGAAAAAGAAAGTGTAACTGTATTTGACACAGGGTCTAAGTGTATACACTGCGCCTTTCACGTGTCAGGCCAGGCGTGATGATAAATTAATAGCCTTGTAGTATAGTTGAGAGCTATTTGCACCACATTAGACAGGGGTCCACCGGGGACCCTCGTGCATATTTCACCCTGGTCCCCTCTCTCCTTCCGCCTGCAGGCGCCTGACACCGGCCTGGGACCCGCCACAGATTGAAATAAACGGCCTCAATTTGATTCTGTCTCTCAAACAGAAAATACATATTTTTATTCTGCGAGAACCGCGCTGTCAGAGCAGCTCTCAGCGACCTCCGTGTGCGAAGTGTGACTAGTGAATCACTAAACAACAACAGGGCACATTGCATAAATAATATTTCTAGTAGCCTACATAGCATTTTATTCTCTATGTATTATTCTTTGAGATATGACTAACAGAGAAAAAAAGGGATTATATATTTATAAAGCTCATTTATCGTTATAATGTTATTTTAGATTTTTCTTTGTAGTAGATACATCTTTTCTTAAATACTACGAACTATTTGAATACACCAAAGCAATATATTGTTAAAATTGTTAAGTATTTTCTTCTTAAATAATCCAATCTTCATTTTCTTATTTTTTAAATATAATTATAATTTTAAAGGGAATATTTATTCATTCAAAATATTCAGTCAGTTATGCATTATTTAATATGTGTCAGTTTAGTTTATTGCTTTTCATGTCTTAGAAATGATTGGGATTTATCTGTTTTTTAATTGCCTTCTCAGTCTAACATTTAAATAAAAACACTACAGTTACATTTATATTTTTTCATTAATTTTGTGTTTTTATTATTTCTATTTTATTATTTATAAATTTATGTATTAATTGTATCTCTTTACTCTGACCTAAACAGCTGGTTTTCTTATCCGTTTTTGACCTTTTTTTGCAGACTAAACAATGCAGCACTACGGGGTGAACGGCTACTCACTGCACGCAATGAACTCGCTGAGCGCTATGTACAATCTTCACCAGCAGGCGGCGCAACAGGCCCAGCACGCCCCCGACTATAGACCCTCAGTACATGCCCTCACTCTGGCCGAGAGATTGGCTGGTAAGAATAAGTAGCTCATTTTGTTTTCCATATAATTTACACTCATTTATTGTGATCAAGATATCCCTTTCTGCCTGGTGATTGACTGACCGGCAGTGTAGCCAATCAGATTTTGGTATTTTAGGTTAAATATTGACAAATAAATACAGAACTTCAATTAAACTTCTATTTCTTTCTTCTCAACGGTTGCACATTTCAAGATATCATCCTTGAGGCCCGTTATGGCTCCCAGCACAGAAAGCAGCGTCGCAGTCGGACCGCTTTCACGGCACAGCAACTGGAGGCTCTGGAGAAAACTTTCCAGAAGACCCACTACCCAGATGTGGTGATGAGGGAACGCCTGGCCATGTGCACTAACCTTCCTGAAGCTCGTGTACAGGTACGTCTACTCTTACAATTACATAAAATAAGATGAGGGGACTTTGAGGACTGTAGGAATATCTTTAGAATAGGTATTGTGTAAAAATTCAAAGAAAAAGTGTTTATTACAATATTCCCTTTATATTTCACATTGATCAAATTTGTTGTTTTTGGATGTCTGAAGCTATTTTGTACAATTCTCAAAAATATATCTGGATGTAAACATTGATGCTATTTTCAGAAAGAGGCATTTCCTTATTATATTTTGTCACCACCAGCATAATTTTACACTTTACTGCACAGACTGTAGACACTCGTGTGTCACAGTCAAGTATTAAAAAATAATATGCTCAAAGCCATATTTTCATATTTTGCAGGTTTGGTTTAAAAACCGCCGAGCAAAGTTCCGTAAGAAGCAGCGCAGCCTGCAGAAGGAGCAGCTCCAGAAGCAGAAAGAGGCGTCAGGATCCACAGACGGTTCAGCAGAGGACCCCAAAAGTGACAGCGCTGACACCACCCCAGCTCCCTCCACCCGCCCCCCCCCTCCCCCCTCCTCCACCTCGTCCTGTCACTCAAACTCCGACACACTGGCAGCAGCTCAGGCGCAGGCGGCAGAGATGAGTGTGGAAGTGAACGTCACCTCCCCAGAGCCATCGGACAGTGAGTCAGCAGCAGAAGATAATGTTGACAGAGAAGAGGAGGCCATGAGAGTGGAGCCCAGGGTGAAGAGCGGGGAGGAGGTGTCGGGAGAGGGAGGCGCACGGCAAAGCAGTAGCTCCCCATCCTGCAAACGCCTTAGTCCAACATCAGGTAAGACAGTGTCACCAAAAATGGAAGAAATTGTCAATAAACAAAAATATCCACTAAAGTTTTGTAAATATTTTGGCTTTTCTGTAAATAATTATATTTAATCATTTGTACTGCTTATTTAAAGATTTCCATATCTTGAACATGTTTTTAGTACAAAAATGTATGCAGTCAGAAAAAAATTTTAATCTGTTGCTCTGCATTTGCACAGCAGTGACACCTGACTAAAGTCTATTCCTTCTCTCAGACTCTCCTCTCAGTTCTCCAGCCCTGCCCTCCTCCAGCTCTGTGTCCAGCAGTTTGGTGACGAGTAACTCCTACGCCTCCTCCCCTCTCAGCCTGTTCCGGCTTCAGGAGCAGTTTCGGCAGCACATGGCGGCCACCAACAACCTGGTACATTACCCGTCTTTTGACATGAGTGCCCCATCCTCCTTGCCCTACCTGGGGATGAATGTGAACATGTCTGCGCCCCTGGGATCCCTGCCCTGTCAGTCCTATTATCAATCTTTGTCCCAGGCCCAGCAGGTATGGAACAGCCCACTGCTACAGGCTGCTCCAGGAAGTCTCACAGGTAGCCTCAACAGTAAGACCACGAGTATCGAAAACCTGCGCCTGAGGGCCAAGCAGCACGCGGCATCACTTGGACTGGACACGCTCCCCAACTGACCCTGCTCATATCCACAGCACTGACTTAAAGCTGCACTATGTAAGTTTTCAAATGGAGGGTCAGCTATTTGGTTGACTCAGAAATTATTGCTCTGCCTGGAATGCTCCACAGTATTGCATTAAAGAGGTCTCTCCATAAATACAGCATCAGGCCAAGTCTCACGTTAGATATGTGTGAAGGCGTGTACGCTCCGTACGATTACGCCGCAAGAATGCCTTTTTCAGACAAATAAAAACTTGCACTGAACAAATGCAATATAGATAAGAATAATGCTATAATGTGGAGTATTCTAGAAAAAGCATGGCTATCTCCCTGGAGACACGTCCCCACTCCAGAAGAGTTCCATTCAGCAATTTCATCTAAAAAAATGACTCAGAAATATTATGTGAAGTCCACCGTTTACCTTACCTTTAGCTTACGTTGCCCACATTACTACTTTAACCATATCCTCTTATGACATTACAGACAATGAACTTTTGTCATGGATCTGACAAGATGCTCAAAGTCACAGCTCATGAAAAGGGAAACCAACTACATATACAAAAGCAAAAACTGTTAATTCAATTGTGTGAACTGTGCATGCGTGCATGGATTACGCTTATAAAGGGCAGCAGTCAGTCACATCAGACAAATAGTCACTACATCAGGAGAGGTTGTGGTACAGCTCACGGACACTGTAAATACAATTGTACTCTACATCTACTGCATTCAGGATTGAAGTCATTCCATGCCTCCTTTAGTGGAAGGATTTTTATGTTTGTTTGTTTGCTTAAAAGAAGAACCATCAATGTAAATGCAAAACAAATGCTGTCTGATCCTGGAGAGTCATAAAAAAACAGAAATTATGTAAAATATTGTAATTTTATTGTAAAATGTACTTCAGAATTGTTTTAAATGTGAGTAATTTATCATTAATGCTAACAAATAAACTGCAAATGAAAATGAAAATGTCTTTGTTAGTTTATTAGCAGGTCATTTAGATTAGTTTAATAAAAGATTTTATATCATCCCATCAATTTTATCATTACATCTAACAGATTTAACCTTCAGTTGTTCCTGAGCCTGCTAGTGCTGGATATGTGTGCACTTGACCAGCTATAAATAATTTGGCCTTAAGATGCCTTCAACAGAGCACAGAGGAGCACTTGTTGTTCTTCAACAGAATCTAATCTTAAATGAAATGAGTGACACAGTGTGTCTGTAACCCCCTCCTCTCCTCTTCCTCTCCCTCTCACCCTGTCAGCCAGGGTTTGGCTGCACTGAAACAGTGCTTTGCCATAAGAAGATTACCTTTGGTTGGGATATCGATGGATTCAGTAAGAATAGAATGAGATGAAAAAGGACTTAAAGGGTTCTTCAAGGCAGCAAAATTGAGACACCTGTTCTTTCCTGCTTTTTATAATTATTCTATTTTGTTCTATTTTATGGCAAAAAAAAAAAAAGTTTTTTTCTCTGATGGAAAACAAAATGAATTAAGAATAAAATTGCAGCTGAAGCTATAAACTGACAACTAAGTTAAGCTATTCAGTTGTCCATGTAGCATGCACATGTTTGCTGGCTTCTTCCAAAGACAGCAGGAGTAAAGGAGAAGGTTGAGGCTGTGTGAGTGTGTCTTTGGCAGCTAAGCCGCTGAAGGTTTCCAGGAGCTCTTTGATGTGTATCTGGGCAATGCACTATTAGAGGGATTTTCCTCGTTGACAGCCCAGAGAATGTGTGGAGGAATTGCGATGCCAGCGGGCCAAAAGAATGCTAGAAACAGGATTAGGATCATATTCTGGCAGCTCCTGTCACTTCATCAATGGACTAAGGTTTCCTCAGTGACAGCCCTCCTTCTCTGCCCAGCTAAAACCTTTAGTGGAACCATAAAAGGGGTGAGAAAGGGGAAAAAACAATGATTGAATGGTGCGCTATGATTTCTGTGCTGGGTTCGCTCTCAGGCCTTTGTGTTGGGAGGTCTGGGGGGTGGCACAGATTTGGGAGGCGGGAAGGTCATGGAGATGAGAAAAGGGGGGGCTATGTGAGGGGGTGGCGGTGGTCTTTCTTGGAAGTTTTACATCCAAATCCCTTCAGCGAAGCATGTGACTATACACTAAAGCAAGAAAACCCCAACTCAGTGTCTCCTTGGAGATAGCAGCAGGTGGAGTCACAAAATAAGAGCATGTGTACCTTTCAGCCCTAGTGGAAATTATAATAAATCTTAAAACATAAGAGAAAAAACGTTTCTACCATGTGTACACTGGATGGTCTGTGTGCAAACTGCAGACTTTTCTTGCCAATGGTTCAACACAGCAGTTTGCTCACCTATGTTAAACAATCTTTTCTCTAGGCCATTGGAGTTTTAATTGTTTACTATATGTTATATAATGCCAAGAATTACAGACCAGCATGCAATTGCTAAACCCCTCTGCCTTTCTGTCTTCCTCCTGCGGAGTGGATGAGACGGACTCTATCTGAGGCTTCACTCGGGTTCCCAAGCTTTGTGCTACTGAGACACTCGCCTTTCTCCCCTGACTTGGGTGATAATCCTGACACGCACTGTCTGCATTTTTTACTGTACGTGTTTAAGCGCATTTGCAGAGCATTTATCTCTCCAATGTAAACCAATTTGGCTATAAGGGCCTTGGGCCAAGCTCAGTGCTGGGGGAATGAAAGAAAACTCAAACCTAGCAGATGTGGAGAGAAAGGCGGATGGGAGAGCTGGCGTGGACGTAGGGCTGATGAACAACTGAAAGCAGCAAAAAAGGAAAAGCAGGACTGTGTGACAGAAAAGTAGCCCTTGTCCAAAGGGTAAGCTCTTGAAACTTGGGATAGGGCCTTTAAAGCCGATAGAACGTGGATCACTGAATTGTTGAGTCACAGAATCTGAGAAAATCATTCAAAGCTCTTGGCTAATCCTGTCATAGTTAAATCAGTCGGATACTTAACTTCTTCAGACAAAATTTGGAGGCTGCTGCATTGACAGCTCTGCTGTTTGATACCGCCTATACACCTGTATCAGCTGTCTGTTAAGCTGCCTTCACCTCCTCCCACTCGTCCTGCGCAGCATGCTGTCTCTGTGCTAGTAATGGCTCATGAAATGGACCAAAGACCTAAAAGCTGCCAATCTCTCAGCTTCGTGATGTCTGCTGTAAGTGGCCCTGGTTGCTGGTTGAACTTGCGACTTTGATCATCTCAAAAGGTAGACTCCTGCTGTGTCAAACATTGCTATGTGCAATTCTCTGCAGTCATAAAGACCATGAGCTTCTTGGTCCCTGAAATGAGACATTAAGACAGAATCATCCTAGTTTAGTTGAAGCAATCTCAAGGTGTTTTATTTGCTAGTGCACAGGCAGGGTCCAATGTGTTTGAATGGCTTTTAAAGTACCTGATCTTATAGCCTAAGGTTTCTGTAAATGAGGTGTTTTCTGCTCTTACCAATGAGACGTTACATAAGCAAGCACCATGGCATTCCAGGGCCACATGATACATCTGCAGTATCATTACAAGAGTAGTGGCTTCACTAGTGCAACTCTCCACTGCGCCTTTTCAAGACAGTTATGTGCCACATTTTCCCTTTACATTTTCTTGTGCATTGATTATTGATTAATTAACTCTCAACAAAGAATAGCTAATGTTTAGTTTACTACAGTTGCATATAGATTTATAATAGACTAGAGTAATTAATGAATACAAGGATTTTTATTCAATGTAAACTGTCAACTTGTTACATCAAATGAAAAAGGTTCACATATTTTTAGCCAAGTGTAGACAAAGGTTGCAGTGTGAATTTAGCATATGTTATTGTGTGTTATAACTTCAATTGGGGGATTTAGGAACAATGTCAAGTTTTCTCTGAAGACCATGGAAGGCGCTAAAAGCTTAGCGCTCCCTGACTGAGTGTCACAGTCAGAGCTGCTCCACGTGCCACAGATAATGCTAAGAACTACCTCTCAATTCCAGCTCTTTGCCAAGTCTAGGGTAACACTTGCCACCTCATTTCATTTCTCTAATACAGAAGACAAATGAAAAGGAAAGGCCACCAAAATGGCTGTGGTTACCAGCATACTACTGATTTTGAGTGTGCATGTGATTATTATAAGCAGATTTTTTGAGTTATAGAATGATTCAAATGACATGTACACAGCTAAATCATCTGATTTATTTCTGATCATGGTCCCTCTGATTATTCACATCAGATTTTGCAGGTTGCATTTCATTAAATTTTAAATATCCTCAAATCATAATAATCTGATTTTGGTGTACGTGTGGACATAGCTATTGTCCTTAATGTTTAAGCACAATAATAGGACATTGCTCTACTGATCGGTTTCATCTTAGTGGTGATTTATTTTGTTTTGAATAGTTAATTCCTAGGTCTTCTGTTTCTTGACAAGCTCCTCCACCTCCTTCATGAAGCGCAGGCAGAGTTCTTCATGCCAAGGCAGAGCCACACACTGGACACCAACAGGAAGGCCCTCTCCTCCTTTTGCAGCCTACAAACAGTACAATGGTCAGCATAAAAGCCACAGAACAAGTCTTTTGTCGCCATCTGGTGGGATATTGACAAACTTCAGTTCACCAACAGGAAAATTATTTACCAAGTGCATACTTTGAACATTTAAAAGTACATAAAAGTCTGCTCTCATTTTTACCTTGTTTAAAAACCGTTCATACATATTCCCCGAAGCAAAATGACAGAGGTTTTTCTCATCCTGTGCAGTCACAGTGGAAACAGGCACAACACCAGCACAAAAGTTGAGCAGATTGAAAGTCGCTGAAAATGGAACCATACCTGGAGAGTGATAAAATTGAAAAAGCCAGTTGAACATCATTGCATGTAAACTCAGTACCTTGATACATTGTCTAAGACATGCACCAAGCCAATAAAAAATATTTATGACTAACAACCTACTATATACTTTGGAACAATAATGGAAGTTCAAAGCGGGTCCAAGTATTGGGCAAAGGACAACATCTATATTGAGCAGTTGCCACTCTGCTATTGTGTCTTTTACACAGTCCTACAAACAAAGATGTTTAAAAACAGCATAATGTGAAGTATTTTCATTGACTGAGCAACATGTGCAAACACAGTATAACCTCTATTGAAGCTTGCAACTTGAAAAGGCCAGCAATAGATCTAAAAAGCCAAGAAAATATCAGTTTGGTTTTTTTGTGTCAAACTGATAAGACTTAACTTAACAGCCAACTGTGGGCATAGAGCAGCATGTGTAAGACTCACCCAACTCCACTCACAGCCTGTAATGTACGACTTGTAAAGGGCAACTGCAAACACATACAAAAATATACTAAGAAAGAGTCATTGAATGATTAAGGTATTTTGGAATTAGAGGAGAGAAATTATTTAATGCCAACTCTGTAAAAGCAGTTTACCAAAGGTTTAATGATGAAGGCAATCACTTTCTTCAACCAATTTGGCGTTCTCCAAAGTAAATTTGCAAATTTTAAACTAGGGTCAACTGTAGTTCCTTTCCTTGAAAAATACAAACACGCACATATTTGCAACAAGACTGAATAGCCAAGATTAAACAAGACACACCCCAGCAATGTCAGTAGTCCTATAATTTATTTCATCTTAGAATTTTCTGTTTAAGAAAATTACTCACATTTGTTCAGCACAGATTCTACCTCCATCTGGCAAAATCCCTTTGGTCACTAGTTCAAACATCTCCTTTTTCACCAAGTTGTAAGGCACCAACTACAGTGACAATACAGAGATTTATAGGTGAAACTGAACTGAATTATATGGGTTTTTTTTGCAGAGATGGGTTGTTCTTACAGTGTGGCCTGCTTGCTCTAACAAAACCTTGACTTCTTGCACTGCTCGGATCATTGATGGAAATGCTAGTGTTTCCTCAATTTGTTCAAAATATCCAATTCTCAGAGGTTTCCTGCTTTGGTACACCTAGAGACAATACACAATGGAACTAAATTAGCTTCTTCTGGGATAACAGCAGATGGACAAATAACCACAGGCAAAAACAAACAACACAATATAAAGAGACAATAAAAATATCACTATGTCAATGTGCATTAGGCTGTCATGATAACAATCCTCCAATTTTGTGCATGCATTTTCTCTCTGTATTTGTGTATCTGTGAGGTGATTTAACCATCTTTCAACCAGTGCCGTTGGTACCACCTGTCAGGAGCAGAAGGCTACTGCTGTAAAGTGCTTGGACCTTGTGCTAGGACTTCCTGCAGGATTTTTCCTGAGGTGCACAATTTGCCCAGGAGAAACCCACAGCACAGGAATCTAGGAACCTGAAACTTAGACACCATGCCACCAGTTTGTATTTTATCTGTTGGGTGTTTTTGAAGGTGCTATATAAATTAAGATTATTATTATCAATTATAATTTTGTTATTATTATTATTATTATTATAATACATTTTTTGCATTAGTCTCCTAATGCTTACTCAGCAGATATTAATGCTATACACACCTTCTCATTAAATGGCAGTGGTGGAACAGTTGGATCCAGGGAAAACATGTAATCACAAAGTACAGCCTTCATGAACAGAGCCAAACTGTCCACATCCTTTGCCATTGGTCCAATAGTACTTTCCACTGTTAATAACACATTAGAGTGTGTGGTATTTAATTTTCATTTACTTTTTAATAGATAATTTGTATGTGGCAGTTTGAATGTTCCACCTTACCAGCCTTTTGCCCTCGGATAAAGGTTTTAAGACCCACGGAGCTATAAAAGACATATATGTAATAAAACAAAAAAATGTCAGAATCATCCATATTAAAAGTACTATTCACCTCAATCGACCTGATGTTGGCTTTAGCCCACAAATCCCACAAAACGAAGCAGGGACCCGAATACTACCTCCAATGTCTGAGCCTACACCAATTACTGAGCCTCCTCCACCAATCAGGGAAGCCTCTCCGCCAGAAGAACCTCCAGAGGTTTTTTGAAGATTATATGGGTTCACAGTCTGGCCATAAAATGGGTTACTGCAATCAAAGCTGCAAGAGTGAAAACAAGGATACATTTCAGTATTTCACAGGTATAAGATAACATTTGTATGCAATGTTGGTCAGATTACTTTGCAAAAGTAATTATGGACTACTGATTACTCCTTTCAAATGTAATCTAATTACAACTCTTGAGTACTTTATTTCGAAAGTAATTTGATTACTAATTAAACTGCTATAAGTTATTTGGGGAAAAAAGGAAACGCACAGCTCAGGAACCAACTTATAAAAAGCATACATTTTTCACACTAATGACACTTTCTATTTTATGATCTGATTTCAAGCAGAGGGGACAACATATTCATGCTGTTTTGGTACACAGCTGACCTGCCTGACACCAGATGAGGACATCCATGGTCCTGTTTATCTTTTTACTGATTTATGGCCCTTTTCTAATGGATTACACACCTTTTGACAAGGGAAAAAAAAAAATCAGGGCAAATAACTAATTACTCAATTTTCAATTGTAACTAGTTACATCACTGTGTTACTAAAAAGTTATATGATTACATTAATACCTTAATTTGTAACTAGTTACTAGCCAACGTTTGTATGTATTATTGGATTCTGTACATATAAATATATTTACCTTATTAAACTCTGTGGAAAGTTCGTTCTCACAAAAGGAATTGCTCCTTGCTTCTTCAGCACTTTCACTAGCACACAGTCATCATCAGCAGGCTGGTCTATAAATTTGACCACCCCACAATTAGAGTCACAGTTCTATATTGATATAGGATAAAAACAGGTAATTGAAGCTTTTAATAACTGTCTTTTATTGGCTCATAAAACAAATTGTACCTTGAGAGAGAGATTTTCTTTAACACTGACAGGAACTCCATATAAAAGACCTTTTTTGCCAGAGTCAATAGTTTTTAACTTCTCAAAACTATCCAAAATAATCTCAGTGCAGCAGTTTAGTTTTTGTTGTAAATCAAGGGTCTGTATGAAGACAAACCATAGTTAGAAGTGGTTTACCCGTTTGTCTTTTAAAGACATTCTGGTCCATCAGGAGAGCTGCACCTTATCCATATATGCATAAAAGACCTCTTCTGGAGACAGTGAACCTTCATGAAGCTGTTTTGTCAACTCAGACAAAGATAGATTCAAGATGAAAGCAGAGTGTGTCATAGAATGCTAAAAAAAATACAGAATTCAGTTAGAGGAATTAGCACCCATAGACTGTATAAAGAAGAAAATGTATATATAGTCTACACTAGCAACAAAATTGTGTCAGAATGTCCACCCTAGCCCCTAACCCCACATTCACTGCATAAACCACTCACACTGCTAAACCACTAACCACAATGGTTTAGACTTCTACTTCGACAAACTTTATTGATCCACAAGGGAAACAGAAAAATAAGTAATAAAATATAAAATTTCAGCTTCATGTGAGAGGTCATAGGAAGACAGTGCAATAATGATATGATTGACAGGACATTGGCTTATCCGTTACATAACGGTGAGTTGCTGTACATCTGTATGGAGTATTGTATGTATGTAGTCCTGTATCTCCCACTGTGAGAGGAGGTGTTTATTTAAGGGTGTTTTATTCATAATTACAGTTCAACCGTGTCATAAACCAGTTGTTTCATTCCTTTCATTCAGTCGTGTTGTGTCCAGTTAACAGTGTTGGGGAGTAACGGATTACATGTACCGCCGTTACGTAATCAGAGTACAAATTATGAGTAACTGTATTCAGTTACAGTTACTGTTTCAATGAGTGGTAATTGGATTACAGTTACTTTGCTGAAATAAGTGGATTACAAGGCGGTATTTTCCTGTTTTCACATTTTGTGCTACCTCGCATTTATTTATTTTTTTATTTCGGTAATTTCACTAATTGCCGGAAACCCAAACAGAACGCGCGCAATAAGAGCGATGTAAACGTCATATTAAAGTTGGCGGTGTCAGTCACACAGTGGAAGCAGCAGTGCATTGGTAAAAACGCATTTGTGTCTTGGAAATTCTTCTCCTGATGTGAGATATATATATAAAAAAACAAATATAAAATCGCCTACAACTTAAATGTGAAACAGGAGCTACTGGCACTGGTGAACACAACCTGCATAGACTCATAATATCTGCACCACTGTCCTATAGTGACCTGCGACATGAGTGGACGCGCACACAAACACACACAAAACACAAACACACACACCTTCATCATCGTCATCAACCTGACAACCCGCGGACCACGTCTCCTTCCGTAGTTACTGCACGGACACCGCCGTCTCGTGCGCCGCGTGTGGACCGTGTTGCGCCTCTAAACCAGAACTAACACCAGGACTAAACCAGAATTAATCCAGGACTAAAGCAGGACTGAACCAGGTTTAAACTAGGACTAAACCACGACTAAACCAGAACTAAAGACCAGGTCTAAAATCAGGAGTAAACCAGGTCTAAAAATCAGGACTAAACCAGGACTAAACCAGGACTAAACCAGGACTAAACAACATGACACCTAACAGTAGGTTGACATAATTTAAGGTGATCTCATATAAAAAATTATTTCTCTATCAATAATATTTTTTAATATGGTGAAGGAAAAGCTTATCTTGTTACTGTCTTTTAACAGACAAAACCTCTTATATTAAGATATCGTGGTCTTTGTTTCTCTACAGCAAACAGTTGCTTATTCATGGAGACTTGGGCTCAGACAATTTGAAGACAACAAACAAGAATTTTCAGGATGTGGTTGCTACATTCATGTCGTTTAAAAAAACATGACAATATCAAGTAATCCAAAGTAATCAGATTACGTTACTCACTTTAAGTAATTTAATGGATTACGTTACAAACTACATTTTGGGGTGTGTAATCTGTAATCTGTAGGGGATTACATTTTAAAAGTAACCTTCCCAACACTGCCAGTTAAACACCTGACCCAAAATGCCGCTGTTTTCCCGACTGTCCCACTGCATTGTGGTCTATATTGAGCGGTCTTGTGACCACTGATACCCACTACTCTTCAAGGTGCATTGTGGGAAATTGAGTTTTCACTTACTGAATATTAGGACAACCTAAAAATGGCGTGACCACTACGTAGTGCCCTAGGGAATAGTGTGGACATTCGGACGCAACCATCTTCTAGACCATTGAAACTGTATTTACTCAATAGTATCCGACCTACCGACTGTTTATACTCTAGTACATGTTGTTCCGCCTGTTGAACGCTGCGCTCTCTTCGGTTTTGGAGTTTGGAAATCTGCCTCTTCTCGTGTCGCCGCTCTTGCACTCTCCAGACCACCAGCAGCCCCCCGTAGAGGAGGCATGGTACCACCACCATCACCTCAGTCAGCATGTGCAGCGGACTGTCTCTGTGCGCGAGTTGCATCAACGTTTCCATGAGCTTGAACCCACTGGTCTTAAGGGACGATTACCAATAGTGGCCAACAACACGACTGAACACGACCCCGGAAGGCTCCTAGACTGTGTATGGGGCCGCTTTATAACTGTTTACAATAATGGGTGTGGCTGCCATCTTGACCCCCCTCCCGGCACGGTGACGACATGGACCGCGTCTCATTCTCTTTCCTTGTGTGTGTGCGTGTGTGTGTGTGTGTATATATATATATATATATATATATATATATATATATATATATATATATATATATATATATAATATATAATATAATTCTTCACTCTTATCCCCTCGATTTTTCTCAATAAATTGATTTTTGGATTGAGTTTGAGTTTGTCTTTAGTCTTTAATCTGTTTTTAGTCTTTTAATCTGATTGTAGATGTTACACTGACCTGTCAGGTGGTGGCTTGGACTTCACCCCACAACAGTTTTTGGACAGGCTGCAACATATATGCCTTATAACCCCAAACGTTCCAGCTCTGCAGGGTAAATGGGCAAAGGGAAATCATTCCCTTGACTGAGCAGGGTCCTTCAGAATTTCATTCAAGGAGGGCACTGCAAAGGTCAAATTTGTACATTTGCCCCCAGGTAAGGTAATCAAATTGTCACACAGCCTGTAGCATCCAATCGAACTGAAAAGGTCAGAACTGATGGTTAAATGACTTTTAATCTTTCCTTGCCGTGTCATAGAACCAACGTAAGAGCTGGACAAGAACAAAATAACAGCAATTACCATACGATTACAGCATCACTAGCTCTTTACATTGTTTAACCGTTATCCATATTTAACATTAATTTGATACAAATGACAAGTTCAAATATACATTAACAAGTCAAACAAACCTTGTTCCCCTGTCGACTGTAGCTATCTTTAGTTTGTTTTATATAACTTTTCTCCGTTGTTTTGATTTTCACTATTAACGTTGCCGTGTTTACTTTGCGTCTTTTCTTTATAACAAGCTAACGTTTTTTCCTTCACTTCCGTTCACACCGGAAGTCACCAAAATAAAAGCGTAACCTTACATTTAAATGCCATAAACTGCGTGTTAATGTATATAAGAGCTAACTTGACCTTTACACAGCCAAATGGGCATATATGGCATGATGAAAGTAAATGAAACGACCATAAAAATGCAAGTATTAAAACATATTTGTTATGTGATTTTTTAACAATGGGTTGATGGCAAAGACCCCATCATCCTATCTTGATTGATTTAGCAAAATGAGCACAGGAAAGGAGCTTGTTTTGTTTTTGCTTCAAAGGAAAATGAGGAAACGAGGTATGTGTTATTGTAGGCTATTTTACATTGTCAGTACACATCTGATGTAATATCAATTACCCACATTAATAAAATAATTAATAATTGATTAAACAATTCTTCTGAAGGTTCGTAATTTCTTGTCCATAACAGTGACCCATATCTGGAAATAACATCACTATTCACCAAAGCGTGTGTTTATTCGCGTTGACACGTGGCTGTGGTTTCGCGGGGTTATGCGCGTAAACGCTGACGAGGGCAGTGGAGCCAGAGCCTTAAGCTTAGGTGCCAATTTAATTTTCCAGCAGGTCTGGGCATTTGCCCACACAGCCAAAGGTAACAAATGATGGCTCACTGACCATGTTGCTACTGTGCATGATTGGTCTTCAAACTTGCCTGATCTGAATCTCTCAGAGAATCTCTGAGGTATTGTCCAGAGGAAGATGAGACACCAGAGCAAACAATGCAGGTGATCTGAAGCACCTGAGCTTCCATTACACCTGAGCAGTGCCACAAGGTGATTGCCTACATGCTTCAGCGTACTGATGCAGCAATTCATGCTCAACCAAGTATTGAGTGCATAGAAATGAACACAGTTTTGACAAGCCTGACATTTCTGTTTAAAATATTATTTTTAATTGATCTTAATAATCTTTTAATAATCAAATTTTCCGAGACACTGCATTTTGGGTTTTCATTATCTGTAAGCCATAATCATCATTTCAAGAAATAAAGGCTTGAAAGCTTCTGTGTCATGAGTCTGAATTATATAAGGGTTTGACTTTCTGAAATTATATTCAACTTTTTCATGAGCTGTAGTCTTTTTTTAGAGGTACTAATATCAGTGTGTAAAGCAATGCCTAAAAACATCTTGCATTTTTTAAAGCGTTCTCAATATGATAATCAAATTTAGAAAATAAATTATTACAATAAAATGACATAATATTACAATGAAATCATGTTAAAAAAATATTATTCAACCTCCAAACAGATCCATAGCACCCTCACACTGGAACTCACTGCATGGGGAAACTGATTGAAGCAGGGCACGGCTAGTTGGTGAGAAAAAGGCATTATTACAATAATGAAATAAACCAGTACTTTCAGGCAGTAAAAAAGGTAAAAACAAAAAAAAGCTATTAAAACATACAACCTTTACAAAAATATTTATAATTTAAGTGTATTATTTTCCACTGCAAAAAGAAGGATAAAAAAGAAGAGGGAAAAAGACAAACCAAAACAAACATAGTGTACTTCAGCCTTATTCTGTTTTGTGAAAAATGTGTAGGTGAAGCGCTTTGTGCATTTGTGGACAGGGAAGATGTCTGTGTGTTAGATTTTTTGTCTTGTTCTGCTGTTGACGAATCAGATTCAAATAGTCATCATGATGGTCTGCATTTTCAGATCGCTTTCAGCATTTCGGAACAATTGTAATATTAATGTGTTATTATAATAATTATAATAAACTCTCTAAAAGCATACTACATGTGGTAATTCGATTATTTGTTTTACTTGCTGTCAATCAACAGGAACACCCCATCTTAAGTTTATAGTTGAATCCACTAACATGCTAACAAGAATGTGCAGTAGGGAGTAGATTTCTAACTATGAACTTTATTGAATATTTACTAGTATGTAACTAGCACAATGGCTAGACAGATAGAGCACAGAAACACTACAATGACAATTTAATACAACCAACCACTGGATCCACATCCACAGGTTTTTATTTCACAGAATGAAATAATTTATGTGCCACCTAGAAAACACAAAAGTATATTAGCCAATATTTCACAGAAAAAAATTAATAAAACATATTAAATATAGGATGTATTTGGTATTACATTCACTTATGTTTACATCTCACTAAATTGTTAAATGTTTTATTTTTCATTAAATATCTGACAAATTATTTCTTTGTATTTATTCTTTATTTAACCAGGAACTTTGTCTTATTTCACATAGTCACAGAAATCAGTTTCATAACTCACACAGTGGTCCCTTGCATGGAGGAAATCAAACAGCTCTTCAGTGCAATCTTCCTCAGTTGAAGACCGAGACCCCACTCTGGTTTCACACTCTTCCAGACGCCCCCGAGTGTGGACGCAGTGTTCAGCTTCTTCACATTTTTGTCTCAAAGACTCAAGGGGATCCTAGGACAACACACACACACACACACACACGCACACACGCACACACGCACGCACGCACGCGCACACACACACACACACACACACACACACACACACACACACACACCTTTAAAGAAAACTTGTATTTGATAATGCAACAGTGCCATTATAATACGAGCAGTATTTATATTGATAATACACAGTCTCACATAAAAGATCAAATAACTTAAACCTGACTGGTGACTCTAGTCTGAAACAATATATGCTATGTCACAATAAAATGTCAAAATATTATGACAAGGACATCCATACCACCATTTCCTCTTCTTCCTCTTCTTCCTCCTCTTCTTCATCCTGAAATTAAACATGACAAAATACAGTTTAGTTTAATTCATTCCACAACTGTAAGACCTGGGAGTGTGATAATACAATACGGAAGCTAATGCTAATTTAAGATTGTGATAGCTTCCGTTAGCAAGCCAGTGCTAGCTGGACAAGTACATCACACCAAATAGTTTCTTCCATAATAAGTCATTGCATTCACCTCATCGGGCTCGCCATTCATGACCATTTTCTCTTCAAAAACCATTTTAATGTATTTGTCCTAGAGCGGCTGTCAACAACACAGGACGGCTAGAAGGTCACTCCAGTACACCGGCTCTGGCAACTTCCGGTTACGGATTTCAGAATAAATAAATTTAATCCTCACGCTCTCCTCGGGGTCACATAGACCCGGAGAAACTTTTTTTTCCCTTCCCGCTCTCTTGGGGCGGGTCAATCAGACCCAAAAATTTAATTTTCATTTATTTTCTCGCCAGGCGAGCATTTTTGGGTTTGATTGACCGGCCCCAAGACAGCGGGAAGGGAAAAAAATGTTTCTTCGGGTCTATGTGACCTCGAGGAGAGCGTGAGGGTTAATATCCAACACCGATCTGCGCAAAGCATTTTGTTAAGAGAGGGATCAATTAATATCATTTATTCATCGTTCGTCAATATCTCATAATATATACCTACCAAATGGTGACGCCCCTATTAGCATCAGGATCCGCAGCGGATCCGCTTTCGGTCCGCCAAATCCCCCCCACAGTCCGTCCGCTTTGCGGATCCGCTGCGTATTTGTTCCGTATTCGCTTTCTGACTGTTGCTAACCCTAACCCTTAGATGGCCTGCTGTTTCAGAGAGAATCTGCGGTTAAATCATCTTAGATCCGCACTGTGAACGTACTTTTAACTAGAGCCCGACCGATATGGATTTTGTTGTGGCCGATATGAAACCGATATAATGGGAGTTGAAGCTGCCGATAACCGATATAATCACCGATATATTTAGTGATGTAAAAATTCACTGTAAATCTTGAATTGTTTAAAAAAAACTTAGGTTTGGCTCTAGTTGATTTTAAATTGGGTTTATTTAAGCAACATTTATTGTTATTCTGACTCTTTACGTCATATTTACAGACAGTACGTCGGCCTAATGGCATTTTTTGCATCACATTCTAGCTACTACTGATGGGTATTCCAATTCTTTTTAGAGAACCGGCTCTTTTTCTCGGTTCACTAAAAACAGCTGGCTCTTTTGGGTCCTAAGCGGCTCTTCAGATTGTTTTGTTGCAACCAGGACTAAAACAGAACTGAACCAGGACAGAAAAAATACTGTAGCAACCTGCAATAGTTAATTGTTAAAACCTTGTTCCTTTTCTCTAACTGTTATGTGATGTGTTATGTTAAGCTCATGGCCTGCGTGATTGGATGAAAGTTGGGGGGGGCTGGGCTTCTGTTACATTACGCATAAGAGGGGTTGTGAGGGGAGGGGTCGCTCTCTTTCTTGCTTGTTTGGTTCTGTGAGTAGCGTGGTCCCAGGTTGAGCGGGACCTATTGAACTGTTAACCGGGTGTACTGGCGTGGTTACTGCCACAGTAACCCAATTCAGTTCTCGCAATAAAGCGACACTTGTTAACTATTTGTGTGTTCATTACCGGGAGACGCTACAATACTAAACCAGGACTAAAACGGATCTAAACCATGTGTAAAACAGGACTAAACCAGAACTGAACCAGGACTGAGTGTCGGAACTCGGTCTCTATCTCTCTCCCTCTCTCGAGCCCAAGATTAGTCCTGGTTTATTTATTTTATGCTGAACTACAGGCAAATATGCACGTTTTTTCTATCCTATGCACACGCAGATTTCTGAAAGTTTCGTTTTCAGCCGCTGCCGCTGTCAAACTACAACGAGTCTGCACACGGCGTGAAGAGAAAAAAAAGTGAGAGAAAGCGAAAACACGGCTCCCAATCCCAATAAGGATCAGGCTCCCGTCGTTCGCTTCAAAGAGCCGGCTCTAAGAGCCGTTTCGTTCGCGACCGACCCATCACTACTAGCTAGCAAAAAAACTAGCGCTATTAGCCTTTAGCTGTAAATGCTGCGCGCCGCGGTAATTAATTATATGCGCAACTATCATCATTCACACGTCTATTCACAGCTCCTTTACATATCAATGCAGGTTCAGTAACAAATATACGGCCAGTATAGTCACTTTACAATAGGCCAATAGAAAACAGCTTGTTTATGTGCGGGAGCTACAGCAGCTAATAGCAAACTAATGAGAAAAAAATAGCTTCAAAGTCGACATATTTCCAACACTCACCGCTCACACAGGCTCCTCCTCACATCACAAGTCTGCACTAATAAATGTCCTTTTAATCCAGACTCAAACCGATTGTCCGTAAAAAGAATATAATCTCAGTGTTTGGATCTGTGTCTGCGAGTGTAAACAAACACACGTGAGTGACGCGACTCTGGGGATGTGTTCAGGGACAGTATGGACACACACACTGACAAATGACTCCGCGGATAAATACTGATGCGGAGACACATATTAGGACATTTATCTGACTGTAAATTGGAATAAATGAACATAATATAGAGAGTCTAAGATTTATAACGAAGTATAACATGAACATGGGAAATATCGGCCCATATCAGCAAACATATCGGCCGATAGCCGATATGCCTCCAGTTGTCCATATCAGCCGATAATATCGGCCAACCGATATATCGGTCGGGCTCTACTTTTAACACAACAACTTTGTTTTTGACACAATGATTTGTACTATCAATGTGCGGATCCATGGCTAAACCGGTTCGGATTCGCTGCGCGGACGCGCCACTTACCCATCAGCCGTTATCGGGACCTGAGTGGAAAGAAGCAGCATCCACCTGTTGTCCGCGGATTTAACTGTAAGTAATAGTTTAAAAGTTAATTGTATTAGTCATCATTAATGTACATAACGTTAACGTTAGATTGTGGTGTCTGTAAATCTGTGACTGTGTGTGTTTTATCAGTTTTCACGAGTGCAGTCATGAAGACGATGTGAGGTCAGGAGTCAGGATAACTCCATCTCTTGAGGTAGATCCCAGTCTAAATACTATTTTTATATAACGCTACTTATAGTCTTGTATATTTTTACGATCACAGAATTGTAATTCTGCTCCGTGATCATTGGTCGTGTCTAACGGGTTCGGTTCTGGCTGGATGCCGCTCTCGGCGCTCTCCCTTCGGCTGTGGAGCGACGGTGACACCGGTGTCTGATCTGATTGTGTTTTTAACCAGAGATAATTATTATTTGTGTAGACTAGAGTGTTGACTCTTGAGTTGAGACTAAAGTGCAGTCATGTCAGTGCCTTAATACGATAATTTAACGCAACGTGCCTTAATACAATAACGTAACGTAATAAAAAGCACAACTTTTAACAACAGTTAACGTTAGATAACCAACCAAAACTTATGTTGTTTTTCCCCAGATGACATCAGGAGCCCCTGTCCTTCTGCTGAGTGTCCCCATCAAGAGCCCGGCACACTGATCAGAGGTCAGTACTTTTAATGATTTCTGTGACAGTGAGATTTTAGTTTAGAGCCAGATCTGACTTTGTCTCTAACTTTCTGTTATGGGACTTGAGATGGTGCTTCAGGCTTTCAGTGAGAGATCTGACATGTTGACATGAACACTAATGTGTCACATCTAAATTACACTGATATTGACTATGAACACCATCATAAATTGATTATTATATTTTAAATATTGTGGTAAAAGTAAATGTAGTAGTATTGTATATTAACAACAGTGAAATACGTCTCAATCTAATACTCAGGCTTATGCTAAAACAAATAAGTTCAGCTATACTGCGCTAAAGTATTTCCTATGAGTTAAATAATGTTTTTCATCTCTGTTTCAGAATATACTATGGTTAATAAGAAGATAGACATAAGGGCCTGATAAAGACCCTCTGGAGGTAAATACTGCACTTGTATTAAACACTGAGGCCTGAAATGATCCAAACTGATATTTGTGTTTCTCTTATTTGATGTATTACAGAACTCCCTCTGCTGGACCAAGTTCCAAAAATGTAGAGACAGACCCTCTGTAAGTTTACTGTATTAACCTTCTTTTATTCACTTTCATAACTAAACATATGCACATTATAATCACACCTGTTGTTGTGCATATTGTTTCTTTCAGAACATGCTATGGTTGAGTTTAAAGACTGACCCTCTGTAAGTGCACAGATCTCTCCAATCAAGTGTTTACCTTTTATGTTCAAATCACACAGCCACTGTCATGACTTACAATGTTCTTCACAAACCTGAACTCTAACTCCTTACAAGAATAAGAGGTGTAATGGGGTGTTTAATACACACTGGTGTCATTTCAGATGCTGTGAGAAAGGGGAAGCCCAGTCCTGGACACTGATAGACTGGATCTTCACCAGTAGGACTGGAGAGGAGCCAGACTCACTGCACCTCTGCCTCAAAACCTCTGCCTCAGACTGAAGCTAAAGACAGAGGCTCTGAAGCTCCCACACTGCACACTCTATAAGAACAACCATCCGTCTAATTGTACTGTGGTAGTAAACACAAGTTAAGTTTTAGTATAACAGTATGGTATGGCTACACTCAGTCTCATCTGTCCAGGCTTTTACTCATATAGCTAATATTTGTTTTTTGCCATTTAAAAATAACAAAAACTTTGCTTAACTTGAAGTATTTTTAGTAAAAACTGTAAATTGTCATTTTCATATTAAGAATGAAGCATTGGTTAACTCAAAGGGTATATAAGTCCTATACCATTAATAATAATTATTCATGTCCTAAGATTTCTAATTAATGATTCAAATAAACATTGTTTACAATGTAAAAAAAAAAAAAAAAAAGGTTCTTTTTTTCTTAATTAATGAGATTTAGTGATAGGATATCACTGATCCAACTCTGAAATTGTTTAAGTTTATGTTTTTAAATTTAAGCCTTTATATCCTAGTTTTAATACTTGCTGTAAAAGTTTTATGTACAATTACAATGCAAATGCTGCTGGTGTGTATTTAGGTCAGTAGGAAGTTCATCAGTATTAAATCTGAAGCATATTTAGGCTCCTAACGACACAATAAACAGATTCGCGGCAGATCCGGGGCAGATAACCCGGTTCTGAAAGCGGATCCAAAACGGGTCCCGGGCGGATCCGCGAGATACGCAGCGGATCAGCCGCTTATTTTGACGGATCCGCGGCGGATCCGTTGCGGATATTTTTTGCTATGTGGGGCACTTAATTAAGTCATTAACAGAGATTTATTTTTTGCATGTTAAGACAAAAAACTAAGAAAAACAATTCCAGTTGTGAAAGAACATTAAGTTCAAGGGCACATCAGTGAAGTGGGCTGCTGCTAAACCTAAAAGTAGGTTTATGTACAAAATGTCACCGCACTCAGGTAGGTGATAGCAGCCATACTTTGGGCTCCAGTCTTAAACAGATCATGATTAGAATACATTTCTGAATTGGCCTGAATTATAGTTAACACAAGTTATTTTAAAGTATTTTATTTTAAATAACATATAAAGGCATTCATCACAATGTAGATCCCATCAGTGATAAACAAGAATTGCAAAATATTTTAGATCACATTTTGTCAACCATAACCTACTTGTTGTTGGGCTACTGTTTCTTGGTGTGGACAGTGTTTAAACAGTGGTTCATGTATTCATCTTCTCTGGACACTGAGTTTTATACCCCACTCTATATGCCTGCACATACACTCGTGCCTGGTTCATCCTGGAAAATCACACACACAGTACCATAAAAAAAAAAATATATGTATATATATATATATATAAAATACTACTATTGCTACCTGTATTTAGTGCAAAGCTGTACACCAAGAGGTCCACAGCGATCAACGTAACTCTCTCTGAAGGCCTTCCTCACGGCTCGAGCCATACTGACCACTGTAGTAACCACTGGGCATGTCCTTGGACACAACAACAAATTGTCTTAATATAGATTGGTTAAAATCATTCAAACTTTCATAGGTTACAGACAGCATTGATACATACAGTCGTTCACAGCGAAGGCCAGTGGTGCCTGCAGCACAGGTGCAGGTGTTGTGAGGGCTGCATGTGCCTCCATGTTTACAGGGTGGCACACAGGGAATGGTCACCGCTAAGAGGACAGAAACAGTTTTACTCCTTAAAGAACTGTTTTTTTTACAACAATCCTTAACAATGTTTACCTGTTTCACAGTAAACTCCAGTGAATCCTTTGCTACACTGGCACCTGTTAAGGCCTACACACACTCCTCCATTTATACAAGGCTTTTGACACTGAACAGGTTCTGTAAAAACAAATGGGGCAATAGTCAGCTGATATTAAGTTGATGGTTCAAACCAATTATGTACTTGCAGAAAACATTCCTTGTCATAAAAACAAACACATTAATATTACCTATCTGACAGCGTGCTCCTTGCCATCCCCCCACACAAATGCATTTGTTCACATCTACACATCTCCCTCCATTTTGACAGGCAGGCGTGCAAAGGGCTGAAAGGCCACATGCAGAGTGACAGCATCAGCCTTATGTACATCAAAAATGTTGTGTAAATTTAACACTTGCACAATAGACACACTGGGGTAGAAATATCCCCCCACCATAAATACCTGTGCGCCTTTTGTAAATAATGCATGACAGCTGTAACTAAAGCCAGATGTTCCAGTGGTTTTGGTACTCACGCAATAGACACTGGGGGCCTGTGTAGTCAGAAGGACACTGGCATGTTTTAGGTCCCACACAGCGACCACCGTTAGCGCAGGGCAAATCACAAACCGCTAAATAGACATATGTATATAAGCATGGTACAGCAAAGCCTTAATAATAAAACAGTTGTGATCTACACACTGCATTGACATGATAAGCATTTTATCTTTACATACATTTCCTGTGTGTTTACTTGTTACCTGTGTGGCAGCCTACTCCAGTCCAGCCTGCTGGACACAAGCATTTGTTCCACCTCATACAGCTGCCCCCATGTGCACAAGGGGGGGAGCACATGGCTGAAACATATGACCACATTTTAACAGAAGTTACAGGACCCACTGTGCTATTAAACTCAATCATCTTTCATTGTATAAAATCGTTCACAGGTATATAAAAGAAAACAGAATAGCTTCTTAAGAAATCAATTCAAGCATAAATCAATCTGTCACAAAGAGAAGACCATTTACCCGAGCAGCCAGGTCCTGGATAACCTGGTGGACAATCACAGCTATTTGGGGCTACACATATGCCATAATTTTGACAAGGAGGATCACACAAGGCTGAAATACAAAAACACATATAAATAATCATGTGGAGAAAGATAATGTGAATTGTTCCCACTCACGTTGACACTTTGTGGGGTAGTCTGTTCTTACAGTGTAGCCTTCTCTGCATGAGCAGTTGAAGCCACCAGGATGATTTACACACACTGCTCGCAGCCTCCATTTGTGAAGTCCCCGCACTCATTAACATCTACAATAAATCAAATAGGAGTTACGTAACAGTAGCTAATCTTCTGCTTCATTAACTGTTCAAACATAACATTTATCTTCCTTTTGTTGCTAAGACTATAAGAGGATTACATTAAAGGGCAGTTATGAATTATCCACAAACATGTCATATAATTTTAGATGTAACTGAAACTTTAAGTTTCAATAAACTGACACTTGGAAAACAGAGAAAGAGCTAGTCTCTATTACCCAAACAGCCCCAAAGATCTGAGTCCAGTTTCCAGCCCTCTCTACAACGGCATTGGATCTGTCCATCGGCCCTCACAGAGCACACGTGCTCACAGCCACCATTTCTCCACTTGCACGATGTTACATCTGCCCAGACAATTATTCAATTAATAATGAATAAAAGATAACAAGACTGTAACATACTGCTTTGACTTACTCATGCATGTGAGGTTATCTGTGTGCAAAAGTAGCGGAAATGGACACTGACAGGTGTGTCCTCCAGGAGAGTTGGTACAGATGTGAGAGCAGCCTCCATTTTGGAGTTTACATTCATCAATGTCTGAATGCACAGCCAAAAATATACATTAACAAATCTGCACACATTTAAATGCTAGCTGGAGCATTACATGCATTAAATGTACTGGTTTGGCATCAAACCCATTATTGGCAGAGCACTGTTTATTTAGAGACTGAAAATGTATGAAGAGTGAGATGGAGTCAGTGTGACTGACCCACACAGGTGGAGCCGTCGATGTGCAGCTGGTATCCAGGCCTGCAGGAGCATTCATAAGATCCCTGTGTGTTAATACAACCATGTGCACAAGTTCCATTGAGGGCCAAACACTCATCCACATCTGAGAGACCAGAAACACTTCATCAGGTTTGTGGCACAAGATATAAGGTCTACACGGTCCACAATCTAAGCTGTACATCTAATACAGTTAGAAAGAACACTTTCATCTTCTAAGATGACTGTATCTTAAATTATTGGGTTATATTTATTTAAATAGTCAAAGCTAGAATAAAAATTGTTTACTGAATTAGATGAGCTGATAATTTGCTGCACCTACCACAAGGCAGAATTACCTGTACAGTTATGTCTATCTTTGTCGAGTTGGTACCCTGAAGCACACTGACAGTGGTAACTTCCGGATTCATTAGTGCAGTTGTGTGCACACTGGCCATTGTTCACTGCACACTCATCAACATCTGTAATAAAACAAAGGCAGATTCAGTGTTTTGTACTGGTGTGCTTTAGCACATACACCTCATGTATTTGCTGTTCACACACCAAAACAGGAGTGTCCATCTCCATTAAAGCCCTGATAGCACTGGCAGAAATAAGAACCGATAATGTTTCCACAGCGAGCATTGGTGTCACAGTCATTGTCACCGGACAAGCACTCATTTTTATCTGAGGAAAAAAAAAATTCTTAAAACAAAGTTGTCCATTTACTAGAAGTTACCTGTTAACATCTGAGGTAAATTTACTACATTTCTCTTGCACAAATTAAACTATTAATATGTTTATCATTACAGGAGACAGTGCTAGAACTACCAACTCCCCTTTGCTTCTTGCGGTAACAAACAAACAGTGAGACACAACAGAAATGAATAGGTTTTTTTATGATGTTCCTTTGTAAAATAATAAAATAATAGTAATAACTGATTGGGAGAGCTATTCAGACTACTAAATACTAATGAATGTTTCTACTGCTACTAATTACTTTTTCCTCAAACACAGGTGAAAACAAATCACCAAAGGTGATGTATCTTGATACAAAACAACAGGCCACATTAAAACACATGAGGAAGGTGACCCAGCACACGGGATGCACAGTTTTCCATTGAGAGAGGTACTAATTACGTACCTTCGCAGTGTGTGCCGTTTCCGTGGTAACCTGGTTGACAAACACACTTGTAGCTCCCGAGTGAGTTTTCACACACGCCCTGACCAGCACACACCTCGGGACTCTCCTCACACTCATCCACATCTGGGACACACACATGTGGGAAGCCAAAAATGCTTTCAAATTACTTTTAAATATGTATCTGGCCAAATCTGAGTATTTGATATAAAATATGATATGAATTTCATGGAAACACAAACTAACAAACCAACAAATTGTCTTAAAAATTAACAAATAAAAAAATACTGATCTGAGGGTTCAAGATTATCTAATGGATAATTATTTTCCTGAAAGAAAACCAGCAAAAAGGCACAATTTGAAACAAGAATAGTTTTTCATACCTTGACATACAGTGTAGTTTGGGCACACTGGACCTACAGTAAAATGCATTCAGAAGCAGGTGTGGCAAACATAGCGCATAAAAACAGAGACGCATTAAGAGCAACACATTACTCAAACACACACTCAGATTTTGGCATAAATAAAAGACATTACAGTTCAACAAGAAAGGAGAGAAAAGCCACAAATATGCAAAGCAAGCAGGCATGATGCACAAGTTAAAACAGGGTTTCTACAGCTTTTAGCTGACTGACCAACACATGCGAGGTGCTCTGCTCTGAAGCCTGGCCTGCACTGGCACAGGAAGCTGCCTGGAGTGTTCAAACAGGTGTTTCCAAACTCACGATGACACTGGTCTTCAAAGCTGCACTCATCTACATCTGTGAGACATATCCACATGAAACATTTAAGATTTTACAATCAATGTAGGCCCTCTCAATCCTATAAAACGTTTAACATTTTGACTAATACAAGTAGGTCTACTTTAAGTTAAGTTGTATTTATCAACTAATGATAATAAAATATTAGAAGTTAACTATCATTAACTACATTAACAAATTCATTATCTAAATTGATTATCTCAATTATCTAAAATTAACATTCTGTTGATTTTGAAATGTACAAATCCATAAACTGCTAAACTAGTTTATAAAGGCATTTTTTAAATGTTAACACTCTATTTTACACAAACAATGGATGGGCAGATCCCATAGTGATCTCTTACCAACACAGACTTTTCCATTTACATCCATTATATAGCCCAAAGGGCACAAACAGGTGAAAGAACCAATAGTGTTTTTGCACTCAGCATTGCCCTGGCAGGCCTGCAGTCCCATCACTCTAGCCAGTTCACATTCATCTATGTCTGCATTAGAAACAAATATCTGCATTTCAATAAACAAGATGACAGATACACTAATGTAATATTACCATTCACAAAACAGACAGACCTTGGCATCCTGATGCTCCCATCAAGTAACCACGAAGACAACTACAGGAGTATGACCCAGGGGTGTTACTGCAGATGGCACTGGGACCACACAGGCCAGATGCCTCTTCACTGCACTCATCCACATCTGTCCATTTCACACAACATAACAGACAGAGCAAAACTAATTTCTTTACTAGGCTAATTTTACTCCATGGTCTAAAGGAAGGTCTATTTAATAAACGCCACTGAATATCTATGGTATTACATTTTGGTATAATAGTTGGTAGAGTACTCATTGAGAACATCAATCTGGGATATTGAAAAGATATATGAAATGCACAGAAGTAAAGGCCTACCTTTACATTCCATCTCCACCAGATCTTTCACCATAGTAAAGCCTAGCGGACAGGAGCAGTTATCCTTGTCCTTCACCAGGTGGAGTGGACAGCCACACTCTGTGCTGTTCTTCAGAGGGATTTGGTTTCCTGGACAGTAAAATGCTGAAGTGGATTGCTGAACTGCAGTCATTGTTGTGTTCCAAAGAGGAGCTAATAATAAATAAAACATTATTCATTAGACAATCTCAAAGAATCAAAGGTACATGGTTAAAATAACTTACAAGTGGTAGGTGTTCGGCTTGTAGTTTCACTAGTATTTCCAATAACATTGTCGACCAACTAAAAAGAAAAGCATCCAGACATTTGAAAGTTGCAGATGAAGATGCACTGCTTTAAGGTGTGTTCACACTTGTCCTCATTACTCATTAGGTCCTGTTCCAGGCCTCGTTTAGACCTGGATTCATTCCAAATTAGTCCTAATTTTGTTCCAGTGTAAGTGTCATTAAAATGCATTATGCAAAACAAGTTCATTTTGATTTAAAGGTTGTATAGAGGATTTTCCAAGGAACGAGAAATCCAGCGACTGTTTGTCCTTTTTCAAATGTTGCGCATGCGTGAAACCACCCCACCTCCCCTACAGCTCCCAACGTAGAAACGCCTCCTCCCGCCTCCTCCTTACGCCAGAAACAGGTTTGTTTACAGCCGGTGCGCTGCACATGACTTGTAAACAACTAACTACAGTGTTGGTTAGGCAAGGCAGAGAAGTGAGGAGCGGGGGGAGCGGGTGCGCGGACATTTCGTGCGCGGACGAGAAGTGAGGAGTAGAAAGAAGAGCAGAGCAGGGAGCAGGGAGAGGAGAGAGGAGAGGGGAGCGGTGCGCGGAGATTCCGTGCCCGGAGAAGTGAGGAGCAGGGGGAAGAGCGGATCGGGCAGCGGGGAGAGGAGCAGGAAAGGGGTGCAGAGAAGGTTGTGCGGAGATTCCGTGCGAATGAACTAGCTACAACACGCAGCAGCAAGCGGACTCTTTCTTTGCCTTGAAAATTACGTTTTCAGACATAGGATATCACTTTCGTGTCCTGAAAAACGTTTGACTAGTTCTTGGAAATACAGTACGTTTTCATAATAAGCAGAAGTGACCTGTCCAGGAGTAATTTGGCGACCAATGCGTCAGTCTTTAGACCCTGCGTCTGCTTCAGTCGCGCCATCGCTGGAATGAATCTTCAAGAATCACCTTAGTTTGGCTTCGCTGCTTTTCCCCTTTTCTTCTTTCAGCAATCTCAAAAACGGACTTTCTTTTGCGGCTAACTGCTCCTGGATTCTTGTCTGCCATTGCAACAAACTTTGTGCTAACTGCAAGGAAGATATAGGTCAAAAAAAGCCGCTAAGAACTGTTGCGTTGGTGGAGTAAACAGCGTCTGTGCGGCTTGCGTCTGTGGACTGCGTGACAGGCGTACGTAAACCACGTACCGGCGGCGCGCAGGCAGGTCAGTTACGCTAGAAACGTAGGGAGATTGATTGACAGCCTGTCAGCTAACAGATAACGAGGCAGTGTCGTTATCTATTGGCAAATGTTTAGCCCCACCACGTCCAGAGTTGATGAATTTTTATTCTCTTTTTTTTGGTCATCATAATTACAAGGCTACTGCATCTCTATAATGCTATCATTGACAATTTGAAACAAAAAAAAATCCTCCATACAACCTTTAAGAAAATTACAAGTTAAAATTATTATGTTAAAATTTGTTTAAAAATGATTACAATTCATACAGGAAAATTATGTTTTACTTTATATAAATATATGACTGTATTAATTTCATTTGGTTTGGTACCGCAATTGTCACGAGACTTTGAGAAATTGATATCGGGCCACAGGTAGATCGCATACGCCCTCTTATGCTAAAGATCATTAGAGCGAGAGCCACGATTTCGGCAGCTACAGCAGCTAACCGGCTGCACGAGATATAAAGTGCGCCAATCGCGCAGATTTCCTTTTCTTAAAGATCTCCGATGTGACAGGCGGCCACGAGGTAGCTAATTTCATCGGTACTTCTGTGTTAGCAAATATGGAGTGTCTAATTATATCTTTTATGTGTCCTGTAGTTTTACGGCATTTGTTAAGGCTAATAAATGCGCCAGTACTCGAGAACCGTGTGCAGTGTTGTCATTGAGGAGCTACATCCAGTTTGATGTGATCCAGGTGTAAGTGTCGACACACTCTTAGTGGATGATTCAAATGTGCATGACCCAGGGTGTTTAGAGTTTCACTGACCAGGCTCTTGGAGACGTGGGGGGACTTCAAGACTTCATTCTCCTCGGGGCTCAAAGGCTGACAGAAGGACACAAGCAGGAGCAGCGCTGATAGCAGAGTCCACAGGTGATTCATCACCAGAATCTGTTTTAACAGAGATGAACCGTGAGCCCCCTCATTACTATTGAGAGCAGAAACAATTACAGCTGAGTGGGCCTAATTAAAGAATCTTCATGCTCAGCAGTAATGTAGCAACATGTCCAGGCAGGCAAATGAGGGAAGAGCACCCTGTTATTACCTTCGCCCATGGGCTGTCTGTTCGGAACAATAGAAACACTTTAACAGCTACAGAAAGACTTCTCAATGCAAACATTTAATCTTTTTTATTCACGCTAAAAATGATGTGTTATGTCATGCTAAAAAATAAGTCTGCAGCTCTGTGGATGGTTTCCATCTTTTTTATTGTTACGCTAAAAAAATAAGTCTGCAGCTCTGTGGATGGTTTCCATTAAACAACTCAATAAAGACACAGATGTGGCTCATAGAGTTTTTCCTTAAAACTTGAACAGTTAAAGCTGCATTGAATCAACTCACCCCTCTTGGATTTACTGGCCCAGACGTATGTATCTCCACAGCAGGTTAAACAGTTTTCAAGATGTCACCAAACTTTGGTCGCTTCTCCAAATGCGAACTCCAGTCTGCTGTCAGTGTGGGGGGCTGTATGCAGCAGTAGTGACTCTACATCCTGTTTAACTTTGTACTTCCCATTCCCCAAATCCCAAATTACCCAGAGAAAGAGAGAGAGGAAGAAGGAGGAGGGAGAAAGAGGGAGGAGACAGCCCATGAAAGGCCTTTAGATGCCCTAGTATAAAACCTTGACCTCCAGGTCATAAAGAAGACTATGTTGTAAAAAGAACAATCAAATTGTCCAAAAGTAAATGTACTATTCCTAAGAGGACTTTACAAACACCTGCCCTACAGAGTTAAATAATACAAAACAAATTTTGTAATTTTCACAATTTATTAACATACTGATATGTTTTGTACATCTTTGCACTGAGCAAGCTAGTCATGTTTTATGCATCAGTCTTTTGCATGGATTTACAAATCACCAGAATTTCTAGACAGCGCTACAATGTCTCCTCTTCAACAAGTTATGAGTAGTTTTAGAGCGGAAACATAACTGAAGGGTTCTAGCTCATGTTGACTTAATCTTCAGGGGCAATTAAGAGTAGCCATCTTTAACTGAGCAAAAGCATGTCTTTAAAGGAATCTGCAGTACCTGAGAGAACCCACAATAACTCAAGGAGGACAGACTCCGCCCAGTGAGACATGACCCCTTCGTATGGCTGCCTATCAAAATGGCCACACACCCAAGACCCAAAGTTACTGGGATAAGCTTTAGTCCTGACCTGAAGAGGAAGTAAAATGTCAGCTCACATGGTCCATTCATTATTAAGCAGTGTTAAATATTTAAAGCATTTACAATAGAGCCCGACCGATATGGATTTTGCTGTGGCCGATATGAAACCGATATAATGGGGTTTGGCGCTGCCGATAGCCGATATAATCGGCGATATATTTAGTGATATAAAAATTCACTGTAAATGTTGAATTGTTTAAAAAACTTAGGTTTGGCTCTGGTGGATTTTAAATTGGGTTTATTTAGGCAACATTTATTGTTATTCTGCCTCTTTACATCATATTTACAGACAGTAGGTTGGCTTAATGGCATTTTTGCATCACATTCTAGACACTAGTGATGGGTATTCCAGTTCTTTTTAGAGAACCGGCTCTTTTGGCTCGGCTCACTAAAAGCAGCTGGTTCTTTTGGCTCCCAAGTGGCTCTTCAGATTGTTTTGTTGCAAGCAGGACTGAATCAGGACTGAACCAGGTCTAAACCAGGACTGAAAAAGGACTAAACCGGGACTTATTTATTTTATGCTAAACTACAGTCAAATATGCTCGTTTTTTTGTTTGTTTTTTGTTTTGTTTGTTTTTTAATCCTACATACACGCAAATTTCTCAAAGTTTCGTTTTTAGCCGCTGCCGCTGTCAAACCACGAATCACGTGGCGTGAAGAGAAAAAAAGTGAGAGAAAGAGAAAACACGGCTCCCAATAAGGATCAGGCTCCCATCGTTCCCTTCAAAGAGCCGGTTCTAAGAGTCATTTCGTTCGCGACGGACCCATAACTAGTAAAGGAAGTAGCGCTATTAGCCTTTAGCCGTAAATACGTGCGCGCCGCGGTAATTAATTATATGCGCAAATGTCATAATTCACACGTCTGTTTACAGCGCAGTGCAGGTCCAGTAGCAAATATACGGCCAATATAGTCACTTTAGAACAGACCAATAGAAAACAGTCTGTTTATGTGCGGGAGCTACAGCAGCTAACCCATAACAAATGACAAAAACTAGCTTCAGAGTCGACATATTTCCAACACTCACCGCTCATACAGGCTCCTCCTCACATCACAAATCTGCACTAATAAATGTCCTTTTAATCCAGACTCAAACCAATTGTCCGTAAAAAGAATATATTCTCAGTGTTTGGATCTGTGTCTGCAGGTGTAAACAAACACACGTGAGTGACGCGACTCTGTGGTGTGTTCAGGGACAGTACGGACACACACAGACAAATGACTCCGTAGATAAATACTGATGTGGAGCCACATATTAGGACATTTATCTGTCTGTAAATTGGATTAAATCAACAGAATGTAGAGAGTCTAAGCTTTATAACGAGGTATAACATGCCCACATGAAATATCGGCCCCTATCAGCAAGCATATCGGCCGATAGCCGATATGCCTAAAGTTGCCCATATCAGCCGATAATATCGGCCAACCGATATATCGGTCGGGCTCTAATTTACAATATACATTTTATTACTATTTAATAGATATTAAATAATTCTATTGTAACAGTAATATTTCAAATGCTACATCAGTCTAAACAGTGTGCCAAAAAACAGAGACAAATGAGACAAATAACATATTTATAACAATTATGCAGGTGTGCATTGATAGTTAACTCCACTGTAACTTCACCTCCCACTCCCCTCGCCTTTTGCAAGTCAAGTCTTCATGTTGTACTGTGTTTCAGTATGTGCTTATGTCACGGAAGTGTTTTTTTTTGTCCTGGTCCCACATTAGAATCAACTCCTTGGTCTTAGAGTTGTTTCTTTTTTTTTCTCCTCCACCTCTTCTCATGTTATGCTGCATTGTTTTTTTCTTAAAGATGAAAGACCTGACTTTGCCCTTCTGGTGATCAATAAAGTATCTGTCTATCTCTCTATCTCTCTATCTATCTGTCTTAAACTTGACTTGAATTTTCTACAGTTGTCAAATGGTCCAAATAACTAATAATACAGTAAAAATACAGCTATCAATAGCTTCTATGCAGCAATGCACTTTTTGACTATGTAGAGATATAAAAGCTCTACATATTGTAATTTTACCATGTGAAAGAAGAAGCACAGGGTGATGAAATAAACATGTTACAGGACTTACTGACAGCCTGAGGTCCTAAAAAGGTGTGTCCATTTGGCTGCACTTGGCTGCAGGGGACACCACACCATAGCTTCTCTCGTGCCACCGCAGCCACTGCATGTGCATCTCCTTTTGAACCTGTCAGACACAACAGCTCACTATAAAAACATTCTCCTTGGCTTGACCATGTCAACATTTGACATTGGCTTTTATTAATTCAATTAACTAGAAACAATTAAGGTGATGGGGAATGAAGTTTTGTACTGACCTCTTGATTGAGAAAACAGTAGAGAATTGCTACAAGGAGACCCTGCAACAAAGAAAGAATTAATAATTTATTCAGAAGTCATCAAACCATACATTCAGTCATGTTGGTAGATCCTGTTTTTTTTATTTTTATTTAATCTTTATTCATCCAGATAAAATGTTTGAGAACCAATTCTCATTTACAAACATGAGCATGCCAATAGGCACAGGAAAAAACATACATACACACAGCTATACACATCAGAGACAAGAAACACAATGCACTGAGCATTGAACATTCAATAAAAAAAGGGGGACAACAAGTCTTAGTGTTAATAAGAACAAGTGTCACTAACAATCTGTAGAAGTAAACATAAGGACACTGTTTACTATGAAAGTATTTAGTGTTATTTTATTATATTATTACATTATGCTTTCTAAATGTAGCCTGTATTTGCAGCAGTACCTGAAAGGATCCTAGACAGAGCTCAATACAGAAACGCAGATTGACACTGAAGTAGTCGGGCAGGAAGTTGAAGAACATGTAGTGAGTCCCAAACAATGGGAGGAGAAGAAGAGTGGACTTGGTCAAACGCCTGTACCCAAAATAAGACAAGAAAGAGACAAGGCACTTTCATTGTAAGTAGGGATGGGCATTCGATGAAATTTTCTTAATCGATCGTCGAGAGAATTAACCATCGATTATCGATTGATCATTAACGTTTTTATATTAAAATGATCATCATTATTATTACTAGCTGCACTCCTAATCTGCATAAATAAATTCAACTTTTACGACAAATAAACCGTAACCACTCTAGAGCCACATCAGCCCGTTTATTATAATGTGTTTAATTCAGTTTTCCGCAACTCTCACAGAAACGAAACTTAAAACCGCATCGCTAATTTGCATAAACTCAGCGAAGATAAAACTACAGCTCTTGTGCGTTGATGCCGTCAATTTCTGTCGGATTAAAAGACATGAGTCAGTGGAATACAGGTTAGTGTGACCATATTTGCGTTTGTCAAAACCAGGACACCGTACGGCGACTGGGAGGTGGTTCCTCGTCATCGACATTGCGCGACTCTCACCTGGTAAAGCTTTTTCCCACTGGACACCGAAACATATGTGCTGCTTTGTACACTGTGCACATGGACTCACACTTGTCCCGACCGGAAAGTGTGGAATTTCTTGTACAAGTCTTCTTTAAATACGCATATGCACTTCGGTACGTTGCAGGCTGACCGACTGTTTGTGTTTGCTCGCTCCTTCTGAGTGCAGAGAGCTACATGTACGGACCCCTGTTTGGTCACGCTACGCACAGCAACCTACACTCGGTTTGTCGATAAAAATATACGTAATCGATGAAATTCTTAATGATCAATTATCGATTAATCGACTAATCATGCCCATCCCTAATTGTAAGCAAACACACCAACTTATTTATGATTGTATACAATCATTAATTTGACATGCATCTTGAATGATGAAGAAGATGCATAAACTATATTCAAATCATTTAAATATAAGAGCAGAGGTTTTGAGTGAGGTTACCTTTTCTATGCAGTATAATTAATTCAAGTAGCACTACCTATAATCTCATTAAGCAGAGCGTTCTTGTACACATTTACTCTGACAAGACCTGGATTAACATATTTATCAAATATTCATCATAGATTGAAATATAGTGTTACATAAGGTTGTTTGGATGTTTTAAGTTATATTTAGTAGAGTTAGCGAATATTTGATTTGCAAACTGAGAGAAATAAAACTGTAATTTGTAACATTTGCTCTCCTTTAAACAAGCAGGTGTTAACTGTAATTGGATAATTCCAGACAGCATTTTCAAATACAGGCATACTAAACAGGACACAGCCATTATGTTTTTGTACTAGTGCGTAAAGACATGACCATGCATTATTACTATTGTGTGTTGCATATTTAAAACCTCTCATTAGCATGTTGTGTACGTGCATAGTACGTGCCTGACCCTTGTCCTCGAAAGGATTACCTGTACTGTGAGGAGTTGTTGAACTGGATCAGACGAGGATTGAGTTTCTGATTTAGGATCCTGATGATGTTCATGAAGAGCATAAAATTAACCTGTTGTAAACAACGAAATGTTAATATCTCCATGAGTGTGACTGGTCTAAAACAAAACATAATCACCATTGCTAGCTCATGCTAATAATAAAGGCGGTGAGCACTGAAGTGTGAAATTAGCACAGGCATTAGGGCAGTGTCAAACACACATGTGTTTTTATATTGGAAATCAATATAAAAACACATTTAAATGATCAACGGTAAAAATACAAATCTGCTTAACAAGGTGTAATCTTGTTTAATAAAAATTTATTGAGTCTATTCACCGCAATGGACACAACAATAGGCCCCTTGATGATCCACCAAAACTGTGATTCCTCATTGATGTCCCAGCATCTGTTTCACACACACCATACAAAAAAGATGATTACTTTAGAATAAAATGACATGATAGCATGTCTTGATTAATACAAACTCTGTGTCCTCGAAATACATGCGAGATCCAATCCACAGAGAAATAAAGATGAAGGGAACTCCTGAACAAAGGCATAGAAAACATTGGTCACTTAAAACAAATGACACATTTTATTACATGCAGTGCATGTTCTGACAGCATTGGATGAAAATGTTTGAAAAGATTGAGTATTTGAAAAAATCTTGTGTATTTTAATGTATGATATGTTATAGGAATTTATAGAAACAAATATGTTTTAATGTGTCTGTAGTTATTTTCTCTTACATACAGATACTGCTCACCCCATCCCAACAAGCTGAAGCCCCACATACAGCAGCAGCTATGGTAAAGCGAGGAGAGCAACAGGGAATTGAGGTAGAGTGCCTCCACCAGGAGCCAGAAGAAATTGGCCATTACACAGTAATGGCAGAAAATGACAGAAGCCTTACAGGCAAACTAAACAAAAGAAGGGAGAAAAAAATAAGGAATTAGAGTTAGTACAAGAAAAGAGCTGTGCCAAGCTAAAGGTAATCAGCAATTAAATAATAAGAACAGGACTGTTTCATCTTACTGTGGAGAGGGTACAGTGGTTGGTGTCCTCACTGGAGAACAAAGTAGCATCTTTTATAAATACAGAAGCAGCCTTTAGGATAAATGTGATGAACAGCTGGATGTGAATGTAGTTTCTGGCACAATGCAGCTTCCTGTGAAGAAGTCGAGTAGTTTAAACCCACTTTTGTAAAATATTAATGACAGTAAACATTCCCTTATCTGTAAGTTTATCCAAAAGACTTAATAATGCAATCATCTAAACACACGAGAAGGCCTAGTATTAATTAAGAGTCTCTCAGCTCCAGAGCTGGATCAGGAGGTCAAAGGACTCTTGACATTCTGTCACCTGCTAAATGAGGCAGCAAGGTTTGATTCTCACTCAGCATCCATAATGAAGTACACATAAACACTATTGTTTAACAAAGGGCTGTTTTACGTACTCTCACAGCAAATTATATGCCTCCAAATAAAGGAATGTTTTCAGACTGATTTCTTCAGTGTTTCATGACACTGCCTTATTTTGTCAAATAGCTGTTAATGCAACATTAACTAAGATTTTAGGCAGAACATCATGTTTTGTTTTTTCAAGAGACATCCTCTACCCATAGATTAATCACTGACTGACATCATTGCGTAATATAAAAAATGCAATACACCTAAAAGGTCAATTTAGTAAACAAAAGCATGTTTAAATGAGTTGTGACTTTCTGTTATAAACAAAGTGCTTTAGAGTAGCATATGGGACTGCATACTGAGCAGAAAGTATAATATTGAGTGGATGTGTGGGGTCTACTAGTGTGCCAAACATAAAACACTTGAAACACAGAGAAATCAGGATAACACACATTGTGTTCCTTTAATCACTGGCCTCCTCTGACATTTATTACAAAGGTTGTTAACTGAGTGTACTGGAATTTGCGTTATCATCTTCTTCTGGTAAATTAAGCCTGATTTGAATAATGGCCATCTGTAAGCATAATATATACGAACCTGAACAGCATCAGAATAAGCACAGCCACAACAAGCACGGCCAGAGATACACTGTAGCCAATGGTGTAGATGATCTTCACAGTGGCAAAATATGACTGCTCGGTCTGAAAGCACATCAAAAAGGTATTTGCTTAAAAGGTTGTTCGAATCAAATATCAAAGCTGTGTGACATGCTAGGGCAGTTGAATATAATATGCCAAAATGACAGAATAGCTTTAACTTTTAAGGCGACCACAAAAGAAGACTGAAAAAGAAGTTTATATTTTCACTGTAATTGATACACTACTGTAATAAATACTCATTCTAAAATGAAAACCTACTCAAGTACAACATTAATTTCCAATGTTTATTTTCCTGGAAATCCAAAAGGATATCTCTATATAATATAGCTCTATATGACAATCAAAAGAAAAGGGTGCGGCAATGCATAAAACACTGTTTCAACGATAATTATGAACAAAAAATTACTTGGTATGATAGTGCTCCATTTTCTCTGTGTGAAACACAATATTGTGCCAATTACCTGATGGGCCTGTTGGCTGCTTTGCATTCAGAGGGAGCTCGTTTATGGTAAAATAGCTTGATGTTCCAGTGAATTTTGAACTGCGGATATTATTTTTCTTTGTGAAATGAATACAACTTTAAGGGTTATTTGAGGGCTCTTTCTATGCTCCCATGGGTATCAGTGAACAAAAATTTGTAAAGTTGCCATAGCAATAAGAATGGTTTGAATAGTCAAAAATCCTCAAAATGTCGCCTATAAACAGGGAGCTGACTATCATCAAGAGACATTGTAAACAATATAAATACTGCCATTAGCTTAGCAACCCATTAATTAGTTGTCATTAATCTATATGTTCATTAATCTGTATTTTTTTATTATTCATTATGGTCATTAGTTACTCCAGCCCCACTTACCACCAAAGTGTGTGAACAGCTTCTAGTATTATGTCGCTTGTGAAAGTGTTTCCTGACTTTCTCCTGGGCTCACCTCTAGGAGGTCATCCTCCACGGTGCAGGCGATGTGGTACGGTGGGAATGGCTTGGACCACCCTCCACTGGTGCAGTTACGGCCAACCGACCCTGAGGTAACAAGTTAAACATTGGACTATCTACTAAAACAAGCAAAGAATAATGAAATTTCAGTGCCCTGTGAAACTATAGCATGCCAGTTGTGTGGAGGCCAGCTCATTACAAATCCACCAACACAGAAATCAGGGGCAGACTGCACTCTCGAAAAACAAATTGAAATCCCAACTTTATATTGCACAAATCTATTTGTGTTAATCCTTTCTTTTACGTGATGACCCCTCTTTATTTGAATTTAGTTTTAGTTTGCCACCTGTGATATTTTTGAAGAGTGAGAAGACAGCAGGACAGGCCCTGTAGATGGTTTCCCCGGTGACTGCATTAGGCCAGCAGACAACAGCATCCCACATGGGTACACACCCTTTGAAAGAAATTATTCAAATGCGTGTCAAGACATGGTAAATAGACAACATACTCATCTTCTTTATATTGGTTTTATTTTGACATTTTTGTGTGAGGCTAAAAGTGCAGCAGTAAAATTGAATACACCATGGTGTAAATAGGAAGCCCAGTGGCTGGAAATCATACCGTTATTGCTTTTGTTGGTGTGTTCTGCGACGTACTGAAGGCAGTGCTGCTCATCTCTCGCAAGCTGAAAAATGTATTCACACTCCGGGTGAAGGGTGGACAAAGCCTAGACATGGAGACAGAGTCTTTTCAACATCACTGTAGCAGCGCTGAAAGAGTGGTACTATGAAATCCATATGTTCTAATGGACTAAAGACACATTTCATTGACACCAGAGAGCTTTATTCAACATTGTCATTCATCAAGTTTCTCTCATATAAAGTCGTTCAGCCCAGATATTGATGTGGGTTTGCTATAAAGGACACAAACCATTGCACAGGCCTTAAATAACTATTCCACCACTTCAATGAGCTGTCCAGCAGAGACTGAAAATACAGAGCAGATTTCCATTTAACTTTGGCTTGACATTTAAGTCAGAGTAATTCAAATCAATCTTCCATCAAAAGTGACTGAGTTATTGTAAATACAGGCAGAGTGAATAGTGATTCACTGAGACTGAGCGTGCATCTAAGATCCAAGGATGCAAAATATTAAATGCCGTGAACAAATACAGCAGACCAATGTTAAGGTTGACAGTCAGCGCACAACACTGGTGTGGATATTTTTGTTCCACAGAAACAGCACTGTCCTCAGGGGCTTCAGGTGACAGAAATGCCAGCAGCTTAAAAAGCAGGCTGGATTCACAATGCCACAAACCTTTTCCTCAACAGAAATAAAACAATCTGTAAAAGTCTAAATCTTGACTTCTGCCATAGTTAATCCTGTCCCTACAAGCTCATTTTCAGCTTTAAGGAGTGTATTAGATGTCAGGGCAGACGTCAGCATCAGTCCCCCTGAGCCGTGCACGGGTGACTGAGCATGGTGAGTCTTCATTATACATGTCTAAACTAATTATATTGTGAGTACATCAGGAGTAGGGCTGTAGTCCTTTAATCATTTAGTCAAACTGGTCAGTGGTGTCTTAGTCAACCAAATTTCTATTAGCTGACATTGTTTTATTAAGATTATAATTTTCCTTCTCTGTATACATAGTTGTTTCGTTTAGTTTTTAGTCATCTACAGACCAAATCAGAAGTCTGTGTATAGCCTGTAATGTTACTAGCATTAGTTATAGATTATAACATTAAGGAATAAAGTATAAATTACTTATTATAATGGGGTCCAATAATATGATTTATATTTAAAAAGGCTTTTCTGTCGTTTCATCTGTGCTCACAGGTTTGGATAGAATAAGGATTGAACCTGAATGATTTTTGAATTAACTGCAATAACAGATCTTTCCTTTGAGCTTTTCAAGGTCAGGGTCACCACAGAAAAACCTCCAAGGGGGCAATGATTCACTGGTTAGTCTGACTAAGCAAATTTAAATGCACTTTGCACATCGGTCTCATTCACAAAATAATTTCAAAATCAGACTGAATGATTTTGGAAAAACATCTAATTTCTCATAAGCATCATGGTTACAATTCAGTTTACGATTTCTGTTTTGTTAGTAGTATTCTGTTCATAGTGAGATCTGGTTTTAAACAAGTCTAGGAGTATTACCATTTGGGACGTGAGTGAAATATGGACTGCTAAACTAATACAAGATTGCATTTTGCCTGCATCCCATGCATTTTTGAAAATATTTGTAAAGGCCTAAACAACAGGGTTAGCTGTTTTTTTGTTTTGTTTTGTTTTTTACATAATAAGACCATAATTAACCTGTTGTTTGCTACGAGAATGATGTTAGCTAAATAATATCAGTCCTTGTGATTAGCTAATTGAGACTATTACAATTTCAGTTTGATTGCAATATATCTTACAGGTCTAGCTCAAATCTTAATAGCTGCACATAATTCTTTTATTTCCTAATAGAGCTAGCGTTGGGTAATGGGCACCTATCTTTATGTTAGTTCGCACTTTACTTTAATTGGCTAAATCCTTCTGTCAATCACTGGAGCATGATGAAAGTGTTCCAGTATGAAAGTCAGCCTGTGCCTGTGTTTGAGCATGGAGCTGCATTAAACAGAACACACTGAATCACATTGTAATATTTATCTCAGTATATCGCAGTATGGATAACATCTCTGAGAGACTTGAAGCTTTACAAAGGGTGGTGTGTAGACCTTGAGACAATGAGACAGTCAGAGCTGATGTGAAAAGAGTGCAGCTGGCTCGACCCAAAACCAAAACATGATGGGGCTGATCTTGCCCCCAATCTTAGCACTTGGAGTTAAGGAGGGGGCGTGTCCAGGTCGGGCTGTACTTCACTGCTGGAGGCTGGAGTGGGAACAGTACAAGCGTATATGGTGACGGCATCTGAACCAGGGTCTGTTGTATCCAGTGCCCCCTGGCTGCAGGATCTAGAGGCTGCTTCTCTATATTTTGGGGTCGACTCCAATTCCCTCTCCTCCCCGGTTGCTAGTTTTGTCGATTATGTCTGTACTGTGTTTTTGTTGTATGCGCTGATGTAGCAGAGGGGTTTCTCTTTTCTTTATGTACTGGTTTCAGATAGTTAGTGTCCCAGATTCCAGGCAGTTAGTATAAGTTTCCAGATTCCAGATAGTTAGTTGTAAAAAAAAAAGAAAAAAAAGATAATTACATCACAGATAGTAATCTCAAGACCAAACTGTTTAGGGGGGATAGGCAATCTATTGTCATCGGGTCATGATTATATTATACTGCATTGAGATGATGAATGGTAATGAAAAAGATCAGAAATTGAGAAGAACGCCAACAAGTAAAAAGACAATGGTGCTATTATTACAATATATATTGTCCTGGATATAGCAAGCTACTTTGATCTTATTTCAAAGACCTAAGAAGAAGCAGTGACAACATAACGGCAGAAATTAATGAAAAGTAACTTGAGGAACTGGAATCCTATGGGACAATGACACTCTCTAAGGATCGCACTGTACTGAGCGGTGTTCATTAGCCCCAGGTTAAGGCTACATTGTGTAATAGTAAAACACTGAAAAAATATATGACAGAGAATCAGCGTGTGTGTGCTAAAGCTTCCAAACAGAAATCCACCTGGAACGGTTCTGTGAAATGTTGGAGCATCCCTGTGCATTGATTTTCTTTATTATCATAATGTTTGTTGTTGCATGTAGCCTGAGTGAAGACAAACGTAAGGAGAGTTAGAAAGTATAAAAATAGCAGGCAACAAAAATGAAGAAATTATTTACTAAAGGATCATGTTGTAAAACAAAGCGCATTTAAATGGCATGTGTAGAATTTGAAGTGAATAACATTATAGATTCCTGACAATCCATTAATTGCTTTGCCTTCATTATTAGTATACCCTTGTCAATAGAGAATAGCATATTAGAAATAGCAACCAAATAAACCTAATTATTGTGGATGAGGTTATAAAACTCTCCCATATGTTGAAGATGCAAAATAATGTGAGAATGGATACCAACAATTAGGGATGTCAAGATCATTCAATTAATCAATGATTGTGATCATGCACTGGAGGTGGGAGTAAAAGAGTGTTTTTTCCAACTTTCAAGATTTTTTTGTTTGTTGTAAGTGTACAAATGGTAGAGAAATGTTTTCTTATTTAAATTTAAGTTTTTTGTAATGTTACATTGACTACACTGAAAAATTAACAAATTCTCTATTGTTTGGTGTCAAGTGTTCATGAATCATCACAATAACCAAATGCTAAAATCTGATACAGCAACATCCCTCCCAACCAACTATCGGGCAAAACAGCTGCCTCTCTGTGTGCTGTCCTCTTGTTCATTACGATACTGTGTTCACTGCCATTGTTCATTACCAGATTAAAAATTTAAATAGTTTATCTGATTGAAGTACATATCTACACCTGTCACAATAATTACTGCTAGTATATTGATTTATCACTCAATATAAGGGAGATGGATCTATAAATTTTGGGGGTTAGTCTTTATCGTGGGTTCATTTTTTTAGTACTAGCGGTGAACTTTTAGTTATTTTTCTTGTTTTCTCCAAATAGACATGAGCTTTAGGGTTGAATAAATAACTTCAATAATTCATTATAGATACAAACTAACTACTAAAGTGTTTCATTACACTATTTATTTATTGTATATTGCACCATATTGTGCATTTGGAATATTTTTGGGGGGATAATTCTACTTTAAGGTTATTGTGTCAGTGGCATAAGTCAGTTTCAGTATTGTCATTTATCAGCTATATATTTTTAAGCAATCGTACTTCAAAATTTGTTATTGTGATAGGCCTACCCATGTCTTCCTGTTTAACACTTGACAGATTTGAAAATATCCTAGTTTATAAACAAATTCTGATATCGACAACTGACGACAGTGACTGGAGAGGTAGTTTTGGAGATTTTAGCTTTACTCAAACTCACGCAAAGCAATAAAGTAGCCTCCTTTTCTGCCTGTAACAACTCAACTTGCATAATAGTCCTTCTTATAAGTGCCACAAAGAAAAATGAGTGTTGTCCTCTTTCACCTGCCAGACAACACAACATAAAAGCAGTCATTTTAGTGCATATGTATGTGTATGTATTCTAGAGCAGCTTAACTCAATTATGCATTCAGTGTCTGGTTAAGCATCAGGTGAGGTAAACCTGAATGTTCACAGAGCGAGCATACCGTGCTTGTGCATTTCAGCTTGTATTATGTGGCATAAACTCCCACACAGGAAAGGGCAAAACCAAAAATATCAAAATATAGCATTTCAGGTGAGTGTACTATGAGCCGTGAAACTAAATGCAATGCCAAAGGGCTCTCTGGACTTGTGCAGTGTGCTGTAAAAATACTCTCTGAGAGGTGAAACCCATTATCCACTAACTAGCACCCAAAAAGGCTCTCACTTTGCAGATGTTGCTTACTATTTTCACAAGCAGACGACACCCCCTGTACCCATCTAGTCTGCACCATTGTGAAACTGAATATACATCCTTGCTCAATCTAAGGCTTTGATAATTTTCTATATACATGTTTAGAGAATAGCTATAAAAAAGAAATATGGAGATGCAAAATACTTGGACATGATTTCTTTCAAGGCAATATGTGGATGTATGATTCCTGTGGTTGGAAGATATAAGCTATGGTAGAAGCTGTTGACATTTTATTTTTGTGAAGCTCATTTTTCTATGCCTCACCTGTTTGCACTTCACAGAGCTGAGAAATAAATAGCCTAGTATAGAGATGATTTGCACTCATCCTCAATGTTTACCGTTCACACACTATTCATTATAATATGGATTTACATTTTTGGTGTAAATTTTTCTCAAAGCTATATTTGTAGAAAATATAATGTTAAGTAATTGGCCCAAACTATCTAACTATGTATCTTTCCCACCTGCTTGGCTCCATGGAAAAGTTACCTTTACTTGAAACGTTTACAGCATTAAATGTACCTAGCTCCATGTAGGCAAGCATCTGACACCACCATAGGTCAATTTACCAGTCTGTGGAGGGGCAAGCACACTCACAATAAAATGCGTATTTATCAAGGTATTTTTGAGCAATAAAAACACATGTAATTGTATAAATGCAGATATGTATAATGCCATTCTGTAGAACATTCCAGGCTACAGGGACAGCTGTACGTCCATGTAAGTCCATCCAAGCAGGTGGAGGACCGCCCCCTTGAAAAGTTACATAGTGCACCTTGAAAAATAAACAAGTAAGCATATTTTATTGGCAATCTGCAGAAGTAACTCACAATTAGGCGAAATTAGGCTATTCCAGCTGGACTCACTTCCTTTGTTGACACAAGCTGCTTGTCATTCAATCCAGATTGTCACAGCCAAATTATGAGATGCAAAATCATGCTCTCTGGGGCAAATTTTGGATAGTCCTAATTATCACATTGCTTCTAGTATTGTACTGTGACATTTCAGCGATGGTGAAAATCTTTTATTTTTCCCCCTTTTAAAATGATGCTTTTCTTGTCCTGTTGACTGCAAATGGAACACGTCTTCAGCTCAATCAAACTCGAGCCAAACCAAGCCCACAGAAAATTAAGCGCATAAAAATAAAACAATTTTGTGATTTTTGCCATGTCTTAAACTTCCATACTCCGCAACAGAAATTATTCAGCCAAAACTGAAGTTCCACACAATGCTTCTAATAGGCTAATTAAGAACGACATGCATAAAATTATCATAATTGGACCCTGTACTTACAGATAGTGGAAGAATAAAAATGACGAAGATGCATGTGGTCCGGAGAAAGAGCATGGTGCGGTTCTGTGGGTTTTTCCCGCCACACTGAAGCGTGAATGAGACGAGAGCGCGCGCGGAGCTCGGAGCACCACAGAGTGTCGGGCTGCCTCCGCGCTCTGAGCCTCCCACAGCACAGCGCCTTCACCATGGAACAGGTGATTGTAAATGCGAGGAGCAAACTGGAGGATTTCAGGGATACAAAACAAGAATTTCCTGATTGAGGTGGTTTTCAATTGAAGTAAAAACCGTTTAAAGAGAGGGAATGGGGGCGACCAGATCAGGTGAACGCTGTTTAAACGACACGCACACACACACACACATTTATATATATATATACATACATACATATATATATATATATATATATATATATATATATATATATATATATATATATATATATATATATATATATATATATATATATATATATATATATATATATACACATATATATATACACACTCAAGTCACTCAAGTTCAACGCATACACCGCACTGTGTCGCCCAAACTTCACAAATGCGCCACTGAAGAAAAACATCAACATTCACAAAAACAGCAGGATTTCTCTCTTTATTTATAAGCAAAGAAACAGACACATGGTTGGAAGAGACTCTTGATTAAAAAAAAAAAAAAAATAGAAATACAATCCAAACCTAAATATATATATCCTTCATTGAGTAGTGTTGTGAATAAAGTCTTATTGCTGTGCAAGAATGCTTCAGAAAAACAACTATTTTTAAAACTTACTTCAGTATCTTTATAAAAGTAATTATTAGGTCAAAATATTGTGAGACCATGTGTTCAAATGCCTGTAAAGACTAGTTAAATAATTAATAACTGCAAAAGTATGCCCAAACTAATGTGTCTGGCCACTAATTATGCAAAAATACACAAAATATGACTCACTGGTGATTACATTAAAGGCACTTTAGAGAGTGAATGAGAACAGACATGTTGTACATGTACAGACATTCTCCGAACTTAGGCAGCACACTGCATCTGAAAGTGCATTTACTTACACATGTCACTAATTACTATTCTAATAAATAGGAAGTATGCAAAAAAGTTGAATTTAATAATTAACCCACTTTCTTAAAACGTCTAATTTTGAAGTGACCACTATTTCACAGGGTAAAATAAGTTATAACACCACCTGTCTTACAGGTGAGGAAAACACAAAAACATGCTTACTAAAACTTACAACTTACATATTTTCAGTTTCTTGATGACTACAAATAAACCAAGCTCCAAACACTCCCAATTAAAAATGTGTAAACCAACAGCATCATAACGTGAATCATTACAAATGATTAAAATGATATCAGTATTAAGGTATGGCTGATAAAAAAAAGTCTTCTCCTGAGATTTCCCATAAAGTGTATAATGCACTGAGCAGAGAAAAGTCCTGTAGCTTCAGGGAAAGTCACTTCCGTCATAGATTACAGGCTGCTCCATGGTCAGATGATAGAAAACCTTTTTAGAAATAAACCTGTGGGGGATAATTTTTATTAGTGTATTCATAAACCTGCCAGATCAACAATAAATAATAAAATTATGAAAATTCTAATCTGAAATCCAGTACCGAGAAAAGGAGTTGTCAAAGATGAAAGTGTAGAGGCCGGGGTGTCGCACTTTGAGCTGTCCCTGAACAGTCTGTTGATGTGAATTACAGCGAGTGAGAGGAATCAGGACCTGAGAGCAGAACAGAAACAACAGAGTGAAGTGAAACATACTGATGGTTATAAAAACATTCATCAGTCAGAAAGCACACTCTGGGTCTTGGTTTATTTTTACAGTTACTGTAAAAAGAGTTTGGTAAATCACAATGAGGAAATTAAAGTGGGAAGTGTTGGTACTGTTGCAACCCTGATTGTAAAGATGGTCTATCAAGCTGATGGTTAATAACTTTTATTGAACACCTGTATGTGAACATACTGTAAACATACTGTAAGAGCTACAAGAAATTAATTTAACCCTTATAGTGAGTGATATTTACTGCTTTACCTTTTACCGTACTCACCAACATTACATGAATTGCCATTATCTGAAATTATTACACCGTATTTTTTACCTTTTGACAATCTCTACTTGGGTGCTTTATAATTGTGATGCATTTTAATAAACCCCTTTAAACCATTAAATGTGTCTTTTGTCTATGTAAAACACAAAATGACACATTTAATTTGTGTTACATTATATTAACAAACCTCCATCTAATGGGTGAAAAATATACTTCATTAGCAACTTAGCACTATCAAACACTATCAACACTATCATAAGATACAGGATAAACACACTTCACAACATTGATTAACCTTGTTTCTGCATGAACCATTGTTTGATTATTAGCTTTTGTTTGACATTCAACAACTTTCTTGCAAAATAAAATTCAACCTATAATGTATAGTCAGAGACTGGTCCTAGCGACTGGTTACTCAGTCTCTAGGAGCAGAAAGTGTATTGGAGAAAGTCCCTTTCAGTCTTTTCTCCATAACCAATCTTCATTTTCTTACGGGTCCTTCCTTGTCCTTTACTGTGTCCATTAGTTGTGCTAATCTCCATTCACTGCGGGGTAAAACATTTATCCTGACAACATCTCCAACTTTTGAGTTTCTCCTTGAAGTGTGCCAAAGCTGCCTTGTTGCGACATTAGCAAGATATTCTCTTCTACAATGTGACCAAAATTGTTCCACCTGTTGTGTGAATGTCCTCTCCGATTACAACAGCCATTACATCGCACAAGAATGTCCTTAGGAATGCATCATCCATTCTGAAATGATGAAAGTGATGTAGTTGAGCGAAGAACATATTGAATTGTCCTTATTTGTCTTTTCCATAAACATCTTGTATGGCTTGAATGTGGAGTGTGCATAATGAAATCACAATGTTTCTCAAATAAAAATGTGGAAAGTCAGTCTACTTCTTTTAAATATTCCCGCAGCTCATTTTAGCTCCAATAAAGTTGCTTCCTTGATCGCACCTTATTTCTCTTATTGTAAAGAAGCAATGGAGTCCATTAATAAAGGCATCATTCAACATTTCTATGAAGACATGACAAGGAAGTCCATAAAGCTCGTGTACTTTGTGACCTTGTTTTCTATGAAAGGCTCCAACTCAGTCCATTCCACAATATGTGAATGGTGGTGATGATGTACTTTCTGTGGTGGGAGATCAGCTATCTTTTGCTCCTCTGTGCCCCTTTAGTTTAGGACATATTACTCAAATGATGCTACTGCTTCATTTTTCATGATATTGCACTATCTTGTGAAACTTAGCTATTAAGAAACTTGATGATTTCAATTAAGTCAAGAAAGATGCATTTTTCATGCTTCCTCTCACCTTAAGAATTGCATCGTTATCAAGAAAAGCATCAATCTGATGCAGTTTGTGTTTAAGAGGAAGTGCCTTTCCATTTCTGAGCATCTTTATCTCTTCTGCATAAACATTAGCTTGTAGATCCTTAAAAATAACAATTTGGACTTTCTCTCTTTCTGCCGCTCTACAGTGGTATGTTGTCTTGTTTTTCTTTGCCAAGGGAATGAGTCGAGCTATGGATTCAGTGGCTTTGTACCATGATGAAAATGTGATCAGCTTGTCTGACAAGATTGAGTGTTCTGTTTTGAGTGTTCTTTTTGAGCTCTCGATCTCTGAGGGGAATGTCCATTTCAACATCCGCAGCAGAGGCATTTCTTTGTCCCATAGAAACTGTGGTCCTTGATTTGAAAAGATCACTTGCAACAGAACATCTGGGTTTTTATATAAAGGGGAATATCTCCATTGCTGGTGAGGAGCTGTTGAGCCTTATCTTTTGAACTCAAAAACACAAAGGTGTGAATATGGTGTGCTTTGTAATTGATCACCATATTCTATGACCTCACAATCATGAACTTATGATGTATTACTCTTTGTCTTACAGTTTTGACCATTTTTACAGATTTTCAAGTTTTCAAGGAGAGTGGCCATATACAGTCAGTAAGAGTGATCTCTCTTTAAACGGGATTTCATAATGTCCTCTTGGAAAAACAAAAATTCTGTGTCTCAGAAAATTTGAATAGGGTGAAAAAGCTCATCATTGGGAAGTCATGGTGTCACACCTTAACTGAAAACAACTGCAAAGGTTTCGTGAGCTTTTAAATGGTCTCTCAGTCTGGGTCAGTAGGAAACACAATCATGAGGAAGGCTGCTGACTGGTCAGGACACCCTCCACAAGGAGTGTAGGCCCTCAAACCTCAAAACTATCCTGAACTTCTGATAGAAGGGCAAAAGATTAAAAATGTTGATCAAGTAAAATATCTAGGAGTTATTCTGGAACCAAATTTATGTTTTAAAAAGCACATTAAAAAGTTAACAAATAACATAAAATTCAATATGGCCAATTTCAGATACATTTTAAACTCCCTGACCACTAAAGCCTCAGGTGCCTATCTAAATGCAATGATAATGCCACACTTTCTTTACAGCATAACAAATTGGTCACAGGCTTGTAAATCAGTTCTGAGGCCTCTAGAATCATTATATAACAGCACTCTCAAGACCCATGATAAGAAAAGTCGGCTATTCCACCACTGTCATATAAGTTTTGAAAACCTGATAATGTATGCAAATATTTTTTCTGCTGTTTAAGATCATTCATGGTACTGTTGCTCCTCCTCTAAAACAGTTTGTTTCTCTGAGCTCTGAAACCACCTTCCAAGCCACTCGATCCACTGTGCGCGGTGAGTGCAGTATCCCCAAACGTAGGACAGCATTTGGAAACTCAGCCTTTTCATGCACGTCCATTCGTCACTAGAACATGTTACCAACAGAGCTGATCACATGTACAAACTAAGGCACATTCTCACACCTGGCCAAACAGTGGCTCCTCTCAAACCAAACCTGCACCCATAGTGTGGACTGATGAGTGTCTGATGAGCGAAGACAGAGTGATGCTCTTGCGTGAATGAAAGGAATGATGCTTGTGATGAGGATGATGTTAAGATGCTGAGAAAACTGGGAGTAAATGATGAAACAGAATTGTTATGATGTTCTGGATATTACAAAAAAAAAATCTCTTTGTATGTTTGATTTTATGAAGTATAACATCTACCTGCCCAGGGACTACAGGTGGAAATGAGCACTTTCACTATAACCTGATACAATGCATCTCTCCTGTTAAGGTTAATGTATATTGTGCACTGTCCCTGTCTCATTAAATAAATAAACAAAACTCAAATAAGCCACAAAAAGTCATTGCTTAAATGCCACTTGTTCGCAGAGTGCTGTATTCAAGCATATTCATAAAAATAGATGAACCAGCAAAAGAGATGACCGCAGACTTGAGAGGATTCTCAAGCAAAATCCATTCAAGAAATTGGGGAAGGAGTGGACTGAGGCTGGAGTCAGTGCATCAAGAGCCACTACACACAGACGAAGCCTAAATGGGACATGGGATGATGTCAGAGTGTCTTACCTGGGCTGTGGAGAAAAAGAACTGGACTGTGAGGCATAGAGGTGTTCGCCTCTATGCCTCAGTGCATTGATACAGCAGTTCATGCCCAACCAAGTGTTGAGTGCATTGAAATGAACATACTTTTCAGAAGTCTGTTTAAAATATAATTTTATAATAATAAAAAATAAACTCTTGATATTAGAGCCCGACCGATATATCGGTTGACCGATATATTGTAAAGTGACTATATTGGCCGTATATCTGTTACTGAACCTGCATTGATATGTAAAGGAGGCTGTGAATAGACGTGTGAACGATGATACTTGCGCATATAATTAATTACCGCGGCGCGCAGCATTTACAGCTAAAGGCTAATAGCGCTAGTTTTTTTTGCTAGCTAGTAGTGATGGGTCGGTCGCGAACGAAACGGCTCTTAGAGCCGGCTCTTTGAAGCGAACGACGGGAGCCTGATCCTTATTGGGATTGGGAGCCGTGTTTTCGCTTTCTCTCACTTTTTTTCTCTTCACGCCGTGTGCAGACTCGTTGTAGTTTGACAGCGGCAGCGGCTGAAAACGAAACTTTCAGAAATCTGCGTGTGCATAGGATAGAAAAAAACGTGCATATTTGCCTGTAGTTCAGCATAAAATAAATAAACCAGGACTAATCTTGGGCTCGAGAGAGGGAGAGAGATAGAGACCGAGTTCCGACACTCAGTCCTGGTTCAGTTCTGGTTTAGTCCTGTTTTACACATGGTTTAGATCAGTTTTAGTCCTGGTTTAGTATTTTTTCTGTCCTGGTTCAGTTCTGTTTTAGTCCTGGTTGCAACAAAACAATCTGAAGAGCCGCTTAGGACCCAAAAGAGCCAGCTGCTTTTAGTGAACCGAGAAAAAGAGCCGGTTCTCTAAAAAGAACTGGAATACCCATCACTAGTAGCTAGAATGTGATGCAAAAAATGCCAGTAGGCCGACGTACTGTCTGTAAATATGACGTAAAGAGTCAGAATAACAATAAATGTTGCTTAAATAAACCCAATTTAAAATCAACTAGAGCCAAACCTAAGTTTTTTTAAACAATTCAAGATTTACAGTGAATTTTTACATCACTAAATATATCGGTGATTATATCGGCTATCGGCAGCTCCAACTTCCATTATATCGGTTTCATATCGGCCACAACAAAATCCATATCGGTCGGGCTCTACTTGAAATATTTCACTCTGTGAGTCTATATAATATATGGGTTTGACTTTCTGAACTTTTTCATGATATTCTAATTATTTGTGATGGGCTAGTATAATAGCTATGTTTTTAATAAACCCTTTTAAACGATCAAATTTGTCTTTTGTCTATGTAACTAACAGAAACTTTCTCTTTACATGACGTGCGTGCTACTTCTCAGTTATCTAGGTGATAACTTCTTCCTTTTTCTGAAACCTACACCTTCCATCTGGCTGTACAAGACTTTTCAAAATAAAAGCATGGACTATATTATTTGTTATAAACAGATTACAACACTAAAACTAAAATAGCAGTAAATAAAATACTTGAAATAATTTTGGCTACATTTACAGCCCTGACATTTCAAACACTGCATGTAAACCTCTGGTTAGTGAGCAGCTCCAGGCACCAGCTGTTAGATGTTTTCAAAAGACATACAGGTTGTCTCAGAGGGGGGTGTCTATAAAAGCTATATAGAATTATTTAAAACCCTATTCTTCATGTAAACTTTACAATCTCCATGGAAACACGCTGGCAACTCCACCAAACCAAATATTTTCTGGCAATAAAAACCTACAAATAATATCTGCAGGCACTGCTGAGTTTTCCTGAATCTGAGGTGAATGAGCTTTAAAAACAGAGGGGCACTTCTAGACTATCACGCAATGATGAGCCTTTTAAAAATAACAACACTTGTAATGAGCCTCTCAAAGCACTACACTGTAGTCATTATTCATTCACGCCACACTCTGTGCTGAGCTACTATTGTAGCCACAGCTGCCCTGGGGAAGACTAGCAGAAGCATGACTGCCAACGTACACAATTAGCATAGGGCACACTTAGTGAATAACAGAACTTGGTTGGTGGATGATGCTCTAACTTCTGGGCCACTGTTGTCCACGGGGCATGGTCACAAGAGGGATACACATATCATTTTAAGGAATTATACAAACTTCATTTTCCCCATTATGTCATGTTTAAAGATAAACAAATTTACACTTCAAAACTTGTGTATGTCAATACCTTTGATTGTTCTATGGGAGCATCAGTAGATTCTCGGTGGACCACACTAAAGGAAATGCTTTTTGGCTCAGAGGAAAACATCCAGCTGATTGTGGGTCCACAAACGCAGACGGTAACAGTTATCACACTATAGTTGCTTGATTTGATAAATAGCTCCCTGGAACCGCCGCCAAAGTGGGAAATGTCTTCAATGCTGAATGGAATAGCCATCCTGTGATTAGAGCAAAAACAAGTAATTACGTATGTACTATAACACCTACAAAGAGGCCAACAGGTCATCAGACATACGTGATTTCTCCAGATTTGAGCAGATTAATCTCTGAATCTTGAATAGTAGGAATATGTTCCTCTGCATCCTCTGGGGTCGCGTCACCTGTGCTTCTGTAATGTAGAATTTTCAATATAACAATACAAAACAAGTAACATACATATGCATGTTGGAGATAAACTGTGTGTTATGAACTAGTGTACTAGATATTGTTATTTTTACTGAAAACAGAATATTACAATCATACACAATTAATTATATAAGACGCATGATTCTGAATATTACTACTGATATACTTCGTATATTACCACAAAACTTTAGAGAACAAAACCAGTAATGGAAAACATTTTCTCTTCATCTTTTGAAAACTAGACTGATGTTCTTGACCTTTTTGGTGTAAAGCAGTATGGAGAGCCCAGATTTTTCATTTAATTGAACCGAGACAGTTTATCCTCAGAGCTTGAGTGCTTAAACTCACATATTGAGCAGTCTGGGAGCCTGTTCCCCATCCAAAGAGCCTGCTGTGGTTTGAGAGGCAGCATCACTGTCATATACTCTGTGCACTTCATCTTCAGTGATTATGTCAAAGGCTCCGTCATCAGACTTGTTTGTAGGGTCTGAAACAGAGATACATAAATACATTTGTGATCAAATGTCATTTGTCTTTTTTGAGAAAAAAATTAAAGTTGTGTGATTTGCAGCTGTTACCTGTGCCCTTAGGGGTGGATGTAGAGGGGGATGTAGAGGGGGATGCATCAGGACACGGCTCAGGTCCCAGTCCAGGCGAGGGAGTCTGGGGTTCTGAAGCACTGACTTCTGCCTCAGTGACCATCTCCCCCACAGCATTGTGTTGGTTGTAACAGTCTTTACAACAGCGCTCCTTTTTCCCACTTTGTTTTGTCATTGCAAAGTTATTGCTGCAGTAATAGCAAAAAATACGACCACAAAATCTACAGAAAGGTGTATCATTATTCAGAATTACTAGTAATACATATTACACAGTGATTTAAAATATATAATAATATATGACCTGCAGTGATGTTTGCGTAGCCACCAGGTAAACTGTCCCTGGCAGCCGAGGCAGTGAGTGGCCTCTTTATCCATAAGCCACCAGCGCTCCTCTGAACGCAGCTTCTGCTCAAACTCCAGGGCATCTGTCTTTTGCCACAGAGCATCTTTGTCCCTATTAACCACACATTCATAAAGTATTCATGATACACAATGATGTTATGTCATAACATAAACAATTCCTAAGTCGTACAAACCAAATAAAAATTTAACTAAGAAGTGTAGGAAATTGAATGCAAAACAAGACAAGATGTGGAATGGGTCGATGCAATGCTTAACTGATTTTCTCAGTGAGCTGTTAAAAATTCAGTGCACACTCTTCTTCAAATAAGCAGCTCCAAAACCCTATCTCATGTGGTGGTATTTTTCATGTATTATCAAGACCAACAAAAACACTGATGGTCTTGTAGACGTTTAAAGATTGTGGGTTTATATTCTGAGCGTTTCAACTTATATTTTGAGCATTTAACCTACTATTTATATTTTAAACAAGAACAGAAACCCCATGACATTTTGGCTTTTTAAACAAAGACTACGGTAGTCATACCTAATTAGCTCAATAAGCCGCTCCTCCAGAGTGATTTTAGTTCGGTTAAGGTCATCAATCTCAGCAGACATCTTCAATATCTGGGTTTGTTTGTCGACTTCAGCCATCTCCAATTTGAGCTTTAATTCATCACACAGGGCTTGTGCAGTCAAATGGGCATCTTTAGCACTAATAGATGTAGATTAATATTATTATTATTACATTGTTGGGTTATATGCATACAGTCAATCAAAAAACAATCTTTATTGACAAAAATAAATGGAACACTGGGTGCAAAGACAGTTGATAAGCATTTAAAATGTATAAACAGCTTACCTGTGTGCTTCATGTCTAAGTTGCTGTATCTCAGTGTCATTATCGCGAATGGTGGTTTCTGTTTTAGTGATGTGAGCATCTTTCTCCCCTGTTAGCAGCAAATACTGTTCATTCAAAGCCTTGGGAGAAAATACAAAAATATTTATAACAATTGTCCACCATTGCATTTATTTCCTTACCATTACCCATCTAATAGTAAAAAAAAAGCCAAGCCCAGCAAAATTTTTAAATGTCAAAAATTAAAGATATTGAAGAGGCCTTCAGCTATCCTTTCCAGTTATCCTGGCAATATGTTAAGCTTGTGAGCTCCTATAGCTGACTTGGATTGTTTGTACTATATATTAACAAACAAACTTCAATCCTACACATTAGCTTCCTTCAATTTGACTAGATTTTCTTTTTTACCATGCTGGTGAAACTACCTCAAGTTCTGAGACTTGTTTCGCTAAACTGGAGGCATTCTTCTGCTCTTCCTGTAGCTGCATTTTCGCTCTGTTGACTTGTTCTGTTAAACTCTGTAATGAGAAAGTAGCAGTTGTACTTCACAGCGATTTCAGTGGGACAATATCTTTAGGCCATGAGTGAAGCATGTGTCTCACCTTTATTTGTACTTGATGATTCATGCTTTCTGAACTCATTTGAAACTTCACAGCCTCCACCTCCTCCCGGGTGGAGTTTTTCAGACTTTGTACTTGGCTATTGGCTTTCTCCAACTGGTCTTGAAGCTCCTTCATTTGTTTTGGCACTTTCTCCATTTGTGCCAGCTCTTCTTTAAGGATTTTATTTTCTTCTCGCAGTTCATCCATGCATTCCCCAAAGCGCTCTACCTCCTTTTCAAACTCTTCTATCCTTATCTCATCTGTAGCCCATTGCTCCCTGGCTTCCTCCTTTTCAGCATTCAGTTTGCATATCGTCATGCCCATCTCTGCCATCTCTGTGTTCACCCTGTGCAGTCCTTCCCGTGTGTCACTATTTTCTAAAACTAATCGCTCATTTTCATCCTTTAGTGTGGAAACCTCTTCGCGTACAGCAGCTAGTGTGGAGGCCAGCTCAGCACAATTATCCAGTTCCTTGTCCCGTTCTTTGATCAACACTTCCTCCTTCTTTTTGCACTCCACCAGCTCTGCTACATGTTTCTGGTTTAGCTCTTCAATTGTAGCTTTTAGTTTTTCAGTCAGTGTCCTCAGCTCATCTCTCTGGGCCTCGGTCATCTCCAATTGTGCTTGTGACTTTAGTTTTTCCTCTTTGCTTCTTTGCACTTGCACTCTTAAGTCCAATATCTCAGCTTGCAGTCTGGATACTTCCTTAATACTTACATCCAGCTGCCCTTCTACCAAATTAAGTTTATTAGTTACTTCCTGGTTTTGTTTGGCTAGGGCTGTGCTCTTTTCATATTGTGCCTTTTCAATACCTTGTTTTTCAGAAGTGACACGTTCCATCATTTCTGTTTGTTTAGCAATCAATGTCTCTGCATCAGCTTTTTCCTTTTCAAGCTCCTTCTTATTTCTCTCTAATGTTTTAACTTTTTTTACAAGTTCATTGATTTCCTTCTTGTTGCCATCTAACTGTGATTCACTGGTTTGTAGTTGACTTTGCAAAGCCTGCTCCTTCTTACGTGAAGCTTCCAAGTTATATTCTAAATCATTTATCTGCCCATGCACACGCTTCAAATCAGCTTGCATGCAACTGAGAGCAGCTTTTACAGTTTTTTGTTCTTCTTTGAGTGCTTGGTTCTCCTGCTCCAAATGTTTGGCTGTGGACTCTGACATTTTGGCGGCCATGTTTGCATGCTGTAGCTTTTCATCTAGCTCCCGGTTCTCCTCGCGTAACCTTTTTTCCTTCTCATCCACCGTCATCTTAGTGTCGTTCAGTTGACCTCTGAGTTGTTTTTCTGATGCTCTTAAAACAGCCAACTCAGCCTCAAGTTCAGCCCGGTGTCCCGTCATCTCCTTTGCCTGTTCTTCTTTTTTTTTCACTGTAGCGTGTAGTTTCTCATTAAGATCCACTAGATTTCCACACTGTACTTCATATTCCTCGATCTTTGTAGCATGTTCCCTTACATTAATTTCCATGTTGGCAAGGTTAATGGAAAGTTTTTCCTTATCTGTAGTCAGGATTTGATACTTGGTTTGCAGCCCTTGTAGTGCATTAATGCTGGTAATTACCTCTTCACCTTTACTCTCAAGTTGCTCTTTGAGTTCACTATTTTCTTTTTCAACTTTCTCTCTCATCCTCTTCATGTCATTTTCTTGTTTTTCTATCATTTTTTGGAGGTCCAAAAGTTGCATCTGTAAATTACTTGTCTCCTTCTCTTTTAAAGTTAAGGCTCCGTGTAGCTTATCCATAGCACATCTTTGTTGTTCCAGTTTAGCATCCAATTTTGCTTTGGACATAGCTACCTCTTCTCGTTTTGTTTCTTCATCTTTTACTGTAATTGTTTTTAGCTTTAGCTCCTCTTCTAATCTTTCATTCAGTCTTTTCTTCTCCTCCATCTCAGCTATAGCATCCATCTTCTCTTTCTCTGCTTCTTTTAACTTGTCAAGCAATTCATGCATCTTTTGTGCTGAGTCAAAGAAGCTTGCAGCCTGGTGTCCTTTTTCATTTAAAATCCCATCTAACTTGGCTAAAAGCTCTATGTTCTTGGATTCAGCTGCGGATAATTTCTCCTGAAGCTGGTTGTGTTCTGCTTCCCGAGCCATTTCCACATTCCTGACAGCTTCAATTTCTCTGGACAGGGTCTCCTCTCTTCCCCGCAGATTTCTGAGTTCGACTTGCTGGTGCTCCTGGGCAGTTAGGGATATGTCCAACTGTCTCTGGAGATCCTCTACCACCCCTCTTAGTTCAACCTCTTGCTCTGCCATTTGCTGGACTTTGTTTAAGAGTTCTCGCATCTTCAGTTCAGACTGGTCAAGTTCAAGGCGGAGGTCATCGATAGTGCTGGCATCCTCACTGCATGGAGGTAGTGACTCATTGAGTTCATTGAGTAAACCATGACCAAAGTCAACGCTACAAGAGAAATCGCCTGGTTGCTACAAAACAAGAAGAGAGAATTACTGACGCTTTTCATAAAAATAGGTAAATACTTCAATAACTACCAGTTTAATACTGTTAGTAAAGCATGAACAAAGAATTAAGTAATTATGAACAAATAGATAGGGTTCTATATTTTACAAAATTGACTCTTGTGAGTTTAAATGTTATAATGTTGTTACCTCATCAAAAACATACTTGGGTTTTGTTGTGTTTTGTTTTATTCACAGGTTTCCTAGTGTATTAAACTGTCTGCATTCTCAAAGCTCAAAATGCTCTGTCCCTCCTTGTGATGTTATGTAGTGTTAGTTTTCAAGTTAACAGCTGCCTTTTACCCTTAGTTCTTTAGAGATGGGCAATTCCAGGACTGAAATCATCCAAATGAAGGTGTATGGAGTTTAAAAACGCAGTGGAGCACTTGACATCCACATGACATTACAAGGTGGAACAGAGTGTTTTCTGTTTGAGAGAAGAACTCAGCCTAAATATACAGGGTTTATATGTTAAACATGTGTGAATTAAACAAAACACAACTCCAGGCATGTTTATAACAGATCACAAAATAGCGAATATGGGCCCTTTAAGAGTGACACATCTTAGTATCTATTTAATTAATGCCCTAATTCAAAATAATCGTTACGCCTTTAGTAAGTAGTCACTGCATGAATCAGTCTCAGTAAACCATTTGTTTTTTATGAATTCTTCATGCTTTATTACAGTGAATTAATGTAGAGTTATTATAACGTGGTACCAAAAATGTACCTGGGAGTAGTTGCTCGCCAAACTATTAATGCTGGAGCTGCGACTTGGTGGTTTCCATGTATGGCTGGGAGAGTTTGCATTGAGAGCTCTCCTAATTATAAAAAATATATATTATTATTATTACTTCATTTATTCCTCAAAACATAACAAAATAGATAACTTAGATAACTTATTTTTTTGGTACCTGGCAAAAGTGGGCCAGGCGGCATCAAGGTCGTGACCCCTGGAGGCTACATCAAACTGCACGTCATTGAGTTCATACAGGTGGTTGATGATGTCGCCACTGAGCTGAGCTTTCAGGAAGGGACTTCGTGAATAGTACCAGTCACTGTAAGGAAAAAAAGAAAGGACAGAGAATTGTAGCCATAGATTGGTGGACAAGCTATGGAGGCACTGAGCCACAAAAACAAAGTAGTTATAATATGTACCTTGTCACTCTCTGGTTCATTAAACATTGTTGCAGAGTGTCAGCCAGCCGTTGGTGTACAAGAGAGTAGCGAATAAAAGCACGTCCCTTTCCCAGAGATGTTTTTATCTGTTGACCAAATAAATAAGGTAAATGAATTAGAGCCCGACCGATATATCGGTTGGCCGATATTATCGGCTGATATGGACAACTTTAGGCCCTATGCTGATAGGGGCCGATATTTCACGTGGGCATGTTATACCTCGTTATAAAGCTTAGACTCTCTACATTCTAGAGCCCGACCGATATATCGGTTGGCCGATATTATCGGCCGAATTGAGCACCTGGAAGCATATCGGCTATCGGCCGATATACTTGCTGATAGGGGCCGATATTTCACGTGGGCATGTTATACGTCGTTATAAAGTTTAGACTCTCTACATTATGTTCATTTAATCCAATTTACAGTCAGATAAATGTCAAAATATGTGGCTCCGCATCAGTATTTATCTGCGGAGTCATTTGTCTGTGTGAGAGTCACGTGCGTTTGTTTACATCCGCAGACACAGATCCAAACACTGGGATTATTTTCTTTTTACGGACAATCGGTTTGAGTCTGGATTAAAAGGACATTTATTAGTGCAGACTTGTGATATGAGGAGAAGCCTGTGTGAGCGGTGAGTGTTGGAAATATGTCGACTTTGAAGCAAGTTTTTGGTTAGCGGTTAGCTGCTGTAGCTCCCACACATAAATAGGCCGTTTTCTATTGGTCTATTGTAAAGTGACTATATTGGCCATATATTTGTTACTGGACCTGCATTGATATTTAAATGAGCTGTGAATAGACGTGTGAATGATGAAATTTGCGCATATAATTAATTACCGCGGCACGCAGCATTTACGGCTAAAGGCTAATAGCAATTGTTTATTTACTCGCTAGCAGTGATGGGTCGTTCGCGAACGAAGCGGCTCTTAGATCCGGCTCTTTGAAGCGAACGACGGGAGCCTGATCCTTATTGGGAGCCGTGTTTTCTCTTTCTCTCACTTTTTTCTCTTCATGCGGCGTGCAGACTCGTGGTAGTTTGACAGCGGCAGCGGCTAAAAACGAAACTTTCAAAACTCTGCGTGTGCATAGTGTAAAAAAAAACTTGCAAAAATATATTCAGCATAAAATAAATAAACCAGGACTAATCTTGGGGTCGAGAGAGGGAGAGAAATAGAGACCGAGTCCCGACACTCAGTCCTGGTTAAATTCTGGTTTAGTTCTGTTTTGCACATAGTTTAGATCTGTTATAGTCCTGGTTTAGTGCTTTTCCAGTGCTGGTTCAGTTCTGGTTTAGTCCTGCTTTAGACCTGCCTTAGACCTGCTTTAGTCCTATGACATTTCATGTAAAGAGGCAGAATAACAATAAATGTTGCCTAAATAAACCCAGTTTAAAATCCACAAGAGCCAAACCTGTTTTTTTTTTTAAATAATTCAAGATTTACAGTGAATTTTTACATCACTAAATATATCGGTGATTATATCGGCTATCGGCAGCTCCAACTATCATTATATCGGTATCATATCGGCCACAACAAAATCCATATCGGTCGGGCTCTACTACATTCTGTTCATTTAATCCAATTTACAGACAGATAAATGTCCTAATATGTGGCTCCACGTCAGTATTTATCTACGGAGTCATTTGTGTGTGTCCTACTGTCCCTGAACACACCACAGACTCGAGTCACTCACGTGTGTTTGTTTACACCTGCAGACACAGATCCAAACACTGAGATTATTTTCTTTTTACGGACAATCGGTTTGAGTCTGGATTAAAAGGACATTTATTAGTGCAGATTCGTGATGTGAGGAGGAGCCTGTATGAGCGGTGAGTGTTGGAAATATGTCGACTCTGAAGCTAGTTTTTGTCATTTGTTATGGGTTAGCTGCTGTAGCTCCCGCACATAAACAGTTTTCTATTGGTCAGTTCTAAAGTGACTACATTGGCCGTATATTTGCTTCTGGACCTGCACTGATATGTAAATGAGCTGTGAATAGAGGTGTGAATTATGACATTTGCGCATATAATTAATTACCGCGGCGCGCACGTATTTACGGCTAAAGGCTAATAGCGCTACTTTATTTACTAGTTATGGGTCCGTCGCGAACGAAATGACTCTTAGAACCGGCTCTTTGAAGGGAACGACGGGAGCCTGATCCTTATTGGGAGCCGTGTTTTCTCTTTCTCTCACTTTTTTTCTCTTCACGCCGCTTGCAGATTCGTGGTTTGACAGCGGCAGCGGCTAAATTTGCGTGAACGTAGGATTAAAAAAAATAAAAATTTAAAAAACGAGCATATTTGACTGTAGTTATCATAAAATAAATAAGTCCCGGTTTAGTCCTTTTTCAGTCCTGGTTTAGACCTGGTTCAGTCCTGAGTCAGTCCTGCTTTAGACGTGCTTTAGTCCTGCTTGCAACAAAACAATCTGAAGAGCCACTTGGGAGCCAAAAGAACCAGCAACTTCTAGTGAGCCAAGCCAAAAGAGCCGGTTCTCTAAAAAGAACTGGAATACCCATCACTAGTGTCTAGAATGTGATGCAAAAATGCCATTAAGCCAACCTACTGTCTGTAAATATGATGTAAAGAGGCAGAATAACAATAAATGTTGCCTAAATAAACCCAATTTAAAATCCACCAGAGCCAAACCTAAGTTTTTTTAAACAATTCAACATTTACAGTGAATTTTTACATCACTAAATATATCGGCGATTATATCGGCTATCGGCAGCTCCAACTCCCATTATATTGGTTTCATATCGGCCACAGCAAAATCCATATCGGTCGGGCTCTAAAATGAATATACATTCTGGAAAAAATAAATATACAAATAAAAATTGTATTGCATATTTTACTTACTTCACTGATTGATTTGACAAAGCGGATCCCATCATTAGCTCCTTTAATTTTGGCCAGACAGTCAACAAAGTAATCCCAATAATCTTTCTTTGTGCCAAGAAGTGTGGTTTTTTCCTTCTGGCCAAACTAAACAACGAAAAGAGTTTTCAGATATAACTAAAAATACATTTACAATGAAATATAATATTTTCATATGTTTAAAGGTCAGTTGTTTAAAAAAGACAAGCTAAATGTACCTGTAAGAGGTATTCCAGTTTGTAGGAGAACTTGTGGAGGTTGGTGCTGTCATCTGTAACTGGCTCCCCAATTTCCCTGTATTCCTTGGCTAATTCAGCAACAGAATCTGAAAACAGAGTGGCACAGTGAGATTATAACTGAACACTGCTAACTACAGAAAACAAATGAAACACATGACTGAATGTCATACGACAAACTTTTAGTTAAATTCATTGCGTCATTAAAAACAGACTCATTTCCAAATGCACATTCAAACAGATACCAACATACCACTACTCTTCTTTTACAATGCAGGTGTCCCATATAGTCCACCGTAAAAAAAAAAAACTGGAAGGGCACCTCCTAACTCTTTCTTGCATGACACATGTGAAAATTCAGCAAGATTTCATCCCTCCCGAACTAGGACTAGGACCTCTCCTAGCTCCTACACTGATTATTATGGACTTTGTGGCATGGACAGTCAACACGCACTCATAAGGTTAGCTCACCATGCAGATCTCGGATAATCCTCTGGATTTGGCTCTCCCCAGCTGTAGCCCCTGAAGCCATCCTCACACTTCAGTCTGTAGTGACCAGGGGGTCAAAGAGTGACATCCAGTCTGTTGAATCAGAAGAAATCATTATCAAACAGGGACAAAACAGGCTACACTGAGGGTTCAGTGTCATTTCAGTAGAGCTACAGTGATGGGCAATGTCTCCTTTTCTTTAGAAACATGTATATACTGTCAATAACACATGTTTTGCTGTTTTGTACGATGTGTTCCAGCAGCTAAAATATCTCTGCAAGTTGTCAGCAAATAACTGTAACTAAAGTAAATAAAACAAAATATTGGGTTATTGCAGTATAATAAGCAATTTGGCTAAACAAAAGAAATTACCTCGCAAAAAAGTGTCAAGGTTTTAGTTTCCAGTAACGAGGCTATTGTTTGGCAGACAGCTGCATTCGCCTTAAATTGAGAAAAAAACGTACAGAGGATGTTGTTGAAGTATTGATCTTCCATTATCGCTAAATGCTAAAATATCCACTGACATGTCCGTAATAAAAACCTAACGACCAAACTTTCACTTCTTACTTTGTGCCTTCTGGTGTTATGAACGACATTAGCATTATAACAAAGGTTTCGAATGGGAGTAGTCAATACTTATAAGTGTTCCAATACACAAAGAGAGTTTTTGCACGCAAAGACTAAGTTTAATAATAAATATATTACGAAAAGACAAGGAAATACAAATGGAGACATACTTTTTACGGGTAAATCCATAACAATCCAAGACATTTGATAGCGCCATCAAACTTGCTGATCCAGTTTCAGTGTGCTGTCCAATCAGAGGGCGACATATAGATTATGGACCAATGAGATTCAAGAATGTGGGTGGGACTTTGAAACTAGATAGTTTGGTTGGAATGTGGAGTAAACACTGGTATCATGTGATCAGCAATGACAATTTGTTCAGGAATGCACATTAATATATCGTTTTATATTCTATTAATAATAAGAAAAAAAACAAACAAACACAATGATCATTTTTCACAATATTTTTTTTGCTCTTTTATATTTCAGATTATGTTTCAATTATAAGACATGAAATAAAATTCCACAGAATAGGAACAGAAACCACTTACTGAAACTTTTGTCAAATACATTTTTAGACCATTTGAGAAACACACTACCACCACATGGGCTACACCAAACCATCTCTTTGAACAACAGGTAAACTGACATTTATCATAATATCTTCAACATACTCCTGAAAAATTTCCCTATTTATTTATTTATTTTTTTTATTGACAGCTAGAGGTTTGATTTGTAAAATGAACTTCTCCATGACAATACTTGACCTGAACGACAGCTCTTATGATAATGACCTGGAGGACGAAATGTGCGAGCCGTATGATGTAGTACAGTTTGAATCCTTTGCCATCCCATCTTTCTTTGCACTTGTCATCACCCTGAGCCTCGCTGGAAACATCCTGGTCCTAGTAATCTTGGCTTTGTACGAAAATGTCAAATCTCTCACAAATATTTTTATCCTCAACCTGGCAATTTCTGACCTTGTCTTCACCACCTGTCTTCCCTTCTGGGCCATCTACCACGTACATGGATGGGTGTTCTCTGAGGCAGTGTGCAAAATAGTGTCTTTTGTTTTTTTCATTGGATTTTACAGTAGCGTGCTCTTCTTGACTGTAATGACAGTCTACAGATACATTGTTGTGGTTCACCATTTCAGTAACTTGAACAAACAAAAGATGCAGACTGGGATTTTGGTTTCTGCTTTTATGTGGATGTTAAGTATTGTGGCAGCTTTGCCTTCTCTCCTTCATACTACTGTCATAGTTAATTATGAAGACGATTTTTTAAGTTGCCGTTATGAAACACACGTGTGGCAGACCATCTCAACTTTTCAACAAAACATTTTCTTCCTGGTTACCTTCGCAGTGATGGCCTTCTGTTACATTCAGATACTATCTAAAATAAAACAGACTCAATATAAGACCAAAAACAGAGCAGTGAAGTTAGTTTTTTCAATTGTTGCTGTATTCTACATTGGCTGGATCCCATATAATGTGGTAATTTTTCTGAAAATTTTAGAAGATAATTTAGTTCCACCATTTGATGAGTGTCAGGCAGCAATCTATTTGGAGTATGCATTTTGTTTTTCTCGCCTAGTCGCCTTCTCCCACTGCTGTTTGAATCCTGTGTTTTATGCTTTTGTGGGTGAGAAATTTAGGAGCCACTTGAAATCAGTGTTGTGTTGTTTCTTCACCCGTAAAACTGTGAAAGAGGAGCAGCGAGGGACAATGGACCTTCCAAACTCCCAAGGATCACTGTAGTAGTGCACTGTGTAGCTTTTGTCTTAAATTACTGCACATTTTTATTAATTTGAAAATGATTGTTAGATTTAAATGAAGTTAGATTTCATTCAATGGTCAATGTTGTCATGCTGTCATGCTTTATGTAATGAATTATGATCAATAAAATTTTGGAAAGTTGTATAAAGTTACAATACATCAACAAACAACAATTGTGAGTGCATGAAGCATATCCAGCCACTATTCCTTTTCATAGATTCAACCAACTTAGCAGTAAGTAATCAGACTGGTTAACTTGATTTATTCCTGAGGGGTGTCAGAATCCAGAAATCATTTATTTTCACTGATTTGATTCACAAATGCAAATATCTACACAGCTAATTCAATAGTGTTAATTCAACACAATACTATTTCTGCAAAATCCAACTGACAGCAGGAATTACTTTTTTAAAGTAAATTTTTCAATGCAAGCAGCTGATGGATGAATCAAGATCTTCTTTTGAATGGAATTCAGGCTCATCTTCAAAAATGAGAGGAGCGTGTCTGACTGTTTGAAACAAGATCCTCTCTCCATTATATAAACATAACAATGTTCACAATAGCGGCAGTCCCGCTAAAAATGAAACATTAACACTGCAGAAACATTTTACCTCAAGAGTCAGTCTTTCACTCTTGGGGTTTCTTTTGACACATCCAACGTCCATGTTGTAGACAGTTCTTTGAATACAGGTTTGTGAGAGTCTGAGGACCAAGTGCCTTGAAGTGTTCACCAAATTCAGCCAGGTCAACGATGACATAAAAAAGCTTTGTCCTTCCCACTTCAGTCACAGGTTGAAAGGCCATCCAGGCTCAACCAGCAAGAAATGTGTCCATATAAATCTGTGAAATAAAATATAGAATAAATATAACATTCACGTAACCACCTTGCAAAACGGCCTATGCAATATTTAATAAGTACATTTAATGAATAAAAATTAAAAAGTCAATATATTATGGTACATATATCATTATTTGTTTATTCCTATTAAGCAGGTTATTTTGTTGCATGAGCTGTATGTTTTTGTATAAGGAACCATTCAAATAAATAACTTGAAGGGTAATTTGAAAAAATTTAGCCCCTTAGAAAAGATTATTTTTAAATCCAACACTCACAAGAAACAAAACACCTAAATGCCATTAATCATGAAAATAGAATGAGAGTAAGGCAAAAATTACAACTACTTAACACATATATAAAATTCAATTAGTGTAATATTAGTGGTGAGGTTACATTTCAGTTCTACATTTAACCATTTCATGACATACCTGCAAATCTCTGACGAGATGGTTAATGGCTTGAGCCTTTATCTTTCCACTGTAGCCTATAGGAGCTGGGGATGCATGTGAACTAGCAGCAAGACACTCACCCTAAAGAAAATACAAAAAAAGAATGTATTATTACTCTTTTTGACTAAAGGTTAATAGCATGTTAAGACACTGTATTGGGTAAGACATCATACTTGAAGATATTTTATTTTTACAGAAGTGACGTTTGTGGCTTGTTGATAACGTGTAATTCGGATGAATGCGCTTTGGCCGTTCAGACTGAAGTCGCATGTCAAAAGATCGGATATGTATCGATTTTAGGACCACGTATCCAAGTGGCCTGGGTCGCATTTGAAAAAATTTGATCTGTGTTGTTCAGACTGTCATTAAAAGATCAGATACAGGTCACATATGGGCCAAAAAATCTGATTTGGGTCACTTCAGGCTGCAGTCTGTTAGCTTACTACTACTCAATACTACTGCTAGCATTAGACCAAATATATTTAGTATTTTTATGAATTAAATTAACTGCAGAGTGTCCTAAAAAGGTAAAGTAATCTGACCCGGGGCATGTGAGAGCTCAGGTGGTTGGACTTGTGGCTTGTTGAGTTCAGGTTCTGCTGAAAAACAAACTCTATTAGCTGGTAGCTTTGCGCTGTTAGCTCTTAGCTTAGCTTAGCTTTGGACGGTGAAATGTGGCTTCTCTCTCGGACTGTAGTTCTCCCGCTGGAAACGTTACAAAAGCCCAACACTGATGTAGTGTAATATTCAAAATAGACACTTTCTAAGTGTTTGACGTTTACACTGTGAATCAACAACTACTTATTTTACTCTACAGCATTGTCATAGTGGAAATAACGCTTGACTATGTTAAAACATGTCATATCTGGATTTTCTTCCCTTTACTCACAACAACACCGTGAATTTAACACTTTGCTGTGTAATGGGAAGGGGTGGGGGCAGAGTGTCTTGGGGTAAGCATAGCAACAGCAGCTTGTTTATAGCGATCTTATCAGTGTTATTATGCTGTAGTGGTTATAAATTAAACTGTACTAAGAGAGATAGGATTTACAGCACACTTGTAACTTCCTTGTTTGACCCTCCCTTGTTTGTGATTTTGACACACACTTGAAAACTTCACAGACTGCTCAGAGAGGGCAAGCAATTTCCACAAGGACTTTTGTGTGGTATTCTTCAACTTTGTTTTGGATTTGTTGATAATCCATGAATCCCCTTTGTGTTTGAAGGTAAGAAAACTTGGCTACAGTTTTTTCAGAAAGCATAAATTATTAATTAATTATCACATTTTCTTGTAGATGGACATTTTTTCCAACCAATTGTGGATGTTGGGTTTTCTAGCTATTATTCACCAAGCACAAGCATATGCCAGTGGTGGTTTTCCACAATCATGTGACTCTATGCTTGTTGAACATGATAGTCCTGCTCAAAACGGCCCCATCCCATTTGAAGTTCAAACTTTCAAAGCTAAACAGGATTTAATTACTGGTACCAAGATAAATAGCAGCAATATATTAGATGTTTATTTGTCTTTCTTTATTTATTAATTCATTTTTTATTCTCCCTTTTTATATAGTAACACTTAAAAGTACAGGCAGTAAGACATTTACAGGATTTATGCTGGAGGCTCGGAGTAAAGTGAATGATTGTATTGTGGGTAAATTTATCATCTTAGATTCACAAAGCACCCGCTTTTTAAACTGTAATAATTCAGCTGTAAGTATGACATTGATAAAAAATTTTACAATACTTTATGGAGAGAAAATACTGTATATGGTATTGTTTTAGGGTTCAGCTGTCAGCCAAAAAGTTAACAATGAAAAAACCTTACTTAAAGTTAACTGGACAGCTGAAGCTGGTGATGCTGAGAGTGTTATATTCAGGTTAGTAGAACTGTATTCAAAGTATGAGCTTTATTATAAAGCAAAAACAGTCTACAGTTAATAATAAAAACCCTTTCTGTTTCAAGAGCCACATTTGTCGAGAATTATGCAACATTTTGGAATCCAGTTGATTTTAATGTGGCCATACCATCGCCATCACCAACTACAATGCCAGGTAGCACAACAGCAGTTACTGAGACTACTGCAGCAGCAGACATTACACTGACGATAACAGAATGGACCAGAAATATTACAGTGCTTCCGATACATACAACAGAATTTAGTACAATGATTTCTACAAAACCAGAAGGGAGCACTGTTGCAAGTTCTTCAAATCAATATACCACAACAAAAATCACAATGAGCAGTACCAAACTAAAGCCTCACACAACAGTTGTTTTACCATCAAGTATGTGTATTTAAAACACTGAGATAATGCAATGTTACATTCAGTCCACAGATAACTTTATGTCTATAATTCACAGTTTCAACCAGTCAAAGCAGTTCTCTTGGTACCAGCACAACCCCGAATAGGGAAGAAAGAAAGGTAAAGAAATCAGTCAAATGCAGTGTTGTGTTTTTGAGAAACTTATAGTAGATATAAGACAACAAACATTTATTGTGGCCTTACTGACAACCTATTCCATTTATTCTAGCTTCATAGATAGAAAAATAGATAGACAGTGATTAGGCAATGGTCAGTTGTAGGTTTATGTACATACATGGACAATGCAAAAATCTATCTGCATTCCTGTGGTCAGTGGTGCCTCAAGTATAAAAACCCTCTAACTGAATTTACGTATATAAGTATTTCTTCTCTGTGATAATGTGTGTTAAACTAAATGTTGTTAGGTGTCTCACTTTGACATCAGTAAAAGCATCCATCTAATTTCTTACACTTATCCAAAGCCAAAGGCATTTAAATACTTATTCTTTGCTTTTGTCTTTTTACGTTGGAAACAGTACACCCCTCAAATGGCATCTGCTGTTTTTGTGGTAAGTTATTCCCATGTCATTATTGTAGTATACTGAAAAAATGTTATGCTGTTTTATTCTTTTTCTTTAGATCTCATTTGTTCTAAGTGTCCCTTTAAGTTTCCCCAATAATGCAAAATATCACAACATTCATAAGGTGAGTGTATAGTTCTGATTCTTTATGTCAAGATGGAATACCAATGAAATACAATACAAAATACAATGCATACCGATGAAATACAAATTTAATAACACATTTAAATCATTTGTAGTGGACTAGGATACTTAGCTGTGTGTTCACTGTTTCACTTGCACTGTCTGCCTCGGTTTTGGTGGTGGTGAAGGATTCCCTGAATGTAAGCAAAACGGTTTATGATATGCATCGCTGTCCCTCTGGAAAATAATATTGTTTGTTTGTTTTCTATTCATCAGAGTGTTAACATTGGAATAGGATTTGCAATGACAGTGACTGCTGTGATAACATTTGTCCTACAGATGTTTGTCTGTTTTAGGATTGGACGCAGTCATGAATTGTAATGTTGTCCTCTTTACTTCTATTGTTTTATTGTTATTGTTAATTTTGAATATTTTATTATTACTTCTGTCTTTCAATAGAAAGGAGTTTTTTGATCTTTCTTCTCTGGTATTATTTGTCATCCAAGAAGTTTTTGCAAGTGAGACAGAACATGATGCTGTTATAAAGGATGATAATACCTCTAATTTTCTTTATTTCCACAGTCATCTTTATCTACCAATCTACCAAACATTGCCAAATCTGGATTCTGGGAGTGTTAATAACACTTACAGTATGGATTGGTCTGCAGATGATGTACATTATTACTGTAATGGTTCTTGAAGTCACTGGTGTCATAAACAAAACAGGTAAAAATTATCATTATAATAACACACAAATCACAAATGATGGTGTAATTTAATTCAGTGAAAGCTTCTTTTTCTACAGGGATGCAAACACTACCAGTAAGTGTGTACACACATATTGTGCATTTGTGGATTTATAATGTGACATTCTGATTGGCTTCTTCTCTTTCAGGTGCGTATTACTATCACAGTCCCAATATTTTTCACTGTTGCTTTCTGTGTGGCCATCATTGTGGGAATATGTCAGTGTTAAGTTGGCTAAATGTCATTTTACCCTTTATCACATATTTATTTATCACAATAAATAACTGTTAAGTGCACGAGGTCTGAGCACAGACTATGAAAAATAAACAAAATATTCTTTATTTAAAATGTTCAATTTAAAAGAAGAAAAAAAACCATTAAAAGACAGCAAATAACAGAAATTGATTCAGTCTGGTTTCTCTGCAAGTCTCAGTATATATCAACACATCAACTATATACACATTATTTACATCTTAAGGCACTTTCAGTAACTTTTTTTTTACACACAATTAGCCAAAAACAAAAGCTTTTTAACACCAACACAGATTTAAATTTTGAATATTGAATATTGTTTTGTTTCAAGCAGTCAAATTGAGGAAATAATTTTAAAATCTGGAAATCTAAAAAATAAACTACAGTGCAAAACTAAACTTACTGTAAAACACCGTGGAATAATGTAAATATTTATCATATCAATACAATTCATTGTAAACGCTCTTAAAGTAGTAAGGACAATGTTTAATACAGCTAACCAAGGAATGAAACAGGAATGATCAAAATATATGTGCCCACGTTGTTAACTTGAGACATTTCTTTGATTTGGATCAACATCCCTTTTGCTCCTTTTCATCTTCATAAGCCACTGGTAGGATCAGATGTGCAATGCGACTCCAGAGTCCACTGAACTTGTCAGCATCCATTTTATTGAATGCGGTTTCTTTCCCCACAAACCTCTCTTCCACATGATCCCGTACCATCTCCTCTACTTCTTTCAGACTTTGCTGAGTGCTTAGGTCTTCCACAGAGAGCAGCACGGTGAACAGTAAGAAAGCACGTTTGAAAGCAGCTGTCTCGTGGTCACAGTACCGATAGAAGATAAGTGTTGAACCAGGGGGCAGCTCTTCAAAGCGGTGAATGACAGCTGCAACATTGTCACTTCCAAATGCTGCTTTCAGTTGGCTGTCAATATCCATTTTAACCTGGTCACTATCCATGTTGGCTTTACTTTCTCCATTTATGACAACAGCAGACGTATTAAATGCAGAAGAGAAGGCAGAGGCTATATTCTGTGCCAGGCACTGTAGCGTCTCCTTGGCCCTCAAACCTGCAGTGAGAACAAGGCTGACAGGCTCTGTGGGATGGGGTGTGTCCAGGTGCTTCTGAAGGTGAATTTGGCTCCTCTTCCACAGCTCAGGGCGTTGACTGGGGAAGAGCATCATCACATTGGACAATTTTTCAACAAAGAGCCCTGAGTTTACAGACCTGGATGGCTCACTATCATCTTTTGCTTTCTGACGAGTGGGGAGGTGTTTGAATGCCAGGAAAACTCCCGCACTCAACAGTATCAAAAGGACCAGCTGCCACAAATAATGTAAGAAACCTGGAAGAAATGCAAGACAAATTTGTGAATTGAGCTTAAAATGATAATGTAGCTGATTTTTCTGCAATGTACCTTTTGATGAAACACCTGAGCTCTGATGGGAAACAGTAGTTTTCTTTTTTTCTACAAAAAAATGAAAAAATAAAAAAATTGAACCGCAACAGTTTTTTCCAGAGGTAATGTTAAATTTTAAGCTCATTTACCTTGTTTTCTCTCAGACACACTTGTTTTTTGAGTTGAAACAGTTGTGCGCTGCCGTTTTATGGTTGCTGGATAATTACTTGGGACATAGTGGTTTACTCTTGGGTTTTCTGGGGCAAAATATGATGCATAAATGTTATATGCGAGCAAAGTTTCACAATTTCAATTGATACTTTTAATGAAATTCTGGCTAACAATACCTGTGCTTTTGGCTTCCATCTTCCTCTTGTATTCTGCCATGCTAGTGACTGTTACATGACATACATCAGATGTCCTTTTTGGAGGAATAATGCTCTTTGATGGAGATGTAGCATTTTTCTTTGGTTGTTCCACTGTAAAAAGCCAAAGCAATAAAATATTAAAAACACAATACTATGGTTAAATCATTACCACAATATGCTATTCAACAGTTAAATAATACACAGGAATTATATGTATGTGGAGTATGTGCTGCCTCATCACCTTGACATTTAATCACATTTTCACTTTCAGGATGACTCACTGAGCAGCGCTGACCAAGTACGACTAAAGGCCTTAATTTCACATCTCCAAAAGGACCTGGAACTAAGACAAAATATTTATAATTACAACATAAATTTACAACGAATTACTGATTTAAGATCACATATGCCACACTGCTGTAAAATAGCGCCTTATTTTCTCACCAGGGGGATTTTGTGGATGAGGTGAATGTTGAATTGGAGCCTTTACATGTTCTTCCAATTCTTCACTTTCATTCTGCGTTTCCATTGGCTCCAACACATCCTCTGGAGGGACATTACCATCTCCACCACCCAGAATATCTCCGGTCTGTAGGCGAGTCTTCTTATTAGGGGAGCCTGTGTTTTACGAGTGAAAGTGATTACAGTTAAATAATTGAGGGACATAAATGTGACAATAGTACCATAAAATCAACGAACCATCCTCATCGGAGTCATTGTTGTTGGTTCCATTTGAAGATGGGACTTCAGATTGGGGTTTTGAAAACTTTTTTGTTCTCTTTAGAGGACCTCTTGGAGTTGGCTCAAAACTCGCCGCTGGTAATGAAGCGCACATTATCAGTGCATAAAATAGCATCGTAACGTAAATGAAACTAAATACATTATATTCATACACATTTATGTTTCTTTTAATATGAAAACGTACATTAGATTTAATATGATTTATGTAGCACAATGATAAGGTTAAATCAAATTATTCATCCCGTAACTCTCTAAAATACTTGATATTTACCTTTCGCACTGGCTGATGAAGATCTTGTTGACCGTCTGAGCTGACGAGTAGAAGCCTTCTCGTCCGAATTCATTTTAAAACAACGTGATATAAAAGAAAAACTACCCACTATCACAAAGCATAATGTTTGTAAAGCGATATGTAACAGCGGACTTCCTCGTTCATGGGGGAAGTATTTTGAGGCCGGACGTTGTTAACCGGAAAAGCGTTCTACTGCTGTTGTTGTCTCCATAGAAACAAGGTGCTGAAAGGTTCCGTGTTGACGTTGGCGCTCTGACGGAAAACAACTTCAGCTAAGCTAGCTCGTTGTTCTTTGTATGGCAAAGGGGATTTTATTGCTCCTAACGGTCTGGAAAGTAAGTGAATAACGTCAGTAAAACAACTGAGCATTTTAATTTCGGATTAATGGTAGCAATGATGCATTTTTGTATCTTTCCTCTCTCATCCCAGTTGACAGCAGTAGTGAGCTAGCTAGTGTTCATATTACAAAATACTTGTAAATACACATCTGATTACATCGTACACTTTATTCCGAATAGTTCACCACAAAGCATTACATTTCACATGTGTAACATATAAGACATTTATATTTTCTGCAATGATTAACGTTAATGTTAGATCCAACTTATTTTACAGGACACTGGGCGAAGTTAACATTAGCGTCAGCCCGGACTCTGAACTTGTGATAACAGTGGGACTCCTGACACATTCAACATCACTTGATCAAAATTGTGTTTCTCTTTCCCAGGTATGCCACTGAATCAAAGATCCTAAGCTATAATGGCGGATAAAGAGATTAAACCTCATCAGTTGGATGAAGGTAAGACATAAATTATCATAATATTTTATGACTTTATTTGAATTTTTCTGACCATCGATCTTATGTCTTTGTTTAGTCACAGACGTGAAAACAAATGAGACACAAGCCACGTGTCAAATAATCAATCAGGAAGAGAATGATCATAAAGGTAAAACAATAATAATGTATTAAGTCTGTTTGCAACACATTACTATCTTTGTCTTACATATTCTGCTTTTCAGTTACTTCTACAGACACAGATGCAATCGCTAATTCTGATGGTAATTGTAATTATATACTAATAATACATATGATGAGGGTTGTACATATTATATATTATTACATATCTTACAATTAATTTACAATCTGTGTTTGTTACAGACGCCCACACTCAAGCAGAGTGTATGGTAGAAAATGCTACAAAAGGGTCTCACCCTCCATTTGCTCATCATGATAGGGGTGACTGTAAACAGACACAAGAGGAAAACCAAAATAAAATACACTGTGGTGAGTAAAAACAAATTAATACATATATATTAGTTAGTTATATTAATAGATATATTTTATAATTAACAAATATGTAAAAAAAACCAAACAAATATTTTAATCTGTGAAGAAGCAGATGGACCACACATCAAATCAAATGAATTTGGAGACAGCTCAAAAGTCAGTACCAAGAAGATCACTGCAGCACCACCTGTTGACCAAGACAAGAGTGACCAAGAGGAGAACCTAAATAAAATGCATTGTGGTAAGTAAAAAAAAATAAAATTAAAATTATAAAAGAATAAAAAAAAAAAAATGGAGGTATGTAATTACTTATCTGTTATAATTACTTACGGTAATATTTTTAGCTATACTTACTACAGTTTTCTTGACAACTCAGATGATGATGGAACTTTTAAATCAAATCCAACGGCATTATCACAAGAACCACCAATTTCAGAAAAGGTTTCAGACAAGGATGTTATAACAATTGGCCCTACAATTCAAGAAGGGTCAGCAGCCATTTCTGATGTCCCTGCTACAGTTAGAGGTAATTAGTAATTTATATGATATGTCACTAATAAAAAATATTAATATTATATATGTACATAATACATATTATATATGTTATAAAATATGTATATGTAATATATTATATTAATAGATATATTCTTAATTACCAAATATTGTTATAGATAAACAAATGAATATCGGTGAAAAAGTAGATGGATCACATGTCAAATCTGAAGAATCTGAAGACTCATTAACAGTCAGTAGCAAGGGGACTGCTGCAGCACCTGCTGGAGGTATGTAATTACTTATCTGTTATAATTATTACGGTAATATTTTTAGCTATACTTACTACAGTTTTCTTGACAACTCAGATGATGATGGAACTTTTAAATCAAATCCAACGGCATTATCACAAGAACCACCAATTTCAGAAAAGGATGTTAAAACAATTGGCCCTACAATTCAAGCAGGGTCAGCAGCCATTTCTGATGTCCCTGCTACAGTTAGAGGTAATTAGTAATTTATATGATATGTCACTTAATAAAAAATATTAATTGCCACTCCTCCTCCTAGACAATAAAAGAAGACTTTGGATTGGTGTTGTATTAGCTGTAGTTGTTGCAGCTCTTTTGCAGCAATTCCTTCAGCCCGAGTCTCCACCTCAGAAAACAAATGTCCACCCAATAGACATCTTTCGTCAAGAAATGGAAAAAGTGAAGCTCCAGTTCCCGAGTCAACGTGAAGAGTTATGGAAGAGAAGCAGGATCCATTTGCAAAGACACTTCCTGATAGCGCAGCCCACTGAACCGGTCAGCATAATCCTGACTGCTGGTGTGCGGGCCGAGGGCACACTGCGCTGCCTGGCTCGGAGTATAGCTTCTGCCTTGTCCTCTGCTCTCAATGCCTCTGCCCTTCACTTAGAGGGAGCCAGCAAATCCAACCAGGACAGTGACATGGTCAAATCAGACATTGACAGCCAGCTGCAGAAGGCCTTTGAAGGAGGCAAACCTATTGCTGTTATTCACCGTTTTGAGGAGCTACCTCCAGCTTCAACCTTAATATTTTATCGCTACTGTGATCATGAGAACGCAGCCTTCAAAAAAACCTTTTTAATCTTCACAGTACTTCTAGGAGAAGAGGAGGAGATTGACGCTAAGATTCGTCTGAGTGAAGTAGAGGAGATGGTGACCGACCATTTACAGAAGAAGTTTCTCGCACATGATCATCCCACTGCTTTTGATAAAATGGATATAGACAAATACGGTGGTCTGTGGAGTCGCATATCTCACCTTATTTTACCTGTATCAACAGAACGAAGGATTGAAAAAACGGGACAATGCTAACTTAACAGCTGCTTTAGCTTCAACTGAGAACATTTTATAATGACTCAATTACAAAATTGCATTTCCAATGGCATCAGGGGAAAAGCACCATGCTTTTTTATCAAAATGTTTTAATATAGTATTCAGTACTTTATTTTGTTTTCAATCAAATGTTTTATAATTTAAACAAATAATGGTTTAGTAGATGTGAATCTTTTAAACAACATTGTTAAGATATTTTAAGAATGCACTTGGTATGATAGGTCTGTCAGATCCATGTAAATGTGCCTTATACAACAATAAAATTGCATTGGTTAACAAATGCATCATGGTATTTATTTGTTTATTTAATTCATAAAGTATAAAAAGACATCAACAGTGTCACAACATCAAACATACAAGAAATGAATGAAAAGGAGCAGAAAGAATAGTAATCTTATCTGCCCCCTTTTCCAGACAATACATCAACGCTGATGGTTACTGTAAAACATTTCAAAACAGTACATTTCTGTTCAGGTACAATTATTAATCAATTACCAACAGAAATCTTCACTATTATGCACAACAACTTAGTTTTGATTCTGTGACATTAAGTACAAGTACAACTGGTTCTACAGATGCACTGGTTGACTCGAGACCAACCTGTCACATCTTACACTTGACCATTCCTTGCATGCAACGTCAAATATTGTTTTGGAGGAAAATTATGAGATTACAGCTGGTAGGAGTTAAAGTAGGCTAGTAATGCGCGGAATGCGATGTACTGTAAAAATAAATATATAAAACTGTAACACTGTATCCACCAGATGGCACCAACGTGCACGTTATTTCTCTAGTGGCTCCTAATCCTGCCATCTATGTTTATGAGTCACGATCAGACCTTCGCTATCAGTTTATCTGTTTTGAAAATTTACATTTCCTTAGTTGCTATTACATGTTATAGCCTCCATTTATTAATACTGTGCATGAAGAGTTGCGGTGAACGCCTCCTTGTGAAGGTCCACAGACCCGCCTCTTGAAGCGTCTGAGGCCGGCTGCTCCTCTCTGTTACTGCACTCTAAATTAGTCAAGGACGTCAATGTTTGACTGCAAAATGACGTCGTAGGACAGTTATTATTTTTGAGAATTTTCATCAAATTTGTACATTTGGAGTATGCTTTTTCCTACTTTATGCGTTCTTGCTTAATATTGCAGTGAAGATGTTTTTGTGCATTGTTCTTCTCACATGCGGCGCGCTGTTGGAACAAAACAGCGCAGCGCCACAGAGCAAATGGTCTGCAGATACCGAGCATGACCAACAGATAGACCCCCTGCAGCAGGAGGTCCATGGACAAGAGAGCATTCTGTCTCAGGTAACTTACACAATGTTTTCATTCATTTATATTTCAGCGCTTAAACTTCCAACCAAAGAACTGAACTACGTGCATCCTTTTCTTTTGTAGCTACTGGGTGATTATGACAAAGTGAAAGCCATCTCGGAAGGCTCTGACTGTCGCTGTAAATGTGTTGTCAGACCCTTGAGCAGAAGCGCGTGCCGGCGGATAGAGGAGGGACACGCGAGAGTGGAGGACTTCTACACCGTGGAGACTATCACCAGTGGACCCGAGTGTAAGTGCGCCTGCATCGCTCCTCCGTCTGCTGTCAACCCCTGTGAAGGAGAGTTCAGATTGAAAAAACTTAAAGAGGCTGGAAAGGAGAATACAAAGGTGAAGTGGCACCCTTACTTTAACCCCTGGTTCATTCTTTCTTCTGGCGGGAGCTAAAATGTATTACATTGTCACCCTGCAGCTGTCGACCATCCTGGACTTGCTTGAAGGATCTTTCTATGGTATGGACTTGCTGAAGCTACACTCTGTTACCAGCAAGCTGCTGGAGCGGATTGATCACATTGAAAAGGTATTAGATAAACCTAGATGTAGTAACAGTTGTACTCATGCATCAGTTCCTTTTAAAATTAGCCATAACTCTGTTAAGGTGGTTTGGAACAAGTCTCATACTGAAGCAAATCCTCAACAGAATTCCCCACTACAGACAGACAGCACCGGCAGCCCACCAAGTCAATCACTACATGAAAAGAAAAATAAGAAATTGTTGCGTACACAAGTCAACAATGCCAAGTTCGAGGTGAGCTGTAGCCTTCATCAACACTTATTGCAATATAGAGCTAATTTGTATTTGTGTGTCATATATTAATTAGAAGTTTGTTGGAGAAAATCCTTCTGTCATCCACACTGAGAGATCTGCTGAAGTCATTGAGATGAGCTCTAAGGAGACACCCAAAAATACTGTCCATCAAGTGACAAAAACTGGACCCAATGGACTCATCATTCGAGGAATGACTTTCTACAAATCAGAGTCAGACCCAATGGTAGCAGATGATGGCGAGCCTGGGGAGAACTGTAAGCACATCTTCATCTATTTATCTTGTTTACTGAACATTTAGAACAACATAATCTTCTTTGGCTTCAGTTGATTTCCCCTTTCTAGGAGTGGCAACAGTTAATCATCTGTCTCCATTTTGCTGCATCTGTACACGCCACCAACTATTTTCTTTCACTTCATTTATTAATTTCCTCTTAGGACTCCATTTGTCTGCATGGCGTCTACTGGCAGTATCTGTACCACTAGTATGTTTTTAAGTGCTTTCAGCTCTATAGATGCTGAAACATTCTCCATTTGACCACTCTGAAACAAAACACTTCTTTGCTGCCCCCTGTGATTTTGATAAGATTTATTTGTATGCTTTTATTTGTCCCACTATTTTAGAAACAGCTTTCATTTTAAAGGCTATGCCACTGTCTGTCTCTTCAAATAACCTTTTTTTTTTCATTCCAGTGTTTGAGTATGATTCGTTCAGTGGAGATGGCCCCATTAATCTTTTTATTGAAGAGAATCTTCTTCAACACAAAACCCCACACCCAAGGACCAGACCAGGACAAAAGACATTTAGATCAAAAACTGAACATCAATTTAGCAGATACTGGAAAACATCAAAATACAGAAAATCTAAGGAGGCAGAAACACACAAAGAATCACCATCTGAATCAACTATACACTTTCCAAGTGCAACCAACTCTATGCTGTATTTGCAAAAGTACACTTCAAAACCCAAACCATTGCCTACTGATGTGACTGATGAGCCACATGTAACTAAAACTACAGTGGACCCAGTCCCATCCCATGGAAGGACGGACACACAAGACTCTACTGAGGCCTTTTTAACAAGCAAGACACCACTCACCATGATGAAAACATCTGATCAAATGCTCAGTATCCAAGCTACTATGGCTAGTCCAGCTTCTACTAGTATTACCACTGCAACTGCAGCTGCAACTACTATGGTCCCTACATTATACACTACCCCAACTTTAGAGTCAACAACATTAGCTCTATCAGCTGGAGCTAGTAAAGATGAAACATCTATGCCACTTTCCACACAACCTTTGACACTGATGACCCCAGAACACACCCCTTGGCCCTCAACCACACCTGGGACCACCACGCCTTCTGCTACGACTGCTACTACCACTTTGGTTTCTTTCACTACTGCTAAACCTGTACCAGTCGAGTCAAAGCCAATCAAAGATGAGAAACTCCACATAAGAAAACCAGGTATGCCAAGAAGTACCCAAGCAATTGTCTGGTACAACAACTGTAATAGTTGTTGCTACAATTACTGCCAATAATACTGCTACTGTAATGCATTACCAATAATATTTGATACAACTAATCCTATGTTTCATTCCTATCAATACTTCTGCCAACAGTATGTTTTATTATTACTAGAACTACCACAACTATCTTAACATATATATATATATATATATATATATATATATATATATATATATATATATATATATATATATATATATATATATATATATATATGAATGCAAGATTTCTTCACATAATGTAGCCGCATGATTATTTTCTTTTTCACTTTTGTTTTTTCAAAAACCTTTAACTTCTACCTAACTTCTTCTGATCTCTAATCACTGTAACATTGTGATTTACAGCAGACTGTAAGGACACACTGGCCACCATTTCTGAGCCTGTCACTCACAACACTTATGGCAAGAGTGAGGGAGCATGGATGAAGGATTCAACATCTATTAGTGGCAAAATATATGTCACAAACTATTTCTATGGGAACAACCTTTTGGAATTTGCCAACCTGGAAGTCTTTAAACAAGGCAAGTACAAAAAACATGCATTATTTTAAAGATGACAAAGTGTATTCACATTTGCAAAATACTGATCAAAAATAGGACTAAACTAGAACTAAACCTTGACTAGACCAGGGCTAGAACAAGATTAGATCAGAACTAAACCAGGACTAGACCAGGTACATTGACCTCGAACCAAGACCAAACTAATGTTGAAGCTTATATTTGTGAACCCTACAAGTCTTTTGGCATAGCTCACTTAGCATTAATTAATAGTGTAAATACTCATCACATCTTATATCTCCCCTTTCTTTCTAGGCCATTTTACCAATTCCTACAAACTCCCTTACAACTGGATTGGTACTGGTCATGTGGTTTATCGTGGTGCATTTTACTACAATCGTGCCTTCTCTCGGGACATCATCAAGTTTGACCTTCATCATCGCTATGTTGCTTCGTGGACCATGTTGCACGATGCAGTGTTTGAAGAGTCTTCCACACCTTGGGAATGGCGCAGCTACTCGGACATCAACATTGCAGTGGACGAGAGCGGACTTTGGATCATCTACCCAGCACTGGATGACGAGGGCTTCCTTCAGGAGGTGGTGGTCCTTAGTCGGTTGAACCCAGTGGATCTGAGCATGCAGAGGGAGACCACATGGAGAACTGGACTCAGGAGAAATCAATATGGAAACTGCTTCATTGTCTGCGGGGTGCTGTATTTTGTAGACAGTTACAACCAAAGAGAGGCTAACCTGGAGTATGCCTTTGACACACACACCAACACTCAGATGATTCCCAGAATGCCTTTCACTAATAATTACACATATACAACACAGTTAGATTATAATCCTAACGAGGGAGTACTATACGCATGGGACAATGGACATCAAGTCACATACAATATTAAGTTTGCATTTGTAGAGCCTTGAGTTGTTAGTTTAATAATAATAAGTGGGTTGTAGATCAATCCAGAAATTCCTTTTTTGTGTGTTTTCAAGACAATTGTAGGCCTGGTTCCTCTATAAACAAATGTGTTATTGTATATATTGTAAAGGTGTATAAAAGCCCTATGAGGTTATTGAATGTAGAGGAGGGAGAGCGATTCAATGATGTCAAGTAAAGTGCAAAAATATTTTTTTGTATTGTTTTTTACATGTTTGACACAACTCATGTGAAGGCACTTACTTCCTCCATATCAGATAGTCTTAAAAAAAACAAAAACAATGATATTTCTTAAATGTTTATATTTATATGTTGACGCCCCACCCACACAAATCATATCAGAACATGACATAAAATCCAAAATTATTTTTTATTATGACAAATTAAATATACCAACATTTTGTATTTATTCAGTAATGTTGACATGAAGAAAATTATATATTTTTTACTCAAAAACATTAAATTACTAGTTTCACAACTTAATTTGCGAAACAGATCAAACACACCTGTATTGTTGTATGAACATCTGTAATCTTATGGACATTTTAACTTTGTAAAGCACTTTATGGCAGTTTATATTCTGTATTTGCAACAAGCTGAACAAGAATTACACATATAACCAGATAATCCTGTAATAGGTAACCAAGAAGTGCAAATATTTCACACATTGACATTTTTATCAAAAAAAATAGGATGGACAAAAAACAAACAAACAAAAAAACTTTACATTAAGAATTGCAAATTTACCAAATCTACCTACAAAATTGGTTTACCACAACAATATAATTTGATATAAAAATCACTCTGTTACCCTTGATATAAGCACGCTATTTACATACAATCCTAAAGGTGAATTAGAGCATTGTATAATGACTATCTTTAATAAAGAAAAAGTACAGTGTTACGACTATGAAATCATTAACAAAGTACATCAGTAGTTCCTGACCTTCTTTTCCTCAAGCCCCCCTTCCTCAGTCCAAAACCCTGACCCATCCAAATGAATATCTAGATTAACATTTAAAAATCTGTAATTTTAAACAAATAAACAACAACTGGCATGTTTCTCTTCCTATACAACTTTTCCAATCATAAGTTTAGGATTTTTATTATGTAATTAGAACTATATTACTGGATTTTCTGAGCAGACAGCAGACCCTGCAATGTCTGCAGGGAGCTCTTCTGTTTGTTTTTAAGCTTTGCTTGCAATAAAAAGAGTAGTAACAATTACAGTACAATTACTTCCATGTAATGTCAGTGATTTTTTTTAAACATTTGTGCATCCAATTGATTATTTTTGGCTACTGCCTATGCAGACCCCATGAGCACGCCCATGGGGGGCACACTCTGGTTGTCTGTGGAGGAATGCTGGTAAAATGAGTCTGCGTGGTTTACTTTGAGCACAGGTGGGATCGAGGACGACCTGATGTGTAGGATCCTGGTGTCTGTTACTTCACAGTCAATCTGCATCATCACCTCAAAGTCCCGAATGATGCTCTCTGCAAGAATAAAGAGAATCTGTAATATATATTTAATGCATTTTAAGTCAATATTTAGTACATCCCATAGTTTCCAGTGGTGGCATTTGATTAGTTGTGTTCTTGGGCAAGACACCCAAGACCAGGAGAACTCAAAAAGGATGAGAAAACTCAGATTTTGAATAGTGCACCATCAGTGAATAGTGCCCTACATAGTTAGTCTCAGTGACTGGAGCATTGCATCACCTAATTGCATTGTTTTCCATTATTTGATTATCTGATATACAAAATGTAAAGAATGTTTTAAAATTATAAAATAAAACAAAATTAAACTTCAATAAAATATAATCTACATTTGTCGCCCCTATAGTTACATTTAGCGTTGTCCTTATGCTTGGAAAAAAGATAGTGGACCAGCATTTACTAGCACTGACTGGTTAGAGAAAAACCTCATGAGAACATGGCGGAGGAAGATAGTTTGGATACAGATGGTGTCCAGAGGTGAGTCACATACTTCTCTATGCAAGAAATAAACAAAGCGGCCGTAATCAAAAGCAGAACATGCAAATTTGAGAGAAGAGAAGAGGGAAAGACACTGGTGACGAATGAAAGACCAAGAAATTTCCCCATTTGTCTTAACTGAATAGTGAGGTGATGGATATACTCAAGGTTGGTTTACAAAAAGATGATAAACAGGCAGACACTATTAAAGACCTATATATTCGGATAAGGTCATATTGAGGTCTCACTCACAAACAGGTCATTACTTCTGCTTTATCTTAGCAAATTTAAAATGTTTAGGAATTGAGGTATGCCACAGCCCCACTTCTGTAAGCAAAGGATTAGAAGGTCTTTCACATGGACACAATTCATGACGGACATTTGTATATTTACATTAACAGAGAGATTTAAGAGTTTCTTTGTGTTAAGTGCAAAGAGTAACCATGTGGAAAGCTCAAGTCAATGCACCTCGCTTGGCTTTCAGTGGGCACATTATATGACTCAAATATGGAGCTGTAGGAGTCTTTAAAATACTTAGTGAATGCTTTAAAAACTGAATATTTTCCAGACACCTGTGCAATACATTAGCTATTGTGCCTTCTGTAGGACTAGTCGACACTGGACACACAAACTGAATCTGATTGCGGCTCCAGTGATTTTAGCGGATGTTCACATTACTGAATATAAATCTTTATATGACTTCATCCGCCTGCTTCCTCTTGCGACTGGATTTAAAATGGGGCAAGCAAAACCATTTTAGCAGTTTCACAGATGACCCTGAAAGTTGTCTGTATGTCTGAATAATTGTCACGCTATGCTGTGTTTCATGCACTGAGCCTCTGGACCCTGTATAAAATATGTAATTTTGTCATTGCTACTGTACCACCAGTTTAACAGTCTCTTAAAACATGCTAAGTTATTTTTTATAGTTGCATTGGCTCATTTATCACCATCCAAAATGCTGATTAGTATCAATGGTCAAAATGTCTCAAATCTGCTTCACTCATGCACATGTGGGAACAATGTGTTTTGAATATGCACAATCCATTTTTATCATCTGCTTACGTTACAATAAACGCTCACAGCTCTGTGGGACCTCAGACTCTTTTTGTAGAGTCACTAGACCTACAGGGACCAGAGAATTCTATTTACAGGCCTCAAAGCATTTTCATCCATTGCACCCCCTTTTTGCATATTCCTTGAATAAATAGGCCTATACATTTCAGTATCTGCAGTAAACAGAGAAGCAGGAAGCACACAGGAGCCACTGGCTCCTATCTGAAAAAGCCCTCTTTGAAGACTTGGCCAGGCCTATGGTCCCACTCCACATGCTCTCCCTTTTAAAGATGCCATCTGGAGACGGTCCATAAAGCAGCACAGTATGCTGATATGTAGTGATAACCTCCACCCCAGTGTCTGGCAACAACACACTGAAGAAACATGACCATGCATCTAGTGATGGAACTGGGTGCCAGATTGGCAGCAGCTCTAAGGACACGTTCACAGTAGAACCAGTTGAAAGGAAGTAATCTATGTGTAATTGCTACAAAATCTACAAAGTGTAATGCAAAATTGAAGACAACAAAGATGGATAATTACATTAACTTGGGCTCTCACTTCGTGAGTTGGCAACAGCTTTGCCAATTTCAGAACACAGTGATAAGTAGTGTTTTGTTTTGTTTTTTTCCCCCCCAAATTTAAGGGCGGAGGTGTACAAATAATTTTAAATGACCTAACTCAATCTTACGTAACTATGCCTGGCTAAATGAGCATACAGGAAAAACATTTTTCTCCAAAGATGAAGAAGCCAGTAAGTATATCAGTCTTTGTTAGACTTAAAAGAGTCCACTGTCCAGATCATACCTTCTTAAGAATAAGAAATAAATAAAAATATGATACAAAATCATAAATATAATATATTTATAAATATAATAAGAAATACATAAATATAATGTTCAGTGTTTTTTAAATGCTTTTAATTTTAAGTCACAACTGCAGTCCTGGCTTATGTACTTCCTGGAAAGCTGCACAGAGGCAATCATTTGAAGGTTACATCAACTGTGAATCCTGAGCGCATTGGTGATGATGTTGTGATTAGAACCTTGAGGTGAAAACTGTCTGTTTCCAATCGATCTGTCGTATTCCCACAATCTAACTGAACCTGATGTCATCAGTGAAACATTTTTCTTCCAAAACATGTCACTTGCACTTGTTTAAGCTCCCACTCTCACTCAGAGATCATTAAATAAACACTCCCTCTAGTCCTTATATGGAACGCACTGACATCTTTGTGTTAAGCTTGAAGGAGGTCTAGGTCAGATAAGTTTAACAAAACCCCTGAACTGTGGACAGCAGCAGACCATAGCTTACATCAAAAAAAGTGTACTTATTGACCAAGACAGGGAAAATGAGTGCTCTAGATTAGCCGAGTATATTAACCTAGTCCAGATGAAAACCATTTAGTGACTCGAAAGGAGGGAGGCTGGAAAAAATTATACTCTGTGGTAGAGCTATAGCACTGGAGAGAGGCAAGAGTGTTTTCATTTCTAAAGGTCTTCAGAGATAAACGTAATCACTAGAAAAACAAATGTCAAATCTACCAAATCTATCATGTGTGTTACAGGAGGGCTTGAGGTTACAAATCAGACTGTATTAGATCTTTTGCAGGTAATTGTTGCAGATATACAGTAAAGGCTACTCCTACTCCTACTACAACGGCTACTATCACTACTATTGCAATTGTATACAAAGCTGTAGATAATTACTTACAAGTTCATACAAGACACACAATCAGCTAATGACAAACAACTTCAGGATCAAATCTAGTATTTACCATTACCACTTCAGGAAGTCAGGTACAGACTAAACGCAAAAAGCCTGTAATGGCTGTCTGAATACCTGTTTGGGACATTTCTTCTATTTCTTTGTTACTTTGATTCATAAACACACACACAACATAATTTTCCAACATATTTTTAAAACTTACTCCACCTGACCTAAAACAAAAGTGAAATAAGATAAAACTTATTCATATGGCTCTCTTCAGGCATCCATGACAAATCAGATTGGCCTTATAATTTTTCTGAATGCTACCTTTGTTCTGCCAATCCACCAATCTGAAAGTTCAAATGGAGGTCTTCGATTTCATTATTATTTTAATTTCAACAGCGGAGTCTTTGACATCTGACAAAGCTGCAACAGCCATCCTCTCACACAGTATACTATGTACTATAATTATTATAAATAAGGTAATATAATGTAATATTGGAAATATCATACGAGTGCACAACTCAGAACCATATACGAATATACACTATAAAATGGTATTACTCTATAGGTGTAAAGTTCTGAAATTCATTAATAAAAACTAAAATCTCTCTCACAGAAACAGACACCGACTTAACTGTATTGATAGTCCCAAAGACTGAATGGACAAAGCTTTGGTGAGCTCATGGAAATCCACATGTGTCCATGAATCATAGGAAACAATCTGGCACCAGAGTTAGCCAAAAGAGAGTTTTGGCTTCATCTATCAAGTTTAGTGAGGAGATAATGCTTTATTTACAAGACCAAATGGTCAAATAAATGCTTGGATGGTTCTCAAATTAACTGGTGAATTACCCACGCAAAGCAACTATGAACAGTAGATAGAGAGAGAATGAAGACACTAAAAATGTGCCGTTCAGTATGACGTTAGTAATAGATGCACAGAATGTGTGACATTTTTAAAAGAATGATGAGAGTTAATGTAGAGTGCACTGGACTTACCATTTATATTCATTGCAGGTAAAATTACAGACATCTTGGGTCTCTGTCCTTTGTTGTGGCTTGTTGCTGGAAGCAGCAGGTGATCCTGAAAACAAACATGATTAGAGGTGTTGAATGTCTTAGATGGAAAGTAAATACAGTAAATGCAATAGTTAGAGACACACAATAAATAAAAATAATTAAAAAGTCAAGTCAAATTGTATCTTAATATATGCACTACATGCTTAGCGGATCTGCCACCTGTTCATCATGGAGATATTATCTTTGCCTAGAATCCTCCACAGTGTGACATTACAGTTATCCATCTCTTCAGATATTACAAACATCTTTCCTTCATGAAATAAAAAGGAAGACAGATAAGTTCATACTATGGAACAGTCCAGGCAAAGCAATAATATTTATCACCATGGGGACAAGCAGTGGCAGATGCACCACCAGAAATATTACAATGTGTCTCTTTAAACAATACAAGAAAATATCTCCAAATGTCCTAAATGCATAACGTACACTACACAACAGGGTTACCAAGGTTATTTGTGCTATTAATAAATAGTGTGCTGGTGATGTTTTACATTTTCATTTATTTTAAGCCTAAATCAAGAGCAAAAACCCTGGGGCTGTACACATACATTGGAAACCAGAGCTCATTGAAGTGGGGAGGGTCTAAGTGGAATGAAAAATGGGGGGTATAACAGTGATGACAGGAGGGAGGAAGGGATTACAGAAAACAAAAGCCAAATGTGCAGTAGGGAGGTATTTGGTGTCAATATTCAGACACATTTTTAAATACAGGTCTTTATGCTCATCATAACGGCCTACAAACCTGACACAAAGCACAGCTGCTATGGCAACAGATTAAATATTTCTAAAGAACTACACCCAAAATGTATGGGCGCTAAAACAACACAGACAGCCAAGTACAAAAAAACTGTTTCTAAAAGTAGGACCTGTTCCATAATTTGGCGATGTTATGGTTTCCATCATATCATGTCACACTTACAAAACCCCCAAAAGCTACAGGCCACCTCCTGACACAAAGACACCACAGTGGAACAAGTAACAAGCAATCAAGGAGGACTCAACTCATGATCAGTAATTCACCCTTAACTTCTGTATTATCTCAAAAGTAAAACCCAGGGATCTAATTATATTCAAATACACAGTGCAGTATATTATTACCACACAATGTTTAATTGGGATTCTTAATGCCACTTTCACAAAAAACATACTGCAATATTTTGCAGTGCTGCAGTGGATTTTTTTGAATCACAAAACATGGATTTGCACATTGAACATGTTTCTTCAGCAAATGTCCATGTATCCAATCTTGGGCCTGTGGTACACAGCAACACTTCATATGTTTCTCTTTCAGAAATGTGTGTAGAATTTGGAGATAGCTTATTAACCTATCAGGCCTAAACTGCAATAGCATTGTTACCATTGTCCTCACTGTCCTTCTATAATTTCTAATGAGCCACTTTTGTCACCCAAGGGCATTTTCTAGCAGTTATTGTTCCAAAAAAAAAAAAGAGTAAAAGTAAAAAAATATATATATAGTACATTTAAAAGTATAGCTGTTTTAAATGTATGTATCAATATTAAAATCCAGGCAATAAATAAAACAAAAATATTGAGAATTAAAATGATAAAATTGTCCAATCTGGGTGCTGCAGAACACATTCACTTCATACAAAGGATACTACAACTATTAAACTGATGGGCATAGTCAAGGTTGTGAAATAAGTTTCTTAATTCTCAAACCATTTTATGTAATGAAGCAGTGAGTTTTGCCTTAAAAATATTAAATACATTACCCTTCTGAAAGACACAACATAGAAGGTGTCTGGACGTCGATTCAGCTCATCAAAGAAGTGGCTATAGGTGTTGTGAGGAGCGTAGTACACCTGAAGCTCACTACCAGAATTCCTTAAAAAAAAAAAAAAAGCAGCTGTAATTAGCAACTGTTCTGTAGACTGTGTCAAAATGAACCATATCATTGTGTCTAATGTAATTTTTGTTGCAAACCAATGGTGATAGGTTGTCAAATGATTGTTTAATTGTGTGTCCACAGTTCAAAAACACAGTTCTGCTGTTCTAACTGTGGATTTAATAATTTTCTTTTGGTAAGCCTATGTGCATGTGAAAGTAGATGTTAGTCCCATTGTTCCTGAAGGCTGGGTGTTTTACAGCAAATATCAAACTGGGAAAACATTGTAGGTGTCCAAAAAGCTATTAACTCCATCTGTCTGATAGAAGGGCAGAACTGCTTTGACAGTAAATCTTTACTGCTTTACTCAAACAAACTGCATCAAAATCTGGGCAAGAAGGATGCAGTCAAAAGTTGCCTGCAGCTTTGAGAACAAAACAAAACATCAAGTATACTTACTTTTCTTCAGTAGGTTTTGTGTATTGGACAGTCACAATCTCAGAGGCCTCCTTATCATCTGTCTTCTGTGAAAAAAATAAGCAAATATATCAAGGCTGTTATTGGCTGAACTGTGTCAAGTCCACACATTATTCATTAAGAGTTGTGAAGTGATAAAAAAAAAAATCACTTCCAAAATCCACAACAAATGGAAGGAACATATTTAAAGAGGACATTTATAACTTTTATGAGCTTTTAAACAGGCTATAATGGTGTTTCCCCATCATTAACTTGTTGACATTAAGTTGTATTTCAATTGATTTGTGCATATTTGATTAATCCTGTTTTATGATGCATTCGATGCTCAGCACGCCCCATCTCCACCTACATCTCTGTACTTACTTGACAATATTCAAGTTTCAGGTCACACACATAGGTTTCAAAAATGTCACAAAGCAATTTCTCAACATAAATGAAAAATTGCTTGTTACTTTGAGTGCAGTTACACTCTAAATCTGATTATGATTTTCTTAGACTATTAAAATGACATGTAAACAGCAGTATCATCTAATTTCTTTTGGATCATGGTCTCTGATTACTCACATCAGATTTTGAGGTTTACATGAAATAATTCTAAAAGTCCTGTGTATACTTACTTGCTTTAAAAAGCACAATATGTGTTGTTTAAAATTATGTAAATGTTATGTTGCATTCAGAGTATTTGACAAATTGGGTTATCCTTGCTACACACCGCCCAGTTCCTAAAGCACAAAACTGGTCTGTGGGACCCTAATCCACAGCTCCCCCAATGAATGTTTACTTTCTCAGGGCTGCTGGATTAATTTAAACACAGGCCTATAGAAAAAGAGGCAAAAGGGGGAAGGTGTGAGGAACAGTAAAGTGACATTTGCCAAGTGTCATTTATAATTTAGTGTTTGGAAGTTTACTATAACTACATTGAATCCAGTGTAGCAATTTATAATATTGTGCGTGGTAAATTGTAAAATAATGTAGTGAATTACCAGAATAGTCCGAGCAGATTTGTGATTGCTGTTACTCATGCGTCTGGATTTGGTCTGCTGCACTTCATGACGGTGGACCCAGCCCCTGAGTTCGTGGGCCAACCTGCCAATCAAAAGGGTCATTATGAAGTCGTCCATAGCTATTTTAGTATTTAAAGTGACATTTCAGAAAGCGTATAGGCCATGTTGTGGGGTTACTTACTCCATGCACTTGGTTCTGTTGACAGGAGGCTGGCAGGGGGGAGGAGGTCTCAGAAAGATGGGATCCTTCACCACCATTAAAGCTTTATCCTCAAAACTAGCCAAAAACAGAAAAAAATGAGAATAAGAACAAACATTTATAAATAAAAATCCCTCAAGTCAACTGTCTAATAATTTAAACAAACACTTTATTAAGCTAATAACTAACCCTTCAACACTCAGCTACCCAAAGCTGATGTACTGAATAATGCTGAAAATCAGGAAATACCACCACATTATGAATTACATCTGCAGTACATGGCACATTCGCAGCCCTCCTCAGATGTTACAGTAACTGAAGTAACAGTCCTTCCACAGAGTGAATGATTGTGAGATGTGAGGTGCTGATATACAGCATCCACAACCAGTGCCCACCTACAGGGCCTCAGACCAAGACCACCTGATGTAACCTGCCCCAAAGGCCTCCCAAACACTGGACGCCCCATGCTTCAGACTATGTTCTGGAAATGGTTTCCTGGGACAACATGTCAAAGCAGAGCTGACCGACCAAGTATCCCGGCAAAAGGGGCCATAGTAAACCCTCTGCACACATGCACCTTGTTTTTAGAGGTACCCTCCGATTAGGTTGCATATCATTGCCGTCACACTGCCCTCTGCTGTGTTCAGGGTTGTCACCCCTTTGTAAAGGCTAATGTGTTCCTTCCTGTCTGAGCTAGTTTAAATGCTGCAGGGAAACTCGACACTGTACACGACTGGTTTGTGTTAGCGTGTGACGGACACTACACACAGATCTGACTGAACACAGGCTGGTATCGCAGCAGTAACAGATAAGTTGACCACATCACAAAACATTTCCACTGGGGCCAGGTAGAAAAGATGTAATTAAACAAGAGTAAGTGTCTATACTTAGACACACATTTTTGACATTTGTAAAGAAACTCTTAAGAAAAACATGCTGTTAATAGCCATGCAAAGCCATGTCATCAAAGCCTGACCCAAACCTAAACCTCATTTCTCAAACCCTAAATAGATATGGACTAGATGGGGACTTCTGTTGAGTGATGTTTGAACTGACACAGTAAAAGGCTGGGGGATATGTTTATATGTGCTGTAATGAGCCACCAGGGCACAGGTGCATCCTGGTGTACCAACCTCTAGGATAAATACAAAGTTGATGGTGTGGGTTGAACTGATTACCTGTCCATTTCAGAGGGGCCTGTACGCTGAGGTTCTGAGTCGATGACTACATCTGTTTCAGCCTCTGATGAGAAGCCCAGCAGGTGCCTGCCACTGTGCTGTGTTGAAACAACGTCCAGTCTGGATCCAGGGCCACCCTGAAAGAAACTGTGGAGAGACAAGGCGAGTAAAAGACATGACAGGGGGACAGGGTGCAGAGCAGTCAGAGCAGCAGATGAAAGAATAGAGCTGACTTTGGCCAAGGCTGCTGTACTGAAATGACCGCTGAATCCCCTGCTGCTCACATCCTGTGCACAGGAGGGCCCTTCACTTTTAGCCACAAGTCAAATGTGAACTCTGATCTAGACTGCATAACTCAGGACACACCGGGGCACGGACACACAAGTGAAAATACACACAACCCTTTCAAGAGTATTAAATGCACTAAGTGGCATTTTCATTTCAAAGGGATTGGACCTCAAAAGAGGCATATTTTACATTCCAGAGGCGAGTCTAAACACAATCACACAGATGAGAGTACAGGTACAGACACACATAGACTACAACCATAAACAAATTCACCGCTCCTTAAAATGTATTTAAGTTTAAGCTCACAACAACAAATGGACAAAAGAGCACATTCCCAGCAAAAAGCAGACGGATTATGAAAGGCGATCACCAGACTAACTAAATGTTTATGAAGTTTGGGGGAAAAGCTCCCAGAGGAAAACAAACATTTTTACAACATGAGAACAGAGGCTTTATCTCACTGTTTAAGGGTGTACTGTAGACTTGATGTTATGAAATTACACAATTCTTACTCTTTGATCAGTCTCATAGTTACGCCACTATTGGCACAGATGTTTAGGCGATCCACTGACAAAATCATCGCAAGTTGAACCAAATTCATAAAGAGCAGCTGTCTTCAGGCCTGTCATGATAAAACATTTTGAAGTGTGATATTTTGATTTGGATAAACGATAATATTGAAAGGAATTTATACCACTTTCACAATAACCTTAAAGCAGGATAATTACAGTACACCCTTTGCTAAGTGAATCATGTTAAACATATTTTAGCTGGCAATCTATAAATAGTACAATGAAACACTCAAGTAGTTAGTTCTAGTATTTATAATGCCACGTAAGTTAATTATTGGACAATCTACAATGTAAATGTGATCATATAGGCCTAATACTATATCAAATTAAGAAAAAATTTCCCCACTAGTGTGAAAAAAGGTACATGTGATCAATATGGAGCCTGAAAAAATATATCTACCACCATATATTGAACCATAAGTCGATATAGAAATTATTGTGAAAGACTTAGTTGTGCTTTTACCTTGTTGGTCCAAAATTAAACACGAGGAGCACCATGACAACCATCAGACACACAGCTCTCCTCTTGGGGGCTGTTGTCTTTAGCACAGTGTTCTGATGAAAATAAAAACATCATTACAACATACATTAGTTATCAGCAGTAAGTCAGTCTATTTTTGTATTGAGTAGCGTTACTTGTCTCTCACCTCACTCAGTAGCCCCTCCAGCTGCCTCTTGAGAGTGCCATTTTCACTTTTGAGTGCCTCATTCTCGGACAGTGCCATTTTCAGTCGTGCCTCCAGCGACAGCAGGTATTCTTTCTTCTTTTTCCGTGACAGGGAGGCTGACTCACGGTTCTTTATCATCCGCTGCTGCCTCTGGGACAACTTGGACTGAAGTGACAAAACAAAAATACACTTGATAAATGCTGTTGTTATTACACATTTGAGCACCCCGCTGAGCACCTATCCAAACACAATGGCTGAAAAGTAATTATGGAGAAACAAGCAGTGAAGTGGGAGACTGGGCCACCTCTTAAGACTGTCGATCATTGCCTTCCTTATTAATGTGACATCATGTTTGTCTATGTGCTTCAGAGTGAGACCTTTAAGTGTCTCTATTTATAAGAAAAAACTTTACTAAAAAAAGAGCCAAATGTCATTAAAGGTGTGTTGTGTAAATTTTCTGGTGGAGGGTCTGTCAAATACTTTTCTCCATAAAAATGTTATTCTTTTGTCTGGAATGTTTTACAGTATGGTATTAAACCTTTATCTTCATAGAGACCAAACCGGACCATGTTACAGATCAGATCTGTACAGATCAGATCTGTGGATATGCAACCATGCTCACAGTAACAATGTCTGTTTAGGTATTTTTGAGCAGTAAAACCACCTGTAATTGAATAAATATAAAGGTAGAGCCATTTAACATCATAATGTGGAACATTCCATTCAGAGCAGTAGCATAGCCATCTTAACAAGAAGGTGATGGACCCCCAACCAAAAAGTTACATAGTATACCTTTGAGGAAAATATGATGGAACATGTTTTTTTACACACAGTCTAGCATTTCAATAGATTCTGAAGTTATATTTTATTAAATTTTTTATAGCTCTAAATTAGCTGTTGAACGTGGAAAAGCATTAGACAACCAGCTATTGGTTTCTCAGTACTTCAGCTCTTGAAGTTCCACTTAACATGCAGAGACACCTCAGCATTACCTGCAATAAATCAATGTTTTAACACAACCCAAAAGAGCACTAAAACACACATGTTAAAGATGCCGTTTGATATTTACACAAACATCTGCAACTAAGGTTAGGAGGTCACATCCTAGTTACCCCTCTTCTCCGTACATAAAGTATGTATGTTTATATTGTATAATGCCACTGTTGCATAAAGTCCTAACCCCTAATAAATGGACTTACGGAAAGTCAAAGCATAAGGCATAATGTTCAGGTTTAAAGTTAATTTTATGTTAATACAGATCTGCAAACTTGAAAGTGTAATATTTTCTGTACATCTTTGTTCACTTCTTAGCACCTCTGACCTGCCCCTCCCCAAACACACTCTCTGGGGTAAGCCTCTGGGTCTTGGTCGTAATAGCTCCACTGGTGATTAAGTTATTTGGATCCCTTGTATTTTTGTTCTGTCTCCTGAGAAAGCCCTCTGTCTGCAGGCCCAGATCTGGGAGCAGTGCCACTAGCCTGAGCCTGGGAACAGTGCTGTGGAGCAGTTACCAAGGAGACAAGATGGGACAGCCTTCAAATCACTGGCACCCGAACACTCAAAGATGTGGGACATGGGGAAAAGGCACAGTGGCATTTATCAATAGGGTGTGACCCATAGATTATATGCAAACAACACATCAACTGCAGTTACCTACAAATCCTCCTAATAGCTGATGGGAGTATTTATTGGGACTACTAATTTTAGGGCCACAGTTAGAGTAATTGACCCTCACACACACACACACAAAAGCACCCCGTACAGGACACCATCTCAGTAAGCAGAGCAATCCTGATGGCTGTTTACAGCTGTCACTAACCCTCCAACACCTGTCTGCAGCATGTAATCGTTTAGCAGTCGTATAACACCAGGGCTTTGGGGGCTCTGCTAAGGCCCAGAATACAGTGCAGTGAACAGAACGGGACTGTAAGCACATGGCACCTGGTCCAAATATGCCATCTCTCAAAACCATTTTACATGAACATTAGCAAAGCGCCCGAGTATTCACAGCTGCAGGATCTCTAAGCAAAACGCAATGCCCCAAGAGTTCATACAAAAAAAAGAAAACTGTACACACGCATTAGCAGCATATCGCCATTGTTATTTCATTTCACCCATTAGGAAGCTCTAGGGACATTCAAGCACTGTTCCCATATCCCAGTAATTAGTGTCTCTTTTTGCTCTACCATGAGAAGATTCCCTGCCATGAAATTGTCCTCCAACTGTTCACTGTAATAAATTGGCTAGATTTTGGTTATATTTTAAAACAATATTTGTCTTGTGTTCGGGGACTTGCCAAACTTTTCTCCCCAATTCTGGCATGAAAAGTACCTCTCTCTGCCTCTCTATATTATTCCTTGTGATGACTGAACTAGTCCCTCACAGGCATTTCAGTGCTATGTTTTTACAGCCAAAGGTCAACTGTTACCATATATAACACAACAGCAACTTTTAAAGTTTTGCTTGCATTTAAGCATTAAAAATAAATATAGAAAACACCATTAATTTCAAGATCAATTGACCAGGTGCCTTGAGAAGCACTAGAAAAACAGCAGAGAAGTGAGTTGGTAAGTAACTGTAAAGATTATTTGCGTATTACATCATAGTTTAATTGTTCGTATACTTGTGTGCTGCTGAATATGAGATTTAATAAACAAACAAAAGGACAAAGTAAACCTACATAATGGGAAGTTTCACATGCAAAAGCTATTTCGAACCATCAGTCATTACCTAACACAACAATAAATAGTCAAAGAGTCTCCCTCAGAGTAAAACTGAGGTTGACAGAACAAACAAGTGGAACATTTGTATTTTATCTATACAATTCAAGAGCCAAGAACCTACCCTTGGGAAAACCCCAGATGATTCAATTAAAAGGACATGCATTCGGATGGCAACCATTATTTATAGATCAGTTTATTATAAACATATGTTACAACCATCTATCATACTTTAACACTGTGCTCAAAATAAAGTCTGTGTTCATTATGCCCGTTATCATTTAATTTAATTTGACCAACAACCTGTCTACAACTATGAGTTCATTTGAAGGTTGAGTTGATTTGTTCTCTATCATCTATTAAGAACAATGTGCTTCTCTATGGCACTGTCCAAGTTATTAATGGCTACTTTTGTTGAAAATCCTAGACAAAGAATTGCCATGAAAAATTCCATCCCAAGTCCCATTGGCAAAGATAACACAGTAGTCAGTGAATAATTCAATGATTGATTGACTTAGCATATATTGTCCCTTCAAATACTAAAGTTAGATTTCTTTCAACTCCATCCCTTAAATTAGACAACGTGTCAGTGTTTTAAATGGACACTGACATTATTTTTGGTGTGGAAAATTGACTTCACATATTTTAAGCATTTCAGTAACTTAATTTTACGTTCCTCAGAAGGAAATTGTCACAGCAATTCGAAGTTATAAAAATCTTCTTCAATATTCAGTTCTCCAAAGGCAGTTTTATTTTGGCAACGAGTAGGTCCTTTGGCCATAAAACACTATCTTGAATTTATTATACTCTAACATTTTCTGAAAAGCATCTTTGTCTATTGCACAGCCTGGGAAAAACATTTTGTTTTGGGCTGCTAAAAAATGTATAAATTAAAGACCACTCCTTAGCAAGAAAATAAAAGACAGATTGTTTTGATGAAAAACAGAAAGGTTTTATGCTTTCAAAATCCTTAGCATTGTGTTTTCAGGACATATGACTATTTCTTATAGTTTTAAATATCAAAAGTAGACCACTAAGTCATTTTCTACTACAACAATACTATGATAGTTGCAACTACAAATTCAAATAACAGTATAAGCAATTCTATGACACTAAACTACACAACAAAGATAGTTCTACTCCTGGCTACTTGTATTGTCTTAATATTGGCACCTATATATTCAGATATTCCCCAAATATTCCTAAATTGAAATTAATGGGTGCTTTTACATATGTAGTTGGAGTTGCCCATGCTAACATAGTATCAGGACTCACATCATCGTCTGAGGACGGCGTGCAGAGGCTGACAGAGACCACTGGAGGAGCTGTGATCGGGACTGGCCTCTCTGGACTTAGCGTTGGCATGGCGACCACATTTGCAGTGAGCGCTTGTGGGGGCTGGATGTGCAGCACCTGGCCCGGCTGAGACAGCACTATGGGGCGGCCTGAGGAAAGATACACACAGTCCTATTACAAAGACTTAGTGGGCTATAATCATATTTGTGCTAGCTGTATGATTACCAAGACGGTTATTATGTGAGTCAGTTTGATTTTGTGATTGTTCTGCTAAGGCCCTGATAACTGTTTTTTCATATATATTTTCAGCAGACTGTAGCCCACCTCTAAGGAGCTACATTAACCTCTGGCTTTAACAGGGCTTTTCCGCTTTTAAAATACAGGTGCAATGTGGGGCCATCATGCACCAATGTGACCTATGCTCTGAACTTCCACATTCCGAGCTGTGTTAACTTCAGTCCAGTTGCTTGTAAGGAGCTACTCCACCGCCACAGTATAACTACACCACCAGAGTATAAAACTAGTTTGTTTCTACATCCTTATTAGAGAATGTAGCAGCCAAATATCTTACAAAGGTAAATCGATTAAACAATTAAAAACAATTTTAAAAAGTATGAGACAATACTCTCAGGATTTACAAATGATGTGTGAAAAAGTGTCCCTGAAGAATTTAACCATCCTTAAAAACACAGTGCCCGGAACCATTACTCTGAACAACCCAGCAGCCCTCAACTCTAAACAACCTGTCAGGGTCAATTGTTTTGACAAAGCAGCACTAATGAATGGAGGTGGTACCGACTCCAGTTTTATCTTCAACACAAACTCTCCACCTGTACGAAGAATTTATAGGGGTGAAGGTGAAATAACACATCTGTACATTTGTGGAAAAAAAAATAAATCTGGATGCATTTCTCTCTTAGTTTTTAGTGAGCCAAGTTTTACTACATTTAGCCTTTTAGGCGTAAACCGGAAAAAAATCAAAAAGGTCAAACACTCCTGCCTCCTTGCATCTAATGCTATGACATAAGTATTACTGTTGGCCTGGGCAGAACTGACATCACACACAGGGCCTGAGATAATGAACCAGAGATGCCAAGCCACAAATAAATGATAAAATGCTATGACCCTCAAGTGACCCTACAGCCTCAAAAAATACTGTGCCATAAAAGACATGTTTTAAATCCACAGGCTAGTAGTAAACAAGCATTCATTTGTATTTTTATACAACACAGACCTATAAAAGTAGACAAATATTGGCCTAAAAAGTATGATGCTGAAATCAGTTGGGAAAAAAATTGAGTACACAGTTCCCTCTGGTGGTCATATTTATGAAACTAGATCCAGTCAAAAGCCTTTGTACCAACAATTACTGATATAACTCATGGCTTATATTCAGTGCAATTAATTAATTATTTTTTTGGTAGATATACGATAACAGTATATCCTGAGACAAGCTATTACAATTACAATTGCAAATAAGTTTGTTTAGTGTTGCAATGTGTGCTCTGACCTGGAGGTGGCGCTGGCTGAATGCTGACAGGGGTCTGTTTGACAACAGGCAGGACAGTGGTCTGCAGTGGTTGTATAATGATAGTCTTGGCCTGCAGGGGAGCTGCTGCATGTGCCAAGGGCACAGCTGTTATCAAAGGTTTGGGCTTGATAGAAACCTTAGGCCCAAACTGGATCGGCCTCTTAAGTGGCTGGGAAGGTTTGTCTGTTAAAAAAAATTTAAAGACAGAATAAGATCAGTGCATTTCTATCATTTAATAAAATAATCTGTGTACAGTCCATTCTTTGTTTAGAAAAACAAAGAATTAACTATCCATAACAAATACAAAGCTTCTGTTTAGGAATATTTTATTTTAATTCAGACAAATGCTCTATTTGACCTGAACATCAGGACTTAATAGGAAAAAATTAACAAACCATACATTGCTCACCTCGCTGACCACTTCTCTTTTGAGCCTTTTTAGTTGGAGTGATTGCCTCAGAAAACCCACTGGACTCTGAGGAAACCGATGCAGGAGAAGGCAAAGATCGTGGAGAAAGAGCCTCATCCTGAGCATTCAATAATAATAAAAGGATTATCACAATTCAACTCATTTTTAATACCTTCATGCCTTTAATTTATTACCCTTACTTAAAAGTGTTCAGGAAATGCTTTTGTAGCACCATAGCAAAAATAAATATACTTAAATTTTAATAAATAATATAAACATAATACATAAGTAAAAATATAAACCTTGAAGTAACTTAAATACTTATATTTAAGAATGCCATGCGGAGGCTGGATAAAAATGTAACCCTTGTCCTTGTTTTGACACAGTGAAAACATCTGTCTCCTAAATTATGCTAATATGTTTCAGGTTGTCAGCACCTTTCTCAAAGAAGAGAGTCACCCATAGAACAGATGGACAGCAATGTATTAATTTGACAAGGTGTTTAAGGATTTTGTTATTAAATGTCTCAAGAGTGATCTTCCATTGAGCAGCTGTTGATCTCACCATATGGTCGCAGGTTTTGTGTGCATAAAACAAGGTGATACAGACAGAAGTTGTGAATGTGATGTGTTGAAAGCAGTGACTTACGTGTAAGGAGTATGGGGACAGGGCTTCTACAGAGGAGGGAGAGGGGACCGAGCTCAACGTGTGTGCAGGTGACAGAGAGTCCACACTCACCTCGCCATCTGGAGGCACAAGGACACACTTTTTATTTAAAGGGCCCATATTATGCTATTTTTTGACCTGTGCTGTAATGTTGTTTCCTCATCAAAAATACACCCGGAGTTGTGTTTTGTTTAACTCAAAACTCTGCATATTTAGACTGAGCCAAAAGTTTTTCAGATTTAAGTGAACTATTTTCAGTTGGTGGGACCATGGTATAAAAAGATTAAAAAACACACTACTCCTCGTTGTTTAATCCATACTTAAAGCTCACAAGAGTCAATTTTGTGTAATATAGGACCATTATCATTTAATACTGAGAACATGTCTGCATAAAGAAAAAACAGAAAAGTAAGAATAGTTGTATAAAACTCAATTAACGCAAAAAATATATAAATGATAGGTTTCACATATTTATAATCCCAATTTGTAATTGTATTATACGTTCACATAACACCAAAAGATGGTATCTACATTTTGGACTAAGACGAAGAAGACTAGAGAGCAAAGGTGAACCTGCTGAAACAGCACATCTGCTATCTACTGGTTAAAAAAAACAAAAAACACATGGCATCTTTAAGCCATCATCTTTAAACTCTGATAAGATTTTACTACTGATGAAGGTTAACAAATAGGAGACGCCATACCTGTGTAGGTGCTGTGTTTGTCCACTTCATTCCAAGAGGGTATGTCGATATCAAAATCTAAGTTGGGTCCCTCACTGGCCTAAAAAAAGCAGAAAAAGCTATTAATGTTATACATAATATTACTAATCTTTTTTGCACTTTTAGAGCAAGCAGGTTGGAAGAAATTTCTCATATCGGTGCTATTATTATTTCTCTTCAAAATTTATTAAAGGGTAAATGCAATCACAAGTTAATTAAAACTAATATAAACCTGATTTCTTATTGTCAGTTATTTTGTTTCATGAGTTAGCAGAACTCTTAATTGCTTTCTTTCTAAAAAAAAAATCATGCATATTACATAATAAATTAATAAGTGAAACCAGAGTTTCAAAGACAGAAACTGCCTTTACTTCCCAGGGTGCAGCTGCACCTTTTCTCATAAGGCATTCTACAGTTGGTCCACTGTCATTTGCATACAAGGGAAATGAGAAACTCACAAATCCTGCATGCTCCAGAGCTTCCAGCAGCTCATCTGCATCTCCAAGATCATCCAACTCATCAAAGAGGCTGATGTCTGTTAAATGAAGTACAGAAAGAATATAAACAATTTCTTTGTTGCCATAAGGCTCAGCACCACTTGTCTCTCTCATTAAACCTGTGCATTTGTATGGAAAATGTTATTATGTTATGTTTTGTTAAACATATAGAGGCAACAAGTGATAGTTACAGTCCAAAAAATGCAATATATAAAATAAATGAAATAAGCCACACAGCTGAGGCAATGTAAAACCTCTGACCCAGTGATAGTTGTTATATAATATTTATTTGTGAATAAAGAGGTTAATGTAACCAAATACTCATTACAAGTGTTAATTATAAAATAATTTGTATTCTATCATTTGTTATCACTATACAAGTTGTTATTATATGTTCTTACTTTTTTAGACATTGACGTGTAGTTACATCATCTCCGCGGGGGGCGGCTAGCATACTAAGAAGCTAATGCTAAATGTGTTTTATGACAACAATGACTGAAGTGGGAAAGGCAATCTAGTATTTTAACAAGATTCTCTTCATGGAGAGGCACTTAATGAAATTTTAATTCATTAAAATGGCATTTGTCTTAGGTAGATCCTTCTACAATACATGAGCAGCACTTACCCCACTCGCCTCCCTGGTCGATAGAGATGCTGCCAGCTTCGTTATCCATCACAGGACAATGTTGTGGATTTTCTAACAAGGAAACAGATGTCATTCTTTGTTGAATTCATTAGTAAAATAACAAAATTTAAAGAGCTTCTTTCGAGTTTTCCCTCATCCACTGTCACCGCCTAACATGAGCTGTTGTGTTTTGGTAAAGACTTCCTACAACCCCAAAAGATACACGTCTGTCTTTAGCGTAAGTACGGGTGCCAGCGAGGTCCAAGCAAGTAAACTACACCGCCGCTGCAATCCTCCTCATGACCACAAGCCGTCGTGTTACCACTATAATTGAGTTGCCCCAAAACAATTGATGAATGGATCAAAGTTTTATAGTTATAGGAAGCCTGTATTGCCCTGTATTTGAAGAGATAGCCAGTTTTCATGATCGGGCGACGAATTCCCAGACAGGTACGCAACTTAAATGCGATATGCAATGTATGCTACATGTAAAACTACGATGCAATGTGTTTTTTCCCCCCCACTTTTATGCCTTTGATGACGAACCAAGGACCAAGAAGTGTATAAATTGAGTGACTCCAGTGTGTTGTAAGCCTAATAACCTAATCACTCTTTATACAATTATTCTCAAAGAAGCCTGGATGTAAAAAGGGAATTGGTTTTGTGTCATAGTTTCTAAATGTATTATTTTAGAGACAATCCCGTTAGGCACAAAGAGCCTTTAAATAGACCAAAAGAATATCAATAGTGTGGGTCTGTAGTTGGTCTGTAGTTGGTGACGTGTGCTAAAAATCTGAGGCAGGTGTACAGTGGACCTAATCCTCCATGGCCATGTTAGGTCGTCAGGATTAACCTCAGGTGGTCTTTTTATTCTCAGCTGGACTGGTGCAGCTCATTTGACCAAGAATTTCTAAATATGACACTGTCTATGACACACACACACACACACACACACACATATATACACACACACACATATATATATATATATATATATATATATATATATATATATATATATATATATATATATATATATATATATATATATAGATATAGATATAGATAGATATAGATAGATAGATAGATAGATAGATATAGATATAGATATATATAGATATATAGATAGATATATAGATAAATAGTGAATAGGGGCCTGCCACTGTAATCAGTTAAGGTTATAACTCAGTAATTATAGTGCAGAAAAAATTTGGGTAGCCTACTGGTACCAATAAAAAAGGTGCTGGAAACGTTACTGTGCAGTGTGACCACAAATGATGACACTTTTCCCTCAAATTAAATGATAAAAAAAAAAGAAAAGAAAAGTACCCAGCCTAAACTATAAAAAATAAGAACCTATTATTTGAACAAAATGTTGTTTCAAGGTTAGAATTGAAGAAATGTATTTGTTCCTGACTGTCACTGACAGTAAAGATAACCTCTGATTGGAATGGGGTTGGGCAAGGATGTCCTTTGGTCAATAGGTTTACTGTTCAAAACTCATTGTATTGATTGTGTTAAAGCCTCACCAAATCAGACACGAACAGGAGATTACCACATTAACCTGATGTGCAGAGAAGAGTTTACCTGGACATTTGTGTAAAATGGATTATATAGGCTTTGGACAATTTGTCACAGCCATTGTCTGTTCCCTTCTTGAAAACAGACTTATGGCTTATCCATGTATTTCAAAGTAATGAAAAATATTCAGTGGCTCTTAAAGTGGTATCTATATCACTAAACTGCAACAATGGGGTTGGCAGACCAGTCAACTGACTCTCATAAGACTCATATGACTCATAAGATTTACCAGGCCTTAAAATGATGATGTCATGATAAGAAATGTTTGCTCATACATCTTATAAATTCAGATGCACTTTGTATTTTGCTTGAGAAAAAACAGTCATTGATGAGTGGTAATGGATCCATTTTGTTGTTGTTTGTCTTGTTGCTGTGGAAATTACACAAATTTGTTGATGCTGATATTAAGATTTTTTTTAAATCCATAGCAAAACCTACAAATCTGTACTTTAAGGTTTAAATAAACCTTTGTGAAAATGTAGCCTATTTATCTGGGATATAAAATAATGTGCATGATTGTGCAAACATACTATAAATAATACTAATACTTTTTTTTTCTTCATTTTTTACTCATTATTCAGTTCCAAGGGCCAAAGGTGTTGCACTGAGGACAGACATAGGAGCACAGAAATTGGGGCATCTTTGAAAAATTTGTGTTGGAGATTTCTGGGAAAACTCCTGTCTCAGATGTCACCAGCACCTACAGTATATTGGCACCAATATATTGCCCATCAATAATTACATGCAAAGTCCAAGAGCATACTAATAGATGGATTCTGTTTTACTCTTGTTGTCTCATGGCCCACATGTCTCTGTATCCTTCCAGCTTTAACCCACCTATGGCCAGTTAAAAAGATGATTTGAAAAACTGTAACTGATGTAACAGAAGGAGAATTAATGAAAATGATCTTCTACACCCCTCACAGTAAGAATGCATGTTTTCAAGGTATTTGTGATTGTGAGCAATAATACAAATATAACAGAAATAAATGCTCTAAATATGATTAATACAACATTTTGGAGTGTTCTAGGCAAAGGAATGACTTCTCTGTAGGGAAAAGCTGGTGGTGAACCATACACCAAAAACATTGAAAAGTGCACCTTTAAGCAATATGACAAAAGGGAAAAATATACTAAATAGTTATTTGACAAAATTATTTAATTTGACGTAATATTTTAACAGGTTATTTGTTTTAGATTTTTTAAATTATATTTTCCATAAATTGAAAACTTGATTGTACATTTGCAAGCAACCTAACTGTTGTGAAAAGGAGCACAAGGTGCCCCCCTCAAAAGACTGTTTGAGCTACATTTCATCCTTTGTGTGTCAGATTGATGACCTGTGAGATGGATGATGTTCTGTAGCTCTGTGTGGCATTGTCTTATCCAGGCCGACACAAAGAGGCACAACACTTATCATCGCAGGCTTATAGGGAGCAAGGGGCAGGGGGTGTCAAGGGCTCTGTGATGGTAGTGGTGTAGCGGAGGTGGGGGTCCTCCTCGATAAAGCTTGATGAAGATGGGTTAATGACAGAAGAGGCAGATGGAGAAAGCAATCTCCCATGACGACCAGCCAGAACCACCATCCGGAAGTCAACAACAAACTCAAGAAGCACAAAATGGTGCATGGATGCTAAGTATGTTCACTAGAATTTACTAGAGTATTAGGGGTTTAAGGCATTGAGGCGATTGGGAACAGACTGGTGGCCTTTTGGCTGCACGCAAGTGTTCTGATGGCAGGTGGCATATAGGTTTGAGAAGTCTGGTTTAGGATTAAGTATTGTTTATTAAGGATGGTGCTGTGAATACAAAGGAATTAGTGTAAAGGGTGCTCCATGCCGGGATGTGTGTGCTACTTTACGGGACTAGATCACATGTTGATTTATGGATTATTGTGTGTGCCATAACACCATTATACCTAAGTAATTATCTATGTTGTGAAGAAAAAAAAAGTGTCTATATGTCTATTTTGAAACATATTGGAATTATATTATGTTGATGATGATGATGATGATGATGATATTTATTTCAGAAGTGTCCTCTGATGAAATAAAATCACTTCCAGTTCCCACGTTATCCCCATAATGCACTGCTGTGTAAAAAGACCCTACCAAAATCATCTCAATGCCTTGAACCATGTGCCACCATTAGGGCACACAAAGAGAGGTGTGACAAATGGCAATTGTAATGTCTCTCTGTGACTTTAATGAATTTATACGTTATGTGAGCCTAATGGAGGCTGCCGCGGAGGGGCTGGCGCGAGGCCATAACAAATGAAAAGCTCTGATTAGGACAGAATGAGTTGAGAAAAAAAACGCCATTCATCTTGGTTAGCATCCTCCTGTGCTCTTTTATGGGAAGCTGTTACAAGGACGGTGGAGCCGTGGGTGCCTGTCCCATTAGCGGGGGCGTGAGTGGTCACTGGTCAGCACCACGGCGTTGACGGAGCGTCTGGTCGCACCACAGTTCATCGCGGAGTATACCTCAGAGTTTGACTCCTGAATAACCTTCTGAGGTACCGGCAGCTTCACCCCTGTATGACCCCGCGCGCAAAAGAGGGGTGAGGGGGGACTCCGGGGGGTACCCAGACCAGGCCCACAGCCAGTACGAGATAAACACTGACAGGGCGACATTTAAAGAAACAGTTCAGGATCAAAACAAAACAAAATGGACTGCGCTTGGGTTTACGCACTATATGCATTTACGCACATAACTGGCTTATTTAAAACGTAAAAATAGCCGGCACGTAGTAACAGAAAAGAAAGAAAAACACCCTCCTGCACAGCCTTGTCCCGAAAACAGAGTGAAAGTAGTCTGTTGGTTATTTTCTGGTGACTTTTTAAACAGCCTACATTTGAAATGTTTTATTTTGATCCTATTTGATTGCATGACAGACAGATTCTGTATTTTAGGTTACAGATATGCTAGGTTATTGTTTAATTTAGGCGACACTTAAAACACTTGCAATTCAGCTCTAATCATCGTTTCTAACCAACGATTAGAGCTTATTTTTATGTTATAAATTGTCTACTTCACGCAACGTTGAGGTCAAGAACTGCCATTTCTAATAAAGCGACATTACTGCCTTCTACAACAGAAGCAACAGTGTACACAATATCTTTCGCCACAATCGTGTTGGAGCTTGATATCGACCACTGTTGTCATTGGGAGAAACCCTGCTCGACACCCCCCCCCCCCCCCCCCCTCGCTGGGCCCCTGTGTAGAGCCGCCTTGCAGAGTTCAGTCGGGCTGGGAGAGGAATGCGCTGGGATGCGGAGCTGCAGCGACTGTAGGAAATCGACACAACAACTCATACAATATGGACAGCAATGATCCATATTTGCATCTCAGTAAGTACAAGACATGTTCATAGAGGTTTTACGGCTCCGTTTTGACCCATCGCGTTTGTTGTGCGAAGTGGAGAGAGCTTTTTTCAGCATATCGTTTCTGTTCTGTGCGCTAATGCAATCGCGGACTTTAACCACAATCGTGTGTTCGCCGAGTGTTTATGCAGCTTCGGATACTCTTTCTGGGGTCTGTAGCCTCGTGTTGAAGTTGCGCCAGTTGAAGTACAAACCAGAGCCAAACAACACAAAAGTCAGGTGATCTTGGTGGTGCCGGTCAGGCAAGGTCAGAGGTTGGCACTTTAATTGCGCTTATGTAATTTATGAGGCTTG